GCAGGTGGCGCCAAACTGCTGCACCACCAGGGCTGCCCTATATACTTACTTATAAATATAGATAGTATCTCTGAAAGCATTAATAAACTAGTAAAAGTAATCTCTCACTTCTGGTAAGAGATTAGGTAACTGGAGACAGATGAGAGTGACTTTTGCTGCATGCACCTTTTGGTACCTTTTGACTTTTGAACCATATGGATGCAAAGCATATTAATAAAGAGGAAGAAACTTAAAAAAAAGTTATAGCCCAAGGAAGGTCACGGTGAGTGGGGACAGAGCAAGGAGAAAAAGAAGACAGAAAGGCAGCTGTTGCATGAAATTTGGTCTTATTGTTGATATCTAGGGGGAAATGTTGGGACTACAAAGAATGTATATATGATCATCTAGGTGTGTGTGGCTGGAGAGGTGGCAACACAGGCACGCCATCCGTTACCAGCTCGGCCTTCTCCTATTAGTGGTGTGCTTAGAATGGCAGGTGGGTATGGCCTAGAGTCAGGGAGAAATAGCCACCCTTCGGTATTTAAGGTATCATGCGTGATATAGAATTCTCCTATAGAGGGATCCCTGGGTGGCGCAGTGGTTTAGCGCCTGCCTTTGGCCCAGGGCGCGATCCTGGAGACCCGGGATCGAATCCCACGTTGGGCTCCCGGTGCATGGAGCCTGCTTCTCCCTCTGCCTGTGTCTCTGCCTCTCTCTCTCTCACTGTGTGCCTATCATAAATAAAAAAAAAAAAAAAAAAATTTAAAAAAAAAAAAAAAAAAAGAATTCTCCTATAGGGCTTTAGGTTATGGGAGAGATTGTGGTAACTAGTCTCTGTGGACCAGGTGGACGAAGGTTTACTTCTCAAAGGATGTGTATGAAAGGTTGCGGTCAGGAGTAGGGACGGAAAACAGGTCAGGGAAAGAACAAAAATTAAAATTATAGAAAACCTAGTTAGGACCAGCCACTGTCCTTGCAGAGGCTACTGCAACATCCGGGCGTCCCTTTGGTAACAGCAGAAACAGAAATCTCCACACTGTTTCTCAAAGTGGCCGCACCATTTTGCATTCCCACCGACAGTGTACAAGGGTGCAATTTCTCCACATCCTTGCTAACGCTTATTATTTTCTGCTGTTGGTTTTTTTTTTTTCAGACTAGGTTTTATTTTATTTTCTTAAAACTCACCAGATGCAGCATGAACAAAGGAGGGATTCCAGAGTTAACTCCTGTGGGCCTGGATGAGTTGCTAAAGTAAGAAATGGATGTGCATAGCACTGGCCTCTGGCCAAGACAAAAAAATGTACCATGATCCAAAGCAAGTTTCAGGGCACTTTGTACCAGCTTGTCAGCATTGCTGATTGATACTGGTGAGACTGGTGATATACACCTGCTCTCAATGAACCCCCCACTTTGGGCTCTGCCTTTGGGATGGTTCCAGAGCAAGAATCTCCTGTGCGACCAGCAGGGTTTAAAAAGCCCAGCCTGCACATGCAGTTTGGACACTGATTCTAAGATGTCGAGTGTACATGTTGGTGGTTCTTGATCCAAAAGAGAAAGTACATCTGTTCAGCCTTGCAAAGAAAGGACAATGGCGCCCACATCCGGCATCTCCAGACCCTTTGTTGTGATGCAGACTGGCTACTCCCTATGCATGACCTGACTTTAATGCTATTGCTACATTTTAGCCTTTTCCTGCAATGTTGTCATTGGGTGTCCTATTAAGCTTCTTTAGGGATCAACCCCTAACTGCCACCATGATGGCAAAGGGGAATGACTGGTTCTATGGTTTCCTGGTGCCCAGCGCAAAATATGCTTGTATCATAAATATTTGTTGAACAGCACAGGTTAGAGGTGGTGAGGAGGGAGAGTGGGGACAGGAGTTCTACCAGCCAGCTCCTTCTGCTCCCCACTGAGTCACACAAGTCTGCTCATCGGGGCTTAGTCCATAATAGAAATTATCTTTGTCAAATGAGTACATGAGCAAGTAAATGTAAGAAGAAATAAAATGTTCTATTTACTTGGACTCCGCAATGATCTCAAGGTGCTACAGAACAAAAGAAAGCAAGGTCAACAAGTAAACTGTATAAAGGTTATCTTTTCCCAGGCCTCCTGGACATACCTTTCTTGTTGAGAGATAGAGGGCTGGGGGTGAGAGGGGCAGAGGGAGAGGCAGAGAGAGAATCTTAAGCAGGCTCATGACTCCGAGATCATAACCACAGTCAAAATCAAGAGTCTGATGCCTAACCACCTGAGCCACCCTGATGCCCCCTGGACACACCTTTCTTTTTTTTTTTTAATTTTTATTTATTTATGATAGTCACACAGAGAGAGAGAGAGAGAGGCAGAGACACAGGCTGAGGGAGAAGCAGGCTCCATGCACCGGGAGCCCGATGTGGGATTCGATCCCGGGGTCTCCAGGATCGCGCCCTGGGCCAAAGGCAGGCGCTAAACCGCTGCGCCACCCAGGGATCCCCTGGACACACCTTTCTAAGGAGAGCTTCTCATGGATCCTTTTAGACAAGTTGTCCTGAACTTATTAAGTTGTCCTGAGGCTGACTCTTGGTGAGAGAGCCCAACTGATTTTATTCTCACAGATATCTCACCCATGCTCCTTTCTCAACATCACTGTATGGGGTCACTGACCTTTTTTGAACTGCCAATAATGGTTTAAAAGCAGATTTTTTTCCCCTACTAGTGTATTCTTGTCAGTCCTGCCTTTTTAACAATTTCCCTTTTCCCAAAATGGCCCATAATTTTGCTTTGCCCTAAAAACCTCTAAACAGAGAAATTCTCCACTTAAAAGAATGTCTTTTGAGGTCCTATACATAAAGAGATTTTAAAGTGCCTCCATTTCTTGGGCTTCTCTCCTTTTATCTTCCTTAAATGCCAATGACTCCAATCTGTGAGGTGGTTCTCAAGATTCTTTTTATTTCTATTCGGTAGCCACGGAACACCTTTTGTGCTTGAGACGGGCTTTGACAGAAAGACCTGGAAACTAAGTGTTCATTTTGTATTTTTTCTGAGCATACATAAGAATGAACTCAATGTTTCCCTGAAATTACTGAGGGTAAGGAGTGGAAATGCCCCTAGATTTAGTGCTTGGAAAACAAGCGCCAGGTTTCTTAACCCAGCCCTTTTAAAACAGCTGCACAGATAGCATTTGTAACAATAATAATAATAATTAAGGTGTTAGTAATGCAAAAGAGAACTAAACTAAAGAGTTTATCTTGGGCAAAGGAATGCATTTTTTTAAAATAAGATTTTATTTTATCTATTTGACAGAGAGAGCACAAGCAAGGGGAGCAGTAGGCAGAGGCAGAGGGAGAAGCAGGCTTCTGGCTGAGCAGGGAGCCCGACACAGGGCTCGATCCCAGCACCCTGGGATTACTACCTGAGCTGAAGGCAGATCCTTAATCAACTGAGCCACCCAGGCATCCTGCATTTGTTACTTATATTTGGAAATGGGTTTGCCTGATTTCTGGTTACTTCCTTGCCACATATCCAGACAAGAATGAAGCTGCTCTGTGAGAGACTGGCTCAAGAAAGGTTGAAGAGATACACAGTTTCCTCATCCAAAGGTTCTGCCTCAGGCACATTTCCTTCACCATGCTGTGGGGCCAGGGCCTTACTTTTCATGTCTAATCCACACCTACTCTGAGTAAACCTGAGATAATAATGAAGCATTTTTTGTTTTAAAGGTCTAGACATTGGGGACTCCTTCAGGTGCAACTGGGAGAAACTCCAAACTAACTAGATTAAAGGAAAAGACAATTCTTGGCTTATGGGAAAGAAAATTAGTTGGCTTCAGGCACAACTTGATCCAGGAGCTCAAATGATGTCATCAGGACTCCCTCTACAAGGCTTGGCTACTGGAGATCACAATGATTACTGGAAACCTAGATTTACATCCTACCAGCTTAGCATTCTCCAAGGATGGAGAGCATCTCCTCAAATTTCTTTGGCAAAAAATGTCTCACGGAGGGATGTGAATGGTATGGCTTGGGTCATGTGTCCAATTTTTCCATTCATCATGTCCAAGGGCATGGAGTTCCTTGGGAAGTGGCTATAACCAAAGCTGCTCAAACTATACAGGGCAGATTTCCAATGGAAAAAGAAAGGAAGAAGAATGCCATTTCCAGAGACAGAAGGAATGTCAGGCAGAAAAACACAACAGATAATTCCCACCAAAGGCCTTTCAGAGGAACTTAGTGGAACAGGGGGGCAGAAGGAAGGAAGTCAGGGATGGGGTGCCAACGGTGGGACACAATTTTTTTTTTCTTCCAATTTTTTCCTTTCCTCCTTCCTTCCCTCATCTCTCCCAACAACACTCCTCCCTTGCTGGAAACAGCAGCATCAGAGGCTGTGACTGTGGACTTTGGACACGTTAAGATGAAGATTTTCATAGCGATAGGAACTATGGAGACTGAACAGGCTTCCGGAGAATGAGATCTTGAGTCAGGAGGGAGACTGCTGGCTGCAGGGGGCGCAGTGAAGACAGGCCCTGTTAAGGAGATGCCTGGCATCAAATTATGGTGTTGCAGCAGGGGAGGCATGTTCATTCAGTACTGGAACCTTCCGGGCAGAGGCTGCATGGGGGGAAGAGAGGTCGCAGGAGAGGAGCCTGAGGAGGGGCCCCAGGGGAGACTCCTTGAACCTCATGCCAAATTATTTGAACTTGACCTTATCTCTAGGTTCAGGAGAGCAGGGGAGGTCTTTAACCCCTGAATTAGTTTTTCAAATATTTTCACCATGATCTCTGGAACAGCTAAGGGGGAGGTGAGGCAGGATTGGGAAAGACTGTTGGCAAGGAGCCCAGTTAGCAATCCAGGGTGGGAATCCCAGTAAGGAGTGACAGAGACCCCTAAGACAGCGGGGAGTAAGGGTGGGATTCCAGAGGCGAGCTCAGGTAAAATCCACGGGATCTGGTTCTGCCACAGCTGAGGGAAGAACTGATTTACAGAAGAGGGAGGTAGAGACATGAGTTGCAACCCCTGGCAAATTATTGATAGAATGAATCATCCATAAGAGACAAAGTTCATTGTGTTCTCAGAACAGAAGAAGCCTGACCCCGGGAAACAACATCAGAAGATACTTGTTGTGTAAGTGTAGCTTTTCATTTCATTCACTTCTCCACAAATATTTATTAGGCTCCTATTGTGTGCCAGATCCTGTGCTGGATGCCGGGCATAAGGGGGGGATGGAACCAGCATCGGTCCTGTCATCAAGCAGCTTTCCATATACCGTCCTGGGGCAGAAGGATGACAAACATGTGTATCGTTAAACTTTATAAACGGTGTTAAGTGTATGAAGGCAATTGATTCGGGCGCAATGAGAAGAAATGAAGAGATAGGGAGCAGAGAACTTCCTAGGAAGAGGGGTCAAACTGAAGTTGGATTCTAAGTGGGACTGTTCGGGGAATCTCTGGGTGGCTCAGTGGTCTCGCACCTGCCTTTGGCCCAGGGCGTGACCCTGGAGTCCCTGGATGGAGTTCCACATCTGGCTCCTTGCATGGAGGCTTCTTCTCTCTCTGCCTGTGTCTCTGCCTCTGTCTCTCTGTCATGAATAAATAAATAAAATCTTTTTTAAAAAAATAAGTGGGACTGTTCACAGCTCCTTCCTCTGGGGAGAGCATTTTCAAAGTAACAAAAATTTTGATATATTGATAAGCTTCATTTTGAGTTCACAAATCACTCTTTTCCCCAAGTTTTTGCACCCTGAGTAACAACACTTGTGTTGGCATCAAGGGGTTATGACTATAATTCACTTGGTATTTTAAAGTTTACAATATGTATCTTCATACCTGCTGATTGACTTATGTGATATCCCAGTGGTAGATTGCTACAACAGTGGTTCTCACTCAGGGAGATTTCCCTGTAGCCAACCTTGTGGGTAGACCCCTCCCACACTGATCTTTCGTGTAGCCCCGTGACTTGCTTTGAGCAATGGGACATTAGGAGACATGATGCAGCCCTTGACCACTGGGCTTGCTGTCTCTTCTCTTGCTGTCAGAGCAAGGCATGTGAGGAAGCCTAAACTAGTTTTTTTTTTTTTAAAGATTTTATTTATTTATTCATGATAGTCACAGAGAGAGAGAGAGGCAGAGACACAGGCAGAGGGAGAAGCAGGCTCCATGCAGGGAGCCCGACGTGGGATTCAATCCTGGGTCTCCAGGATCGTGCCCTGGGCCAAAGGCAGGCACTAAACCGCTGCGCCACCCAGGGATCCCAGCCTAAACTAGTTTACTGGAAATTAAGGAGCAGAGATGAGCATCCCAGCATGGTCTCCTAGGTCAATCATCTCCCAGCCAACCGACAAGAGTGACTTCAGATGAACCCAGCAGAAAGACTACCTAGTTCAGAAAATCTGTCTAGCTGAACTCAGTCCAAATTACTAGCACAAAGAATCTCTGAGCAAATTAAAGGATTGCTGTTTTGAGCCACTACATTTTAGGGTAGTTTTTTATGCATCAATAGATAACTGATAGGGTGTAATCCTCAAACAGTTTAACTATTTTTGTTTTGCAAATGAGGAAACTTAAAAGCAGGAAAGGTAAATTACTCTGAAGATCTCACCACAATTTGGGGGTAGATCTGAATTCTTACATCACTTCCTAGACTAAAGACCACTTCATCTCTGCAACTTCCACATCTCTCAGAAGATATCCAAACCTTAATCTACTATTTAATGATGGATCTCTAATTTTCCAGTTTTCTTAGAAGGTAACTCAAAGTGATATTAAAAGAATGGGCTTCCATTCAATCTTAAATGATTAAGAACCAAGATTAGATATAAGTATATGAATAAATTAAACTGATCATTTTCAAAATAGCCATGCAGCCACCCCCAATATTTCTAGCAGCATTATCAAGAATAGCCAAAATATGGAAAGAACCAGATGTCCATCAAGAGATAAATGGATAAAGAAGAGATGGTATATATATATATATATATACACACACACACTATGGGATATTACTCAGCCATCAAAAAACACCAAAATCTTGTCATTTGCAATGATGTGGATGAAACTAGAGCATATTATACTAAGTGAAGTAAGTCAGTCAGAGAAAGATAAATATATGATTTCACTCATATGTGAAATTTAAGAAACAAACCAGATGAACATATGGGAAGGGAAGGAAAGATAAGATGAAAACAGAGAAGGAGACAAACCATAAGAGACTCTTAATTCTAGGAAACAAATTGAGGGTTGCTGGAGGGGAGGGGAGTGGGAGGACGAGGTAACTGGGGGATAGAGTTTAGGGGGGTACAAGATGAAATGAAGACTAGGTGTTATGTGCAACTGATGAATCACCAAATTCTACTTCTGAAACTAATAATACACTTTATGGTTTTTTTAAAAAATATTTTATTTATTTACTCATGAGAGACACACACACAGAGAGAGAGAGAGGCAGAGACACAGGCAGAGGGAGGAGCAGGCTCCCCACAGGCCTGATGTGGGACTCAATCCCAGGATTCCCGGATCATGCCCTGAGCCAAGGCAGACACTCAACCTCTGAGCCACCCAAGCATCCCTAACACACTGTATGCTAATTAAATTGAATTTAAATAAATAAATACATGTATAAATAAACAAACCTAAAAACATCGCTGTGCAACGTCATACCCAAATCTCCTAACTTTTTGGGAAAAATATTATTTTATCATTCCAAACAACAAACTAGTTGAGAGGAAACAGAAGGACATTTTACTCAACTTGTTAAAAAGAAGTCATTTTGACTTTCTTTAACATGCTTAGAGAAGGACTGCATTTTTCCAGTTCTCTGAAATATTAAAACAATAACAAACCTCAAGTAGCTTAATCTAACACATATATTTCTAAGTCTTTACAGATAGGAAATAATTTGCTTCCCAAGACAGAAGAGAAACCCATATCTCTTTAATGTTTTCTGTCCTTTTTTTGCAACTTGAGAATTACTTTAAACTTTCTTAATAATAAAGATTTGAAGATGTTAAATTACTTGCCCAAGATTACAGAGTATAAATCATAGACATGTAATCAAATATTTTTCTTTCTGGTGCCAAGTCTCAGTCTCAACTCACCCAACCAAAATAACTATTATATAAGTAAGATAAACTCATAGAAATCCAAACTACACAGAAATATACAGATTTAAAAGTTCCCCCTCATTTTAGCAGGCACTACAGTTTATTTACCTAATATTCATTCCCCATTTCCTTCTTCCTAACAGAGCCTGGATTTTTTTTTTTTTTCAGTTTCTTATCCTCCGATAAGAACAATTTTTCTTCAGTTTCTTATCCTCCAATAAGAACAAATTTTTTCAGTTTCTTATCCTCCGATAAGAATGATAGCCAAGGGATCCCTGGGTGGCGCAGCGGTTTAGGGCCTGCCTTTTGCCCAGGGCGTGATCCTGGAGACCTGGGATCGAATCCCACGTCGTGCTCCCTGCATGGGGCCTGCTTCTCCCTCTGCCTATATCTCTGCCTCTCTCTCTCTGTGTGTGTGTGTGTGTGTGTGTGTGTGACTATCATAAATAAATAAAAAAAAATAAAAACTGAGCTGCTTTAAAAAAAAAAAAGAATGATAGCCAAATGATTCCAGGGAGCTGGGCACTAGCTGAGTCTAAGGTGTGGTTCTGATTGATTTATTTTTAAATCAATCATAGTGGTCTTGTTGGCTGAGACAGGGACATGTGACGTATGTGACATATAGGAGACATCAGCTGCAGCATGTGTTCTTAAAAGAGAGTGCTTGTGGATGTCATGAGAATGTCCTCTCAGATCTGCAGCTACAGGGAGCATGAGTGAAAGAAGGTTGCTGCAGTGTCTGAGCCTCTGAGCCACTGCTTCCCAGGGGCTGCTTCCAGACATGAGGGAGTGTGACAGGGATACTGAGACAAGCTTGTTTCTGGGAGACCTGGGGCTCCTCTGCAGATGACTTTGACCTTCTCTGTCAGGGACGTAGAGTTTGAGTGTTTCTCCTGAAACTACTGTACCTCTCCCCCAAGAGGGGAGCTGCCTGAGAACAAAGCCTAATTGCTGACAATGGCAATGCCAAAAGATGGAAAGAACCGGGGTCCCCAGTGATCTCCTGAGCAGCTGAGTTAGTAAACCCCAGAATCCTTCTCCCCATGGACTTCTTGTTTTACAAGATAATAAATTCCCTTATCGCATGAGCCACAGAGTTGGGGTTTTCTTTACTTGCAGCAGAAAGCATTGCCACTGATACAGTTACCCTCCAATCCCACTTCCCAGAAAGAACTTTTGATAACAGTTCACTATGAGCCTTACTAGTACATTTACCAACATACATACCATTTTGCAACTTGATTTATTTTGTAACCATTAATATACCATGTATATCCTTCCACATCATTACATGTAGGTCTTCCTTCGTCTTTTTCAGGCCACATAGAATTCCACATAGGATATGCCCTAATCCATGTGCTTTTGTCCATAATCATTTATCTTGTACCCTTTTTCTTCAGCAAAAGACACAGCAAAAGGCTCTTCCCACTGGCAGAGCCTTATCTACAGTCAAATTACCATGTTCTTCTCTTCTCATTAGAAATGGGGTCATATTTAAAGCAGGGGAAATACACTTTTAAGTGAAGACCAAAGGTAGTCTGAGCAAATAAATCAGATTTTAGAACAAGAGAGGGCAGATGTTTTGTAGAAGACAAGATCTCCCAGCAAGGCCTGGTCACAAAGATGCAGCCTGAAACTGCAGAAGAGGGCTATTCTCCAGACTACTCTAGCTTGCCTCCTGCCTGTTGGGGCCAGGCGGGAAGGGAAACTCCTCAAGATGGCGGATACCCCAAAATGGCTGAGGTTCCTGTCACCACCTCCACCTGGGACGCCAATGGACCAATGACCTGCTGACAGCTTGATGCAGACCCTTAGACCTCTCCTTTGGACTTCCCCAACCGAACCCAATGCCCTTCAAACCCCAGAGGAGGAAGTCACCTTTGACTGGCCAAACTGCAATCCTTCCTTTGCATAGTGAGGGTCACTCTGACTGGTTGGATTGCAATCCTTCCTTTGCATATGAGCCAACCAACAGAGCCAACCGGTCTGCCTTACAACGTTATGTAAACCCCCTAGCACCTTGTCTTGGCGCGACTTCCCCGACTCACTCTTTCCCCCATGAGTGTGGAACCTCGCCCGAGGGTGCCTGCAATAAAATCTGTTCTTGGACCCTCGCTTGCCTTGGCGGTCTCATTTCCATTTAGTTACTAAAAAACCTAACCCTGCCCTTTCCCCTTCCCTTCCTTGGCTCTGCTCCGTTGACCTGGCCTCCTTCTCAGCTTTCTGAGGGCCCAGAGGGAGGTGGGGAGAGCTGGCTTAGCCCGACAAAACGTCTGGCTGGAAGAGGCTGAGATGAGCTGGCTGGGACCCGGTAAGGTAAAGGTCCGACCTGACCTGCGAGATGGGCCACCTGACCCCAGCCCCGCGGGCCTCGGGCGCCTGCGTCCGGGCCCCGCCCCCGCCTGCCCCCACCCGCCTCCTGTTCACTACGTGGAACGACCATCTCCAGCTCTGATAATCCACATCCCTAATCGCTTTTGTTTTTTACATTTTTTTAATTCAAATTCAATTTGCCAACATATAGTATAACACTCAGTGCTTATCCCTAATAGCTTTAGATGGGATTGTTTTGAGTCTGTAAACAAACAAAAAAACAAAACAAGATTACCCGGGAGTATTCATTCTAACGTGCTGTTATTATCAGATACAAATAGCCAGTGTGGTTCCCCTAAGGGGAGCCTCCACCTTGCCTTCTGAGAGTTGGGAGGGTCCTCAATTCCTAACCCATCACAAAGGTCTGTTGTTGAAGACTCAACTCTGCACCCTGACCCTCACAAGAACTGCTTCTGGGAAGAGCTGCATTTCCTTGCCCTTCCAGGATGCTTCCCACGTTCAGCCAGCTGATTGCAGTCTCTCTATTGACCTCAAACTGGCCTGACTTTGAGGTAGATTTTGTCTGGGTGGGAAGATAAAAGCAGCTGGCTTGACTTTTTCTGAACTGTTGTAGGCCTGCCTACCTGTTATGGCAAAATTAGAATAGCACCCAACCACATCACACATTAAATATACTTTTTGGGTTTTGCTGTAACTGTTATTTGATCAAAATGGAGACAAGTGAGTAGATTATACCAATGGTTCTATAAAAAGAGGGGGATACAACGATAAATGTGTATATTTACTAATTTGGAACAGGAAAGGGCACTGGAACTACATACCATCATCAAAAGGAACAGTTGTGTTGTGTTTTGTTTTGTTTTGTTTTTGTTTTTTTTTTTTAAGATTTTATTTCTTTATTTGACAGAGATAGCACAAGCAGATGGAGAGGCAGAGGGAGAAGCAGGCTTCCCACTGAGCAGGGAGCCTGAACCGGGGTTCCATCCCAGGACCCTGGGATCATGACCTGAGATGCTTAACCGAATGAGCCACCCAGGCTCCCCAACAAGCAATTTTCTATCGAAAAAGGGAAGAAACAAAATAGAACAGAAATAAAAGCTACACTTCTTTCAATATACTTTGTTTTGTAGATTCAAGGAAGCATGTAATACTTTATGTAATTATAAAAAGAACTAAATGATAAAAAAGCAATATCTAATACTGCATGTGAACTTTTTCATTGCCAGCATAACCACACTGTGAAGAACTAAGACCAAGATAACCACCGACACTCTTGGGGCACCATCAAAAGGTACTAGAGCACCAAGTCATGATTTTGAAAACTAGTAAGTAAAAGGAAAGAATCAAACATTTCTCTTGCCTTTTCTACACAAACTCCACTTCAGGATAACCAAATAATTGATGACGGGGTATTTCTTTTTATAGTATCCCAACTATTAAAGGAATGATAAAATATCACCATTTTACAACTTTTAATGAATTAATGGATCTAAGCAAAGATCACCAATTGTCGCAAATATCTCAAAAAGAATGACAACCAGATGTGGTGTGGCCCTAATGGATGCACCTCTGAAGGAGGTTTCAAAATACTTGCATCTAAATCCAATCAAGTAACTAGACTGTTATTAGTTACAAGTAGGTACAGTCTTAGAAGGACATGTTAAATGATGCCATGAGGTGCCAAATAGCAAAATCCAGACTATAGTAAATTCCAGAAGACAATCAACCTGGTTTATTCAACAAGAAAAACTGTAAGTAAAAGGGAGATGAAGGCAAAAACTTATAGATTAAGAGTACTTGAGATAGTCATTTGCAATGAATTGACTTTATTTGGATCCTGATTCAGACACTATTAAAAAATCAATTCTATAAATAAGCACAAAAGTTTTAACACTGGCTAGATATTTGATGGCATTACTTTTTTATGTTATTTTTGGGTTTTGGGTTTTGGGTTTTACGTTTTAGTTGAAATATTTACAAATGAAATGATAGGGTGTCTGACTTTTTTTTTTTTTTTTCAAAATGATCCTGGGTTGAGGGGCAGGGGAAGGGGTAAAGGTATAGGTGAAACAAGAGTATCTATGAGTTGATAACTGTTGAAGCTGAGTGAAAGGTCCAGAGGTTCATTATATACTATTTCCTTTACATTTGTATTTGCTTGGAAATTTCATTGCTAAAATGTTTTAAGAAATCCTTTGGAAAGGGTTTTTAGAATTTTGTTTTGAAATTACTTGAGTAGCTCATTTAATTTAGCTATGATTTGTTAGAAATCCATTCATATTTTGGAATGCTTTCCAAGTGGGAAAATAATGGTAATAACAGCAATTAGTACATATCCAGTATTTAGAATGTACCAAACTGAGTGCCTTGCTCTTTTAAATCTTGTCGACAGTCTTTGAGGTTGGTGGCATAATTTTCCCATTTTTTACATAGGATTACAAAGAAGGAGAAAACTTGAAGCTCAGAGAGATTGAGTAACTCGATGAAAGTCACACAGTAAATGGAGGAGTCAGGATTTGAATACAGGCAATTTGGTTCTACAGCCTATGCTCTTAACTATTATGTTAACCTGTGAATTATTTTCCTGTAGAAGAACAGATTTATGAACACTAGATTGAACAACTTACAAAGTTGACAAATGTGATACTTCGCACACATTTATTTAACATTTATTAACTTTTCGAGCTTTTTTCTTTGCATTTTAGAGCAATATTTTTTTGCAAGGTCCCAAATATTTTCATAGGCCCAAGTATGTCACAAGCTCTATGCCCAGAGCCTCTTCTGCCCAGTATACAACGCAGCCCAAAACCTAGGGCAGAAATTGATGAATTATCTGGTGTACTTAAGCCTAATCCTCGTCCTGCAGATCTCTAGGTTTTGTCAACTTTCAACATCCTGGATTGCTTCCATCAGCCTCCTTTAGTATATCCACAACTCACCTTCTTAAGTGGACTCCAGTCTGTTCTGATCGTGGATTCTGTTTTGAACAGCTACTATTGGTTTGCATTTAGAGAATGCGTTTTGGCTTTCCCGTTCTCCCTCCTCCACACCCCCCACCCCCACCACCATGGCTCACAGGCTGCCTGGCCACCCTTTGGTCAGAATTCATATAGCATGTGGCCCAGAGAAAGGCCACAAGAAGGTCCGAACACATCTCACTTCAAACCTTCTTCCCAGTCCTCACTGATAAAGTTCAGTCTGTGCCTGAGGACTTTGAAAGATTCTATTCAGTGGGATTCCTAGATCTAGCTTCTGTGTCGTGACCACCTGGGTATGGCAATAGTTCAACCAGTGGGCAATAGAAAAACTGAAAGGCCTGCCCAAGGTCTGCCCATGGATTCTTCCAACACTGCAGGCAGGCAGTCAGGCCAGGGGCCCCCGGACTCCCTCATGCCCCTCCATCATCTTGTGGTGTCTTATCTTCCACTTGGGGCCATCCTGTGCATTGGTTTTATTATCAGCTAATCTACAGTGTTTTGAGCTAGGAGGAAGGGACAGGGTATAATCTTCCCTGGGCCCTCACTGGCCAGGGAGAGCTACTAGCTGTGAACCCTCCTGAAAGGTAACTCTGAAAATGGGATAAGAGTGCATTCTAAGCAGGATTTAATGAGAATTCTGTAATGAACCAACAAATAAAAAAGATAAACATAGACCGACTTAAAGATCAAAAGAACAGGGAAACTTTGAATTTGCAGATCAGGTTTTTTAATTTTTTTTTAATTTTTTTTAATTTTTTTTATTTACGATAGTCATACAGAGAGAGAGAGAGAGAGAGGCAGAGACACAGGCAGAGGGAGAAGCAGGCTCCATGCACCGGGAGCCCGAAGTGGGATTTGATCCCGGGTCTCCAGGATCACGCCCTGGGCCAAAGGCAGGCGCCAAACCGCTGCGCCACCCAGGGATCCCCATGATCAGGTTTTTTAAAAAAGATTTTATTTATTTACTCATGAGAGACAGAGAGAGAGAGAGAGAGCGCCAGAGAGAGCCAGAGACATAGGCAGAGGGAGAAGCAGGCTCCACACAGGGAGCCTAATGTGGGACTCCATCCAGGGACTCTAGGATCAGGCCCTGGGCCAAAGGGAGGGGCTAAACCGCTGAGCCACCCAAGCATCCCCACAGATCAGTTTTTCCTACAAAATATGTATTTAAAAATCTGTATTGATAGCAAGCCTGAAGGACTTTGGTTTTGTGATCTCATATGCAAGTGTATTGACAACTCCAAAGGCTCAGGCCTTCCAGCATCGGTTCTTTCCTTCGTTAGTGAGTAAGTAAGTGGCTCCTGGCTGAATTGCCTCTATGGTCGCTGCACTGCCCTTAGAACCTTAAGAGGTCTCTGGAATTCAACAGTTGGACTGCTCAATCCTATCTAGCTTAGGCAATTTTAAAATGGCCCAAGGCAAATAGGACTCAGCACTAGAAACACAGCCTGATATCACCAAGAAGAAAAACAAGAAAAGGACAAAGCCAGACTGCATTTTATCTTGTAAATATTTATGGTGTGATTCGTTCATTCCAAGTGAGAGAGGGCTGGTGCAAAAATTAAGTTTTCTACAGTTCTTATGATGTGAAATAGTCAAGTGTGCTAGGCACACTGTGAGCGTGGTGGTAGTATGGTGTGGTGGGGAATGAGTTAAAATGGAAAATGAGATATGACAGGTGTAGGAAGTGGGGTGAGCCAACATGTTGCACAACTCCAGAGGATCCCATTCGTTAGAGTCTAAGTGAGTGGTGCTCCTTGGCATTGTGCAGTGCACCATCTGGGTCCTAGGACACAGGGTAGGCACTCAGTAAATGTTTGTTGAACTTCACCTAATGCAAAGGATGGTTTCATCTTCTTTTAAATTCAAATATGGAGATAAGATAAGCATTTCCTAAAATGTGGCCCACAGAACAGTAGTCCCAGAGGAATATTTTTCCAGAAAAGGGAAATGCTGCAAGCAAATTAGAGAGTCATGATGCACATTATATAATACAAGCTCTAAAAAGCCCTGCAATTAAAATAATTTTTTCCCCACTTACTTTTGAACTCAGAATTTTCAATCTCATTGGAGCATAGGATTCTCCCTTCTCTCCCTGTTTTGGCTAACATAGCATTTCTACAGATGCTTAAGAAACACTCTATCAGGGCATCTCAATGTGTGTAAACCAAGCTCTGTTCACAATCCTCAAATCCAAATGTGAAGGCTGTTTTCTTAGTTTGCCCATGGGGAAAAAAATCATTTTATTCATTTATATATTCATTTAACTAACACTTATGGAGTGTCTATATTTGTTCCTATGCTAGGAATAACAAAAGATGCCCTAGCCTTCCAAGAATTCATGGTGAAGATAAGAAGACAGAATGCTACACAATTACAATGCTACTGGGAAGGCTGTATGAGGGAACGAGCATGTGCTGCCTCATGCTGCATCACTCACAGTCGCATCTAGATCAGTTGGGAGGAGGCAGGGAGAATTCACCTGACAGGTGTCTCAAGCTATTTGTGGTGAGGATCCAGTTAGGTTTCATGATTTTTTTTTAAGATTTTATTTATTTATTCATGAGAGACACAGAGAGAGGCAGAGACAGAGGCAGAGGGGAAAAAGCAGGCTCCCTGTGGGGAGCCCGATGTGGGACTCAATCCTGGGACCTGGGGATCATGACCTGAGCCAAAGGCAGACACTCAACCACTGAAGCACCCAGGTGTCCCAGGTTTAGTATAAGAAATAGGTATTTGGTCTTCCTAAAACCCTTAGAATTTTTTAAGTAAGAAGAGGATAAAAGTGTCTTGATGTTTTTAACAAATCCCTTTCAAACACATCCAAGTTTATGTCATTGAGTGACTTTGGAAAGCCACAAAGGATGGGAGCTGATTGCCTGGAGAACCAACCAGGTAATTAGAGAATTGGACTCTCCCCCACCTTCAGAGAGGAGAGAGGAGCTAGAGATTGAGTTCAATCACCAGTGGCCAAAATTTAATCAACCATGCCTATGTAATGAAGCCTCATAAAACCCCAGTAGGTCTGGGTGTAGAGAGCTTCCAGGTTGGCAAATATGGGGAAGTGCTGGGAGTGGCGCCTCTAGAGAGGCCACAGAAGCTCTGTGCCCCATCGGACACAGCTTGCCCTAGGCTTCTCCTCGCTCTATTCATCTGTTTCCTTTATAATATCCTTTATAATAAACTGGTCAATGTAAGTAAATGTTTCTCTGAGTTCTGTGAGCTGTTCTAGCAAATTAATTGAACCCAAGGAGGTGGTCGTGGAAATCTCCAATCTATAGTCCATGGTCAGAAGTGCAAGTGACAACATGGACTTCTGACTGGCAACTTGAAGGGAGTACAGACAGTCTTGTGGGATTGAACCCTTGACCTGTGGCCTCTGACACTATCTTCAGGGAGATAGGTTTAGAATTCAGTTGAGTTGTGACATTCAGCTGTTGTTGGAGAATTGCTTGTTGGTGTTGCAGGAAAAAACACACACACACAGTGGGGTTTCTCTTTTTCAATCCATTGTGAATTGATACCATTGCAAAATACATTAAAAATGGATTATTAGGGCAGCCCTGGTGGTGCAGCAGTTTAGCGCTGCCTGTGGGCCAGGGCGTGATCCTGGAGACCTGGGATCAAATCCCACGTCAGGCTCCCTGCATGGAGTCTGCTTCTCCCTTTGCCTTTGTCTCTGCCTTTCTCTCTCTCTCTCTGTGTCTCTCATGAATAAATAAATAAAATCTTTAAAAAAAATGGATTACTAAGTCAGTGTGATACTGCCATAAAGAAAGACATATAGATGAATGGAACAGAATTGAAAGTCCAGGAATAAACCCTCATGTTTATGGCTAATTGATTTTCTGTTTGTTGTTTCTGTGCCAAGACAGTTCAATGACGAAATACTACTCTTTTCAACAAACAGTGCTGTAACAACTGGATATTCACATGTAAAAGAATGAAGCTAGATCCCTCCTTACACCATTCCCAAAAATCAACTCCAAACTGACCTAAATGTAAAAGTTATTCTTAGAAGAAAACACAGGAGCAAATTTTGAAACATTAGGTTAGGCAAGGTCTTCTTAGATACAGCACCAAAAGCATTAGAGAAAAAAATAGATTTAACTGTATTTCATGAAAATGAAAATCTATGCTTTTTTTTTTGAAGATTTTATTTATTTATTCATTCATTCAAGACACACACACACACAGAGAGAGAGAGAGAGAGAGGGCGGCAGAGACACAGGCAGGGGAGAAGCAGGCTCCACACAGGGAGCCCAACGTGGGACTCGATCCCGGGTCTCTAGGATCAGGCCCTGAGCTGAAGGCCAGGCTAAACCACTGAGCCACCCGGGTGCCCAGGCCTATATTTGTTTTTTTACTTTCTTGATGATGTCCTTCAAAAGCACAGAAGAGGACAGCCTGGGTGGGCAGCCCGGGTGGCTCAGCAGTTTAGCCTGGCCTTCAGCCCAGGGCCTGATCCTGGAGACCCGGGATCGAGTCCCATGTTGGGCTCCCTGTGTGGAGCCTGCTTCTCCCCTGCCTGTCTCTCTGCCTCTCTCTCTCTCTCTCTCTCTCTCTCTCTCTAATAAATAAATAAATAAAATCTTAAAAAAAAAAAAACAGGAACAAAAAAACAACAACCCATAGAATGAAAAAAGGTATTTGCAAATCCTGTATCTGATGGCAGATTTATACCCAGAATATATAAAGAATTCTTACCACTCAATAAAAAGGATAAATAACCCAATTTAAAAAATGTGCAAAGGATCCAAAGAGACATTTATCCAAAGATATACAGAGGGCCAAAGATGTGAGCAGGGTTTAGGAAAACCCATAGGAGACTGTATTTCCCCTACATTTACAACATCAGGAAACCATTAGTACCCAGAGGTCTCAAGGAGCCAGGAGACTGAATAGTTCCAGAATCTATGGAGAGTAGCTGAATGGAAGGGGCTGCCCAGACAGGACTGTACTTTGATAGGAGGAAGCCGCAAACCCACAGCTTCCACCAGGAAATAACAGAGGAAATAAATACACCAGCCCACTCTTCTCTGCTGATACCTCCCTTGTTGACCAAACTCTGAGCTTGAGTTTCACAGTTGGAAGAAGGTGGTGGAAACAGGCCTGGGCAAAGGAGAGTATGTGATTTAAGGAGTAGGAGGCAGAGGTAAGATTTATTGTGTAGGCTGTGGATGTGGAAAATTCAAATGAAGGAAATATTAAAGTGAGTGGCAGAGAAGGTGGGAGTGGGAACAAAACATAAGGCTGATTTAGATGTGATAACATTTGCTCTCTGAGCACCAGGATATTGTCTGAGGGGCAGATCCAAGGGGCAGTTCAGCTTGGGGAGAAGTGGCTTAAAAACTCCTGTATAGGCCCCGGACTTCTGTACTTCTGTAGGTTTCAAGCATTGCCCTAGACCAACAAACATTTTCTTAAAGGGACAGGTGGTAGGTAGTTTAGAGGTCTGCAACACAACTCCTCATTGCCCCGGTCATGGGGAAGCAGCCGCAGATAATACTTGAACGAATGGTGTGGCTGTGTTCCAACACAACTTTCTTTATAAAAATAGGCGACGGGCCTTCAGGCCATAGTTTGCCAACCCCTGCCCTAGACATTTAAGAATGTTTTCATCATTTTGCTTTCAGATAGGTTTGATGTATCTATTTGAATGGGCCTTTGCCCAGGTCTGCCTTCTGACTGATAAGCAGCTGGACCTCTTTCAGAGAACCAGGAATGAAATGAGCCAGTAGATTCAGCTCAAATTCCTATTGATGTCAAGAAAGAGGGTGTATGAAGCTGACCAGCCACTCTGAGAAGGGAGCAGGCAGGATTGCCAGCTCCAACATCTGGATTTCCATTTCCCTGAGAAAATGTTATGTTATAGGAAGCTTTCCCTTTCTTGCCAGGAACATACCCTAGTTGGTGAAATGAAGATGAAACTTTGAAGTCACCCAGACTGGAGTCAAACCCTGTCACTTTGTCTCTGAGTGCCTCCGGGAGCCAGCTCTCTGATGGAGAGGATGCTTGCCTCATGGGTAACCAGAGCTGTTATTATTAAATGTCTGAAATGAGAGTCCAATTCACAGTTCTCCCCTTCTTGATTCCTTCCAGGGCATCTCCCACTGTCTGCGTGCCACCTTCCTTGGCTCTCTCAGATGCAAGCCAGTGTGTCTCCCTCATCTCCCTCATTCTAAGCTCTGTAATGACTTCTTTTGCATTGTGTATCACCCACAATGCTGGTGGAGAGGTGGGTATGTGTATTCATGCAGACAAAAGGAGATGGCAAGCAGCATCACAATGGACAAAATTAACTTCCCCTTTGTGGTTATTATTCCTGGGAGGGACTAGACACGTGATGTTACTCAGCACTTCTTTTCAAGAGAGGGAAACTCAACTTGGATTGGCTTAGACGAAGAACCAGAGAGACCAGACTCTCTTCTGTTTCTCCTCTCTGCTTCTCTGTGTGTGTGTGTTGGCTCTCTCCCTAGGGCTGGTGGCCAGGCCAGAGAAGGCTCCTCCCCCTTGGACCAGAGATGGACTGACACCCACCCCGCTCTCCTTGGTGTCAAGTTTACAGTCCTGGGTAAGGACGGGTTTTTACTTGGGGTAGTTGGAGGTATAACCAGCAACAGTGGACAAAACTCAGCTCTGTCATCAGGGGGGCAGTCAGTTCACAGAAATGCGAGGAATAGCCTGCTGGAAGCCAGGGGTTGGGGTCTGGGGCAAATGAAGGAAACTGTCACTCCCAAATGACTTAAATTCTTCACTCTCCACTCCAACCCTTCTAGAGGTCAAATAAAAATATGTGTGCTGCCTCCAAAGACCGCACTGGCTGGGTAGGAGTTCACAACCTTTGAGCTAGAAGATTTCAGGCCTTTCTTCGCAATTCGGCAAATGAATCTGTGACATTTTCAGTAAGCAAACCAAGGTGGGAGAGGCCTTTCCAGGTAGGACAATGCTAATTAAGAAAGATAATTAAGGCAGGGGATGCCAAGTTGGGAGGAACATCCTTTGTGTTTTGTAAAACTCAGCAACTTCTCGAAGCAAGGTCATAAATGCCTTTTAAAAAGACTATCACTCTAGGCTCGGAAAATTCAGTCATGTAAATTCAATCTGTGCTTATAATTTGTATCCTTTGATTGGTTAGGGCTCTCATTGGACTCAATCTGTGTCAAGACAAAGGTAGGGTGGTGGCATGGTCTCTGACTCCGAGACAAGGGGAAGTGTAAGAGTCCTGAGGCAGGTGATCATAACCTCCACAGAACCTGCCAGATAACTTTGCTCAGGTCCTTGTCAGTGGCCAGAACCTTCCAGGTGGAATTACCTATTATGCAAACCAAGAATGAGCTTAGATAGCAATAAAGCAGGAATATATATATATATATATATATATATATATACACAAAATGGGAAAATATTTGGGAGGAAGAATCTGATATTGAAAAACATATCAAGGTATCAAGGTGTCCATTTTTTGGAGAAAGCCAAAACTTTTGGGCACTTTCTCCATGTATTTTACAATGAAGCATCCTTTTTGTTTTAAATCATATATGGGAGATATGGCACCATCATAATCCTTTCAGTGCTTAGAGCCACTAATGGAGCTCATTAGGAGCATCCTGGACCCAGAAGTGGTAGGGAGATATGTGGCCTCCAGTTTCCTCCCCTTCAGGTACCTCTGACAGCAGTTCCTTCCTGCTGCTCAACCTGCCTCATCACCCCTCCCTGGTAGGACCATTCCCTAGAGTCCCTATTAAAATTTATTGCCCTTTTATTCCTCCCCCAGACACCTCTAATCTACAGGGATGATGGTGTTAATGATGACATAGCATATAAATGACTATAACTAGGTAAACTAGATAACCTTTAAAGATGGCAAGATTGGGGATCCCTGGGGGGCTCAGTGGTTTAGCACTTGCTTTCAGCCCAGGGCGATCGGATCCTGGAATCGAGTCCTACGTCGGGCTCCCGGCATGGAGCCTGCTTCTCCCTCTGCCTGTGTCTCTGTCTCGGTCTCTCTTTCTTCTCTCTCTCTGTGTGTCTCAAGAATGAATAAAATCTTAAAAAAAATGGCAAGATTCGACTATAATAAAGAAGTATTGATGGCTATCATGTCATTCTTGGTTTTGATTTTTTTTTCAGTTGTCCTCATCTCAATAATTATAACCATAGTAACAATGGCTAACAATCTGGGCCCTTTTTTGATGTTTCCATTTTCAATTTTCAGACACTCTTCTAAGCACTTTATACTAATGCATGTCTCCCCACAACCTTGCATGACAGTGTTATCTCCAAAACGGTTGAGGAAAAGCATTGATTTGCAGGTACGGAGACTGAGGCAGCAGAGACTGTGTGGTCCAGGGACACAAGGTCCCCCACTGGCAGTTGACCACACCAGGATGTCATACAAAGAAGTCTAGTTCTGGAGTCCTCCATTCAGGTTAGCCAAGCTAATTCCTTGAGAGGAAACCCCATTTCTTCAACTATTCCATTTTTGGAACAAAAATGTTCTACCTCTAAAATGTATTGCTGGTCTATGTACTACTCTTCATCTCTCTCTCTCTCTCTCTCTCTCTCTCTCTCTCTCTCAAGATTTTACTTATTTATTCATGAGAGACATACAGAGAGAGGCAGAGGCACAGGCAGAGGGAGAAGCAGGCTCCCTGAGGGGAGCCCAATGCAGGACTCAATCCCAGGACCCTGGGTCACACCCTGAGCAGAAAGCAGATGTTCAACCACTGAGCCACCCAGGCATTCCTACTCTCCACCTCTCTGTCTCTAGTGCTGCCACCACAGAAGAAACCACAAGACGATATCATCAAGAAATAAGCTACACCAAACCAGAGTCTTTTTTTTAAGTAGTATAAAAAGTAGTATTTAAAAAAAGTATTTGAAATAGTAGTATACTATTCTAGCTCATGACATATTTTAACCATTTTCAAGTTGTTAAGACAGTTAGTTTGTATCAGTTATCTATTTCTGTGTGACAGATTCCCCCCTAAACAAGACAGTTCGAAACAAGTTTTAAGTTTCTGTAGGGTGAAAATCTGCTAGTGGCTTTGGCTCAGGGCTTCTCAAAGACACAACCAAGATGCTGGGTGGGCTGTGGTCATCTTGAGGTTCAAACTGGGGAAGACCCATTTCCAAGCTTACTCGGCTATTGGTAGAATTCAGTTCCCTGCTGGCTGCTGGTTGGAGACATCAGTTCCTTTCTCCCACTCTCAATAGGTAGATGTCAGTAGGTATCTTGGTATCAGGAGACATCTGCCTATCTATAAAGAGAAAGTGAGGAAGGCTACTCAAGAATTCAGGGTCTTCTTATAACCTAATTGTGCATGCTGTACTCTATTCATTAGAGGTGAGTCAGTAAGTCCAGCCCGCACTCTAGGGGAGGGGATTGCACAAAACTGTGACTACAGGAGGTGGGGATCATGGGGGCCATACTGGAGTCTGCCTACCACATAGGTTTCCCCCCAATTTTTCTACTGCTAACATGCTCTTCTGAATACCTTATTACCTGCATTACATATCCTTATGATACATTTATTGACTAGAAAGGTAAGAACACCTTTTTAAAAAGATTTATTTATTTATTTGAGAGAGAGAGAGAGAGAGAGAGAAAGTGTGAGCAGTGGGGGAGGTGGAGGGAGAGGGAGAGAGAAAGGGAACGAAGCCGACTCCCCACTGAGTGTGGAGCCCCAAACAGGGCTCAATCCCAGGATCCTGAGATCATGACCAGAGCAGAACACTCAACTGACTGAGCTGCCCAGAAGCCCCTTTTCTAGGCATTTAATATAAATGAAATCACATGCTCTGTGATCTTGTGTCCAGCTTCGAAAGAACTTGCATCATGTTTTCAAGGTTCATCCATGTAGAGCATATATCAGAACTTCACTCCTTTTTGGGATCCCTGGGTGGCGCAGCGGTTTGGCGCCTGCCTTTGGCCCAGGGCGCGATCCTGGAGACCCGGGATCGAATCCCACATCGGGCTCCCGGTGCATGGAGCCTGCTTCTCCCTCTGCCTGTGTCTCTGCCTCTCTCTCTGTGACTATCATAAATAAATAAATAAAATTAAAAAAAAAAGAACTTCACTCCTTTTTATGACTGAATAATATTTCATTGTACAGATAGACGTTGCTTGTTTATCCATTCATTAGTTGAGGGACATTTGAGTGATTTTTCACTTTTTGGCTATAAGAATAATACTACTATGAACCTTCACAAGTAAGTTTTGTGTGGATATATATATATATATATATATATATATTTATTTATTTATATTGTGTGTGTGTGTGTGTGTGTGTGTGTGTGTGTGTATTATTTTTTTTTCATTTTCCTCCAGGGTATACCTAGGAGTTGGAATTGTTGGGTCAATTGGTGACTCTATGTTGCACTGTTTGAGGAACTGCCAGACCCTTTCCTACAATGGCTGCACCATACCGTGTTCCCGCCAGTGGCATATGAGGGTTCTGATTTCTCCACATCCTCAGCGACTGTTTATCTTTTCTATTATAGCTAAACTAATGAGTATGAAGTAGAATCTTATTGTGGTTTTCATGTGGGTTTCCCTTATGGTTAATGACGTTGAGCCTCTTTTCACGTGCTTATGGGCTATCTGTATATCTTCTCAGAAAAATGTCTGTTCAGATCCTAGGAATGGGATGGATTTTATGGGAGGGATTGGGACCAGAATGAACCTGCGGTGGGGTGAGATCAAGACAGAGTCGTAGGTTTAAGACTTGGTTCCCCCAACTTCTAGCTGTGTGATTTCTGGGTTTCTGAAGACCTTAGCCTGTTTGCAAGTCTGTATTAGATGGGGATAATAATAATACCTATTTCATGAGGTCACTGCATGGCTGAAATGAGAAAACAGACATGTAGGATTTAGCAAAGCACCTGATACACAGTAAACATGCAATAAATTGGAGCTCTTTTCATGATCTGTAAAGGTAACAACATGATAAGAACTGTGTTTCAGGAAGATAAATCTGGCCATGTTATTATATGAAGTAGATTAAGGAGAGATTGCAGACAAGGCCACCAGTTCAGAGGATCCCCAACAGTTGAAGCCAAAAGGAAGTTTTCCGGCCTTCTTTCCTATTCAAGACAAGTTTTCCTCTAGTTCATGGCCTGAGCAGCCCCAGAAAGGAGTGATCTTGTTGATTTTTCAGGTTGATCAAAGATATTTTCAAAGATATTTAATTAACTCACTAATCCATGAGGAAATAGTGATGAATATGTTTTGAATATTGTGATTAACACTTCATAATAACTTGAAGAATTTTAAATATGTTTATTAACTGTTTCTCCAGAGAGAGATGACATATCAAGCTTTAGTAATTTCAGGGTCATTTATATTATCAATTAAAATACAGTTTTATCCAATGCCTGCTTATGCATTCAATTCCATACATATCTATAAAGCTCCCATTATGTGCCAGGCACTGTTCCAGGCACCAAGTATATAGTGGCAAACACAAGGTCTTTGCACTCAGAGAGTTTATATCCTAATAACGTGAAATATTAAAAATCTGTTCATATAAAAAATATTTATTGAGTACCTACTAGGTGCTCGGGATGCATAAACAAAACAAACATCCTTGTCCTCATAGAGCTTACGTTCTAGTGGGAAGACAGACAAATCATGAACAAAATAAATGAGGCAACTCTACAGTTTATTAAAGGTGATGAGTGTCATTGAAAAATAAAGCAAAGCAGTTAAGGGAGAGTGGGGAGAGGGAGCTAGAACTGCAACTTCTAGATAAGTGATCAGGGTCAGTCTCATTGAGAAATGGAAGGAATTGAGAGAGTGAGCTATGTGGATTTCTGAGGGAAGAATGTACAAGGCAGATGGAACAGCAAATGCAAAGGCCCTGAGGCAGGAGCATTCCTGATAGCAATAAGAACAAGAAGTGGAGTGAGCAAAGGAAAAAGTCCAAGTTATAATGGGAAAGCAGAGAGGGGATAGATCATAGATCCCTAAGGGCCTGGCCCGGTGAAAAGGCCACCATTCATTTCTGAGAGAAACAAATAAAAAGTGCTGAATGTATTTCTTGCTAAGCAAAGGATGGCTGCATTGTAAGCAAAGCCTGTGAACAAAGAAAGCTGTGGTCTTACATAGTGTTTTGGGAAGTGTAGGCTCAGAGATTCACACTTTCAGAAGCTGGACTGTTTGGGGATGAGCTGACCTTTAGCTAAGGAAACAGGATTACCGAAGCGGGGCTGCGGCTGATTGGCTGACTTTCTATAGTGATGAGCTGTCTCTGAGTGAGAGGTTGTCACTGATTGATTCAAAGATTCTGGCTGTTACTTATACTCGGACCAAAGAACAATGAGTCTTTTCCTTTGTCCAACTTAGAATGAACAAACTTGTCACTCTGTGCTTTGCCAGGTCACTGTAAAGTCTTTGTCTTCTACTTGGAGGGAAACGGGGAGGTTCCAGAGGATTTCCGAGCAGACGGGTGACAGGATCTAATTGATAATTTCAGAGGATCACTCTGGCTGCTGTGTGGGCAAGGCGAAGCAGGGGATCAGTTAAAAAGGTCACGGCAGTCATCCTGGTGAGAGGAGATGTGGCTTCAGCCATGAGGGTAGTAATGGGGGGCAATGAGAAGGGCCCCCACTTTGGATATAGTTACAGACAAATAGAGAAGATAATCCAATTCGGCTAAATATTATTGGAGTGAAGAGAATAGTATTTACCTTCACACGAGGTGATATGGTAGAAGACATTACAGAGCAACCAGGTGGGGTTCCTTGAGGAGGGGTGAGGGAAAGCCAGCTAGGACCTTAAGGCAAGAGCCGCAGGAGCACACTTGTGTGTGTGTGTGTGTGTGTGTGTGTGTGTGTGAGAGAGAGAGAGAGAGAGTACGTGTCAGAGCCAAGACCAGTGCAAGTAGAAGGTGGAAGGGGGTAGGGGGAGAGTTAGAAGTCAGCAAGGGAGAAAAAAGCAGAAGCCAGATCCTTCCAGTCCTTGAGTGCATAGAATGGACTGAGAAGAGAGGGGCAAGAATAGAATCAGGAATTTGGAAACAGAGACTGTTCTATACTAGACACTGTCATTATGGAAATTCTATGAGGCCTCATCAAAATAATAAAGTAAAATTCAACTGGGAAGTCTTTGTCGTGCCAAAGATTCTGCTTTGTTGTCTACTGAATTATGACTCATATAAATAATGGTACAAGCTATGGGGCAGCTATGGTGTGTGGACTAGTAAAAGAGACAATCACCTGTCCTTGACCTTTAATGAAAAGTCCAGATTAAGCTTTGCACAGTGGCAGTATCGTAGCCAATGAGGTTTATCCGAGGCACGATCATTGCTAATTGAAAAGTCCAGATTAGCCTAGAAATAATAAAACATTTGAACAGCCAAGAGGCGGAAAAAGGAAAGTCTGGATTAGTCTAGATAATGTCTTTTCCACAACTAAACTGTGATCCACGTCTCCTACCATGTGATCATGAAAAATGGGATTAACATTTACTGGGGGGGCTTCCTGAATGCAGGTTTAAAAGGCACAGAGAACACAGGTTGTTCAACACCAGAGGCATGTTGACCAGGTCTCCCATCTTCTAGCATTAGCTCCAAGGATAAGGAGAGTGCCTTATCCACCTTTGCGGCCTTGGGGCTCCTGGCACTGCCCCAGGTAAATAGTGGGAGCTGAATCACCTTTTTGTTGAATCTGGATGAAGCATATGTCATTTAGATGGACAGTACTGAAGTAAGAGCATATTAACTCAGGGAAGCAGGCATCTTGTAGTGCTTGGTTCATCATCCAGTGTGTGGATTAGTCATATTTCTCTCAATCCTACTACTTCCTTTTTTGTATTTCCTGTCTTTTGAGCACATCATTTCACTCTGAAAACCCCACTCTTATGGGTAATCATAAAGGGAGAAGTCCAATGCAGGCCAATTTTACTCCTTTTTAGCGAATAACGGTTTTTAAAAGTTTGATGGATGTTGAAATTCATATCATATAAAGATCTTAAGATAGTTGGCCAACTTTTTTTTTTTTTTTTTTAGGGCTTTCTATGTGCATTTTCTTTAATCCCAAACAATCCTAAGAAGCTACTATTACTGTCATTACAGAGGTGTGGAAACCATCACGGAGTGGGCAAAGAAATTTGGCTAAGGTCACAAGCCAGGACAAGGAAGAGCTGGACTTCAAATCAGGTTGTCTGATTCCACAGTGGCATTGCCACTTACTCTAACTCTTGGAATAACTTGGAGGCTCTCACTTGTCTTTGCTTCCTTGTTTGCTCTTGAAATGTTAAAATATGCGGAGAAACAGTAGGAGCTCTATAAATAAAACATGTCTATATATTTTTAAATGATTAAAGCTGGAAAGTTTAACGTGGCACCGGGCCACTTGTTTAGTGGAAGTAAAGGGAGGGCGATCGCTGGCTCCCATGGCAGAAATCCTGCCGCCCTTTGCAGCAAGCGGTGCCTGGCTCCCCGCCCATCTGCGATGGTCGCAGCCCAGGGAAGTCCGACCCACACTGCAGCCAGGGAAGGACGGCGGGGGAGCCTGGCTGCAGAGGCGAGAACCGGCCGTGGATTCTTGCGGCCCAAGTGATCATCGGGTTGGGAAAAGCCACAAGTCAGGGAGCAACTACGGGGAGTGCGGGGCAGGGGGTGGCTTGGGCGGGTGGGGCGGGGGGGGAGAAGACAGGACATGCAGCATTTTAAACTCAGGGTGAAGGCTGGCCCGACTGACCAACCTGTTAAACCTGAAGGAGAGGATTGTATCTTTAGATGAAATCTCAACAACGAGCATCGGAGCTCAGTGACCGAGGCGGAGCCGCTTGTGCATTTGGCAACGTTTTCAGGCACACGCGGCGCACACGCGGTGCTGGAGACGCTCCGGGAGAGCCGTGGTTCAAACCCGCCCGGCGGCTCGGGTGCCGCCCCGGCGGGCGGTCTCCGCCCTTGAGGTCCTCTCTAAAGAACCGAGGCGCAGGCCGGCTGCGCTGCGGTGGCCAGACGCTCTCCCGTGGGGGAGGGAGGGGGCTGAAGAGGGAGGGAAGCTTGAGAAATCACGCTTCGCCCGGGCCCGGGCAAACACCGGGGGTTGAAAGCCCGCACAGGCCTCACGAGCGTGCCGGGGTCCCGGCCCCGAGAAGCCCCCGCCGAGCAGCCCCTGCAGGACCCGCCCGCCGCTCCCCGCTCCCCGCTCCCCGCTCCCCGCAGCCCGCTCCCCACTCCGCAGGCTCCAGCCACTGCAGTAGCTCAGCACACCCGGCGGGGGCGGGGCGGGCGGGGGCGGGGCCGGAGCCGGGGGCGGGGCCGCGGCGGGCCCGCGGGCTCGCGGGAGGCGCGGAGGGAGGGTGTCGCGCCGAGGGAAGCGGCCCGCGGCGGAGGGAGGGGAGGCCGAGTCCTGGAAGCGGAGCTCCGCGCTGGGACTGGTTCCTTCGCAGCCATTTTCTGTCCAACCAAACAGCCGATTGGAGACGGGAGCCAACCAGGGCTGCATTGGAGGTTTGTGTCTCGCTTCGGCCAATGATCGCTCCTAAACCGACTCCACTTTAGCTCGAATGAAATGTCCGTCTCCTCCCGGCGCCGTCCCCGCCGCCAACGCCGCCGCGGCCGGGGCAACTCGCCTCCCTCCCGCGCGCCCTCCCGCCCGGGGCCGGGGCCGGGGCCGGGGCCGGGCCGGGGCCGGCGCCTGCGAGGCCGCTCCCGCTGCGGGCCCGGCCGGGGAGCGGCTCTTTGTGCGCCGGGCCGAGGAGCGGCGGGACGCGGGCCAGGCCGCCTCCTGCTCGCCGCCGCCGAGCTCCGGCCCGAGGCCGAGGAGGGGGCGCCGGGGCACCGTCAGGCCCGTCCCGGCGGCGGCCCGGCCGGCTCCATTTTGTGCGGGGAGCCGGGCGGGGGGCACCGGCCCCGACCCTGCGCCCTTGACCGGGCGGCCCGCGGGGGCATGGCGGGGCCGGGCCGCTTTGTCTGCCCCGGCGCCTCGGGCGGGCGTTGGGCGCGGGCCCGGGGCCTGGGCGGGCGAGTCGAGGGACGCGCGCCGGGGGCGGCCGCCCCACACCCGCGGGACTGACGCTCGGCCGGGCCGGGCCGGGCCGGGCCGGGCCGGGCCGGGCGGTGGGGCCGGGACGAGCCCGCGCACCTCCGTGGGGAGGAGGCGAGGTCCCCGGGAGGAAGGAGTGGACTCGGTCTCCCCGCAGTCTGGCTTACACGTAGAGAATGCAGCCGTCTGGCGGCTTGCGGTCCCTGGACGTGCCCCGAAGGTGGGAAGCCTTCGGGGACTGAGGTTTTGATCTTCGGTGGGAGGCGGGGAGGATCTGCCAGCCCTGAGGAGCGGTAGTCTTCGAGAACAAAGAATTACAGAGCACCCACAAGTCGTGAGCTCGCCCAAAGTACTGTAACAGGATGATTCAAACAAGGTCAGGTAGCTTACGACCTTAAAAAGAAATAGCGTCCCACCAACCCGCACGCCCTCCGCGGTGCCCTGGTTCGTGCCACGAATCACTGGGGTGGTTTGGGCGTTCTTAGTATGGAAACTCCTCGGCAAAATAAAGTGGTAAGATAAACTGATCGGTATTAGTGGCATTAGTAAATAAGGGTTTTATTTGTGAAGTATTGAAAGTTTAACCAGAATTCCTTAAAAGGCAATTATTCCTTCCCCGCACTGCTCCTGTAGCTTAATTTAAGGATTCTATTGATGCAAAACTCTGGTTGTTGATGCCAGAGAATGGAGGGTGGAGGAAGGGTCTGCTGCTTTTCTTGGATACAAATTTGCATTTCTTCAAACATTAAACAGATGTATGCATTCCCTTGAGCCTTCACATATATCATAACCTGCCGTTAGGAAAATGTATACCATATGAGGTGACAGTGTTTATCCTTAATATATTGAATTTGAATATATACTGAGTCAACTATTTGGGCGAGAGTGTGTGGTGAGGTGTGCCCACCCCGACCCCCCCCCCAAAAAAAAACAAAATACATCAATATATATAGCTCCATTATTTAAGTGTACTGAGGATTTCCATTTTCAAAGACACACTTTAAAAAACAAGGAAGGAATCTTCTGGGCAGTTTTGGGGTTAGATGAGAATATTTAAAAAGAAATTAGACGTTGCTTTTAAGATTACAGCAGAGTAGACAACGTCAGCCAGTCTATGCTGCCCCGACTGACATTTAAAAAATTCAGTTCGTGGCTATAATTTTTTTTTTCTGTTTACTAGATTTCATGCTTGAATGCATATCATTTTCTCTTCCTTTAAAATTAACACTGAAAGGATATGTTTTCGTTTTGCCCCTCCCCCCAATTTAATTGCCTCACTTGAAAAAAGGGAAAGGAGCAAATGAAAAATGGAGATTGTAACATTGTAATTGATACCAATTTATTCAGCTATTTATGCCTTACAGCGAAAATGAAGTGCTATTCAGATGCAATTTTAGTCCAAAATGGTGGTGCTTTAAAATGATAAATAAAGGTCCTAATTGATAATGTTCCATGTATGTTCTCTTGGCAGCATCTATCTTCTTTTCAGTATAATCTGAGGTGCTTATTTAAAACATTGTATTCTGAGATACTCTTCTCCCCTTTTGAGCTTTTGAACTCCTAAATCTCACTCTAAAACATTAAGAAAATCATCACCGAAAAATTAAATTGGGGTGTTTGTGTCTTAATTGAATAATTTAGATGTGTAAATTTTGGTCTCGTGCATATAATTTGGGATGTTGTGATGAATATTTATGATGAACATGACTAAATTCAGGGTTATGTTGGAAAAGCAGTTCCTTCCTGCCATAGAATTAACTTGTTTTGCAAGGTCTCCAAAATATATCTACCAATTTAAGAAACTTTGGGTGCCTGCTTTTTTGCACTCTGTTGAATCAGAATAGATGCCTTTTAAATTTTTACTAGGAAGAAAGCCTGTAGGCTATACGTTGTTACTACTAATAGTTGTTTATCTTCTAGGTTGAAATTGGGTGAAGATTGGACCCCTTTTTAAAAAGGTGTTCCTGAACACCACTGACAACACAGTTCTGACAGTATTTCATGACAGTAAGTATGCTTACCATTTTGGTTGTCAAACAGTAATTAGCTGGAAACAAAATTATAAGTAATGTATATTGGAGATCCCAAGTAGGATGAATGCTCTTCAAGTCTAGACAGACAGTATCTCTACTCATTCTTGTTGCTTCTTTCTTTTTAGTGACTTGCACGTATTGTTGTGGGCTCCTAAGAGCTGTGGAAACTACAAGATAAAAAGCTTGTCCCAGCTCTTAAGAGTTTGTCTCTTTTGCTAGGACTTTAGTCGAGCACCAAATGGGAAATGCTGGTTCTAAGGGTAGCAGAGGTGAAGAGACCAGTGGTGTGGTAGGCCTGGGTAGTTGGGAATGTTGTGGATTTAGCCTTGAAGGATGAGTGGGATGTGGATAGGTGGAAGGTATTGCCGAAACAAAAGCCTGGAGGGAGGGATGAGTAACTGATTTGTTTAAGGGATGAGAAGTAGATCTACATCGTTCAAGTGGAGATTTCATAGGGTAATTTAGTGAGAGATACCGCTTGCCCTGTCCGGATACTTAGTTCTGGATCTGCTACTATATTTGTGATGTCAGGCATGTTACAGCTTCATTGAGCCAGGAATCATGCCTCACTCCTAAAATAAAAGAGCTGTACCTGGTGATCCTTAAACAGGTACATGCTAGCACTAAGATTTTTATCAGCCCTGAAAACAGAGTTGGAAACAAGTTCAGTTAGGTTAAGTGGGGGATACACTGATGAAAAGCTGTGAAAAACTAGGTTTTGATTTGTTGCTAAAGACTTTGAGAACCATTCTAGGTTCAGGAGCCATAGAAATGGTGTTTTAGTGAGCCCTGTCTTAAAACAGTGTGCACCCTGGTAGGTTGGGTAGTAATGCAGTGGCAGTAAAAAAAGGAAGGGCATATCCAGGAAACTTACTAAAAGAGGTAACAGCTTAGGTAGAACTTATAGGAGATAGAAGATTCTAAGTATCTGGTATAATACTGATACTGGTATAATTAGCCTGGGAGGGTGGGATTGCAGTATTTGAAAAGGAGATCAGGAGCTCTCATCTTTCGCCTCCTTGCAAGAATGGGGAGTTTCATTATCCAGAATCCTAAGTTGGCAGTGATGGGATATCAGACATGTTGTACAGGCAGGATATGGTTGTAGGTTTAGGACTTCTAAGCATAGAAGTGGTATTTAACGAATCCATTAAGAGAGTGAGGGAAGAAAGAGGGAAGGATAACCTTGGAGGAAAAAATAAACCAGGGAATGATGTAGCTTTTGAAATCAAGGGATAAGGGAATTCCATGTGTAAGTGTGGGGTCTGATTACCAAGAGCAGTCAGGTAGGATGAAGGCAAGATTACCGGCAACTTCTAAGAACAGTTTCAGTACCTGATGGGGTAGAGAAGCGCATGCCAGGAGTTGAATGGGGATGAAGAGGTGTATGAGGACTGTTGGGGTGACAGTGATAGCTAGACAAGGGTGTGGAGCAGAATTGTGGTTTTACAGGTCTGTGTGTACTTGTGTGTGTTCAGTGAGGGAGCCTAAACATGTTGAAAAAAGAGTGAAGCAGCTGGTCGGGGGCGGGGGGGCACGGAAGATCCAGTAGAGGTGAGGGACCTTTGTGTTCTTATCCTCAAAGAGATAAAAAAGAATTGGTCCAGACAACAGGTGAAGGGGTTATGTGAGAGAGAAAACTATGCCTGAAAATAAAGGTGAGAACTGCATTTGAAGGGACAAAAATAATATTAGGTTACATTTGTTGAGTTCTTATTATGTATCGTGCACTTTGCTAAGTACTTTTTATAGAATAGCTTCACTTCTCATTGCAACTCCATTTTAAAAATGGGGAAGCCGAGGCACCAAGAGAAGAGTAAGTCAAGACCAACCTGGGTAGTCCGTCCTAAGGGCCAGTGTTCCTGATCCTGAACCCGAAACCAGGTGCCTTGCTTATATCTCACACATAGTGTCCTTACTTGAGAAGCAACTTTACATGTTTTTAATATACAACCAGTAGACCCAGAACTTAGAGAGGGCAAAGTAAACATTTAGGCTGATGGACTATAGGAAAAATTATTAGGAAGAAATGCTGTAAAGTACTTGGCACTGACACCTTGGATTTAAATCCCATTTACTCTGCCACCTTGGGCAAGTCATTAGCCTTATGTAACCTCAGTTCTTTCATTGCTTCATGGGGTCATGAACATTGCATGAGATATTTATAAAGTGTTCAATAAATGTTAAACATGTTAAAGAGGGAACTGTTTCCTCCATTTGGGCAACAAATTATTAACATAATTTAAAAACTGCTACATCACAGAATTGTAGAATAAAAATATATTAGCCAGCTGACCATTCCTTTCACATAATATTTTAGAGAACAGTATCAGTTCAACCTAAGTAATCAGAATAGTCATTAAACATTAATTAAATGCGATTGAACTACTCTTTGTCCATTCTTACCAGTTCTCTTGGATCTTTTTTTTAATAATTTATTTTTTTATTGGTGTTCAATTTGCCAACATACAGAATAACACCTAGTACTGATCCCATCAAGTACCCCCCTCAGTGCCCGTCACCCATTCCCCCCACCCCCCGCCCTCCTCCCCTTCTACCACCCCTAGTTCCTTTCCCAGAGTTAAGAGTCTTCATGTTCTGTCTCCCTTTCTGAAATTTCCTACCCATTTCTTCTCCCTTCCCTTCTATTCCCTTTCACTATTATTTATATTCCCCAAATGAATGAGACCATATGTTTGTCCTTCTCCAATTGACTTATTTCACTCAGCATAATACCCTCCAGTTCCATCCACGTTGAAGCAAATGGTGGGTATTTGTCGTTTCTAATGGCTGAGTAATATTCCATTGTATACATAAACCACATCTTCTTTATCCATTCATCTTTCGATGGACACCGAGGCTCCTTCCACAGTTTGGCTATTGTGGACATTGCTGCTAGAAACATTGGGGTGCAGGTGTCCTGGCGTTTCATTGCATCTGAATCTTTGGGGTAAATCACCAGCAGTGCAATTGCTGGGTCGTAGGGCAGATCTATTTTTAACTCTTTGAGGAGCCTCCACACAGTTTTCCAGAGTGGCTGCACCAGTTCACATTCCCACCCACAGTGCAGGAGGGTTCCCTTTTCTCCGCATCCTCTCCAACATTTGTTGTTTCCTGCCTTGTTAATTTTCCCCATTCTCACTGGTGTGAGGTGGTATCTCATTGTGGTTTTGATTTGTATTTCCCTGATGGCAAGTGATGCAGAGCATTTTCTCATGTGCTTGTTGGCCATGTCTATGTCTTCCTCTGTGAGATTTCTCTTCATGTCTTTTGCCCATTTCACGACTGGATTGTTTGTTTCTTTGCTGTTGAGTTTAATAAAGTTCTTTATAGATCTTGGAAACTAGCCCTTTATCTGATACGTCATTTGCAAATATCTTCTCCCATTCTGTAGGTTGTCTTTTAGTTTTGTTGACTGTATCTTTTGCTGTGCAAAAGCTTCTTATTTTGATGAAGTCCCAATAGTTCATTTTTGCTTTTGTTTCTTTTGCCTTCGTGGATGTATCTTGCAAGAAGTTACTGTGGCTGAGTTCAGAAAGGGTGTTGCCTGTGTTCTCCTCTAGGATTTTGATGGAATCTTGTCTCACATTTAGATCTTTCATCCATTTTGAGTTTATCTTTGTGTATGGTGAAAGAGAGTGGTCTAGTTTCATTCTTCCGCATGTGGATGTCCAATTTTCCCAGCACCATTTATTGAAGAGACTGTCTTTCTTCCAGTGGATAATCTTTCCTCCTTTATCGAATATTAGTTGACCATAAAGTTCAGGGTCCACTTCTGGGTTCTCTATTCTGTTCCATTGATCTATGTGTCTGTTTTTGTGCCAGTACCACACTGTTTTGATGACCACAGCTTTGTAGTACAACTTGAAATCTGGCATTGTGATGCCCCCAGATATGGTTTTCTTTTTTTAAAATTCCCCTGGCTATTCGGGGTCTTTTCTGATTCCACACAAATCTTAAAATAATTTGTTCTAACTCTCTGAACAAAGTCCATGGTATTTTGATAGGGATTGCATCTAATGATTCATTAGTTCACCTACTGTCTTGTCATTCTCCTACATGCCCTTCCTCTTCATTGTCTGGATAAAACCTGACACTGTTAGCTTCTCTACTCTCACACCGGGTACATGTGTGACACCTGGCCATGCTGGTGCCATTGTGCATTTGTGGTCGTCAGCTCCTGCTTGGCTCTTCGCACTGCCCAGTGCTCCCATTCTGTCTCCAGCTGCAGGAACCCCAGCAGCGTCCCCTCCATCCTTGTCTGCTTTGTTTTTACTCAGTGCCCAGGCCTGCTCATCTGAGCTCCTGAAAGGCTCTTTCATCAGTCCCCTTGATCCCTACTGCCGTTTTGCTGGACAGCATCTGGGGAGTGTTATCATCTCACCAGAATTCATGCTCTGACTATGGCCTCATGGGCCTTTGTGGTCTTCTGCCCCCATTCTTGCCCTGTTCTGCCTATTTAGACACTGGACTGTAGCCAGAGTGATCTTTTCAAAAAATCTTTTTTGCACAGTTCTGCAAAAACCTCCCTTTGATTTGTTCTTATGCACAAGGCACTGCTTGATCTAGCCTCTACTTTGTCCATTCCGGTCCAACAGTAGTAGATTTCTGTTTCCTTGGCCTGGAACATTGTTTTCCCATTTTTTCCTTGCCTGACCAATTTCTGTCTTTGAATCTCAGCTTAAATTATTTATTTATTTATTTATTTATTTACGATAGTCATACAGAGAGAGAGAGAGAGAGAGAGAGAGAGAGAGAGGCAGAGACACAGGCAGAGGGACAAACAGGCTCCATGCACCGGGAGCCTGACGTGGGACTCGATCCCGGGTCTCCAGGATCGAGCCCTGGGCCAAAGGCAGGTGCCAAACCGCTGCACCACCCAGGGATCCCCTGAATCTCAGTTTAAATGTCATTTCCCGTGACCACTTCCTTGACTCCCCAGAAAAATGTGGCCCCTTTTGCAATAAGCTCTCAAAGCATACAACAAAAGACTTGTTTCCCTTAGCACTTGGCACTAGCAATTAGTCAGTTGTAATTATTTAATAGCTATATACATAACATTTACTGGGTATTCCTGTTAATACTGTGCTGTCTTTCCATGGGGAGTCCCGTCTCGCTCAAGGTCTCATGCCAAGTAAGTAGGAAGGAATTCAAACCAGGTGATAGGATTCCAGAGCCTGTGCTGTGGAAATATTAATAGACTACACTCCCCACTCCTTTCCCCTGCCACTAGTTTGCATAATACCTGTCTTCCCTGCAAGATGAGGACAGAGATCTTGTCTATGCTGTTGACTGCTACATCCCCAGCACATAGCACGGACCTGATAAATACCAGGTGCTTACTTGGTAAATATTTGTTAACTGGCTTACTTACAATCTGGCTTACAATCTCCAGTTTATTTTGAATATTTTTAAAATTTTTTAAATATTTATTTATTTATTCATGAGAGAGAGGCAGAGACATACGCAGAGAGAGAGAAGCAGGCTTCTTGCAGAGAGCCTGATGTGGGACTCAATCCCCAGACCCAGGATCACCTCTGAGCCAAAGTCAGATGTTCAACCGCTGAGCCACCCAGGCGTCCCTATTTTGAATATTTTAATAGGAAGTTTATACCTTGTAAAAGCCTTCGGGATGTATCTAGCAAGTTTCCCTGCCTCATTTCCCCCCTCAGATGTTTGAATGGGCTAGCTATTGTAAACATAAAAGTTGAGGCCAATTTGTTGAATGGAAGGTACTAATCTTTGGGGATTCAAAGAAGGGAACACTAATTTTGGACTTGCAGGATGGAGTAAATCAAAGATTTCAGGAGGGTGGGAGAACACTGGGATTAATGACAGGATTTTAATGGTAGAAAGATAGAGGAGAGGAAGACAGAGATGGGGTGAAACGACAAGAGGAGCTACGACTTGTAGACCTAAAGACACACACAGCTAAGCCTGCTATGTGCAGCTTATCCTCAGGGAGGGAGGATGGGATTGCTGTCTCCTGGGTACACCACGCACCAAACAGCTCTTGAGCAGATTCCCTTTCTTTCATTCTGACAACAAATACTTGCAGAGTATGTTTTAGAAGACTGAGGTTTCAAGGCTAATGCTGTGAATCCAAATGATAATCTTGCTACTAATTCCAGTGTATGACAAAGGTAATGTGATTTGAACTTTTTACCTTTAATACTTTTTTAATGTTCTATTTATAAATTAATAAATCTCCCAGGGGCAGCCCGGGTGGCTCAGCGGTTTAGCGCCACCTTCAGCCCAGGGCCTGATCCCGGAGTCCTAGGATCGAGTCCCATGTTGGGCTCCCGGCATGGAGCCTGCTCTGCCTGTGTCTCTGCCTCTCTCTCTCTCTCTCTCTCTCTCTCTCTCTCTCATGAATAAAATCTTAAAAGAAAAAATCTCCCAGATACCCACCCACCCCACCCCAACAAAGATTTGTTTCCAGTTGTAGGTTCTGAAACAGCCGCTTTGGTCTTTTCTCTTGAACCTTGATCTCTCTAATCTCCCTTAGGGCATTGTAAAAACTAGTCAGTTCACAGCTATCCTAATTGAGCTTTTATGGTTAATAAATCCATCATCAAATCAAAGAGCACTCTTCTAGTATCTTGTTGATATTTTAGGATTAAAATGGCATTTTATTTTTGGGTAATGTTTCACATTAGCTGTTTAATATGGGGAAGGTGATACTATTTCCATTTTATATAGAAATACAGGGGGGATCCCTGGGTGGCGCAGAGGTTTAGCGCCTGCCTTTGGCCCAGGGCGCGATCCTGGAGACCCGGGATCGAATCCCACATCGGGCTCCCGGTGCATGGAGCCTGCTTCTCCCTCTGCCTGTGTCTCTGCCTCTCTCTCTCTGTGTGACTATCATAAATAAATAAATAAATAATTAAAAAAAAAAAAAAAAGAAATACATTTAACAGGTAGGGATGCTGTTTTCAGGGATCAGCAGGAGAGTCAGTATCAGAGCTCACTAACTGTTGTTTATTACCTTTTAGAAGCCACTAAGAAGTATCAATAAATAGATACCCTCTACTTGTGCAAATTATTAAAGGTAGGTAAATTCTATTCTCTAGCCCCTTAGAAAACTATGTAGATTATGGAAATGTATCTTTATCAACAATTAAATTAGATACTGCAGTCAACAGATGTATCAAAGAAATGCCATGTTATTGAAGACTTGGAAACTAGCCTGCTGTTTTCCTAGTAGATGAAAATCCAACAGCCAGAGAAGGACATGGTACACAAGGACTTAAATAGTGCAGTTAATAACATTAAACTTGTTATCAAGGTCCTAGGCCTGGATAAACATTTAGGGTCAAGTGTTTTTTTGATTTGGCCTGAAAACATGTATAGATTGTACTTAATTTTACTACTCTTTTTATTCAGGTAATGCATTTACAATTTTTCCACCTACAAATAGCTAGTCCCTTATTGTTTTGTATAGTAGTATTTGCAAAGCAGAAAGACTTCCAGGATTTGCCATGTTGGTGAAATGGAATGGAGATAGTTCAGGGCTTATGGTTGTTTTCTCTAGATTTTCCCTCTTAGAATTCTTTTAGCTCTAAGCAAACTTAATCAGGTTTCTTTCTTTTTGTTGTTAAAGATTTTATTTATTTAACAGAGAGAGCACACAAAGAGGAACAGCAGAGAGAGAGGAAGAAGCAGACTCTCTGCTGAGCCAGCAGCCCGATGTGGGTCTCTATCCCAGGATTCCCCAGATCATGACCTGAACCAAAGGCAGATGCCCAACTGACTGAGGCACTCAGGCATCCCTAGCAGACTTCTTTTAAAATAGTCATTTTAATTCCCATTCTTGTCTGTGGTTATAATTTTATTGTTTTCATATGTAGATCTTCAGTCTCCCTGACCCTGCTTTTTTTTTTTTTTCCTAATTTTAATTATTTATTCATGAGAGACACATTGAGAGAGGCAGAGACACAGGCAGAGGGAGAAGCAAGCTCCATGCAGGGAGCCCAATGTGGGACTTGATCCTGGGTCTCCAGAATCATGCCCTGGGCTGAAGGCAGGCGCTAAATCGCTGAGCCACTCAGGCTGCCCCTTTTCTGTTTTCTTTAAAGAATCTGAAGTTTGAGGACAGGGGTAGGACTGTTGAGTAGAATTAGAGGTGATAGGCTCATTTAAAGGATTAGTGTGCTTTTGGGTTGCATGGGCACAGATTTGTCCAAAGAATCCATATGCATCCCATACCAAACAACAGTTTGAACCAAGGCATTGCCTCTCGTGGAGCTTTTGTGAGACATCAGAGAAAGTTTGCAGCAGGAGCAAAGTATTTGCATAGGACTATCATGCTTTAGCAAGACAGCAGAAAGTGTTGGAAATCGGTGACTTTTAGGTGACTGCTAAGCTGACTTTGGCTTTGCTTGTCACTCCAGGGACAAGCTAGGTTGTAAGTCAGGGTTGTCTGCACTTATGATGAGTATGCAGTTGAAAAGAAAGAGGTGTGTTTAGATTCATTTTGTTTCCTTGTTGGTCTTATGCCTATCACTTATAGAGTGTAGATAGGGGAATCTTGAATCACTGGAAAATTATCAAAAGGTTTCCAAATCAAGAGATATGTTTTCTTTCAGTAAGCTTAATGTCTTGAAAACTAATTGACCCATCCTATGACAGTTATGAGCATTGAATCTATTACGCTTTTTAGACGTTTTATTGTAGAGTATTATAAAATTTCTTTCCTCGTAGATGGATGGCGACAGTGCTACCACAGATGCTTCTCAACTAGGCATCTCTGCAGACTACATCGGAGGAAGCCACTATGTTATACAGCCTCATGATGGTAAGAAAGCCACAGTTAAAGACATTCAGTAGCAGAAACAACTTAGTGGGAATTATATTAATTTGATGCTCCAGGTTACTTGTATCTTTACAGGAAAATTAGCAGTCTTGTGTCAAAGTTCAGTGATAGTCTAAAAAGATGTACCATACTGTTTTTACTAGAAATAGTCATCAAAAGAGAGATGAAGTCTAGAAAAGAATTCTATTAAAGTATGTTTTTGGGGCACCTGGGTGGCTCAGTCAGTTAAGCATCCAATCTTGATATCAGCTCAGATCTTGATCTCACGGTTTGAGTTCAAGCCCCTCATTGGGCTCCATGCTGGGCATACTTAAAAAAAGAAAAAAATATATATATGCTTTTTAAAATTGGCACAGTTTCTTTAAAGATTTGTTACTGATGTCCTGTTTAAGTATTAAGTATGACAAATTCTTACTTAATTGGTAGAGTAAATTAAGTAGTTCTTTAGAGGGTGAGTTCCTAGCTATTGTATTTCTAGTACTTATGAACAGACTATTTTTGGGTTTTATTCAATATTAAGTTTGAACTATGTTAGGTATTAGAATGGCAGTATCATGTTGGCCTATGAGAAATAATGTACTTCAGTGTCATTCTGATGTGTAATATTAAAAAAATGTGAGAGAGATGTTTGTTTTTGAGAGGAAGATATATACATATTTTTTTTTATTTTTATTTTTATTTTTTTTTTAACGAGAGCTTGTGTGTGAGTTGGGAGAGGGGCAAAGGGAGAGAGAATACTAAGCAGGCTCCATCCTCACAGTGGAGCTCAACTTGGGATCAGATCTCATGATGAGATCAAGACCTGAGCTGATATCAAGAGTTTGATGCTTAACTGAACTGAGCCACTTAGCCAGCCACCCCGAAGATATATTTTTTAGGAGGCAGTTGGAAGTGGGTAATTAGTTACTTCATCCTGAAACAGAGATACACATAAAAATGTAACTCAAAAAAAAAAAAAAAAGTAGCTCGAATCAGCATAAGTGCCTTTCTTTTTTTAATACATACAAAGAGTGGGAAATTTACTTACAGGATACTATATTTCATTATAAGAGGATATTAGTGGTACTGTGAAAGCTGCAGTTATATCTAAGTCTGTATAATTTGAGGATTCACTTTTTATATAAATATTGGATCAGACTATAGCTTTGTTCAGAAACTTACATTAGTTTTATCCAATTGGGTCAGTAATATTCAAGTCCACTTTTTCCATTCTATATAAACTTGGTTTTGCATAAACATATAACCTCATAATCTGGCAATTTGCAAGGAACCATAGGTCATAGTCTGTAAGTTTTCTAGTTAAGCTATGTAACAAATATTTATGAGTACCTCTTCTGTGGAAGATAATCTACCAAGTTCTGGGAAGTATATAGAGCTGGTCCCTGGCCTCAGATAGTAAACATCTAATAGGGAGGATGAGAAATAAAAGGAATTATAAAATATGTCAGAAAAGGCTCAGAGAAGCACTTTGTGATATTCTTTGAAAGGAGAGATCACTTCTGAAGGTGCTGTGGAGATGTTTTTGAGCTTTCTGGAGAACAGATACGTACGGTTTTAGCAGGCCGAATTAAGGATAAAAGGACTTGAGGCCATGGGTTTGAAACTAATAACTAGGTTCGGTTATGGCTGTGAGAATGTGAAAAGAACTACTATTCTCCTCCCCAAAAGTGATTAGGAAATGAGCCAGAATGGTTCTTAGTTTCAGGTAGTCTTCTCTATCTTGAAGTAAAGATGATGAGAAACTTTAAACCAAGTCCTTTTTGTTTCTTTAGATACTGAGGACAGCATGAATGATCATGAAGACACAAATGGTTCAAAAGAAAGTTTCAGAGAACAAGATATCTATCTTCCAATTGCAAATGTAGCAAGGATAATGAAAAATGCCATACCTCAAACGGGAAAGGTAATGCAGAGGACACATTTTACCCAGTTTCCTTTTCCAGGGAAGAGGGGAACATAGACCTACATGGGTGTGTAGTTCCTGAATATGGTCAGTTGTAGATTTCAGCCATTCAGCCCTCCAGCAAGTCCAGTAGCTCCTACAGTTCTGCACACTTTTTTTCTTTTTTAAAGATTTTATTTTTCTTCATGAGAGACACACAAAACGAGAGAGAGAGGCAGAGACACAGGCAGAGGGGAAAGCAGGTTCCATGCAGGAGCTTGACGTGGGACTTGATCCCGGGTCTCCAGGATCAGGCCCTGGGCTGAAGGCGGTGCTAAACCACTGAGCCACCTGGGCTGCCCCAGTTCTACACACTTAATTACTGAGCAGTTCTGTTTGCAGTTCTCACACCCGCGCCCCCCCCCCCCCCCAACCCAAACAACACTGCGTCCCCTTCCCGACTTGAAGCTGATAAAACAAAATTAAGAATCTCCTTTAAAATAGGTGCATTATGAGAACTATCAGGTTTGGGTATATGGAGTTGTAGCTTCTATAATGTTGCAGCAAAATTGGGTCATTTTGGTCTAATGAAAAAATCCTGAGATTTGGAATCAGCTATTTTTATATAATCATAAATATTAACATACATTTAAATTTAACTGGCATGATTTTAAAAAGTAGTTCTGTCTTGAGACAACCATATAGACATTTATACCAACTTACAAAAACTCGTCACTCTACTCATCACTTGTTCTGAATTACAATCCACATTTTTAATATTTTATATTGCACAATAAACTTTTTCTCATTGTAGCTTATAAAGTACTTACAAAAGTAATAAAGCTCACAAAGAAATATATTATTAAAACACATAGCTAAGCCTAGAAATTCCAGTATGAGAGGTTCTCCTTATGTTCTAAAGGGAAATAAAGCACAACTGCTGATTACTGTTTCTGTGGCTAGGCCTGTGTTGTCTAGTACCTCAGGCCACCAGCCAGATGCAGTTATTGAGCACTTGAAATGTGGCAAGTCTGAATTAAGATGTGCTGTAAATGTAAAACATACTTCAGATTGTAGAGGCTTAGTATGAAAAAAAGAAGGAAAATAATTTTAAAATAGATTCTGTGTTTAAATATTTTGATTTATTGGGTTAAAATAATTATTAAAATTAATTTCACCTTTTTTTAAAACATAGCTACTAGAAAATCTAAAGTTATGTGTACAGCTAGCATATTATCTTGTCCACCTGCATTTATGCAGCTCTTCTTTACTTTTCTCGGGATGTAAAACGGGCAAGGAGGTAGAAGACAGTACGTTTCAGCAAGGCTTTTATTGTTCCTGTTAGAAGTGGCTTTGGAAGACGAATGGATAAAGAAGATGTGGTATATGTATGCAATGGAATATTAGCCATTAGAAACGACAAATACCCACCATTTGCTTCGATGTGGATGGAACTGGAGGGTATTATGCTGAGTGAAATAAGTCAGTTGGAGAAGGACAAACATTATATGGTCTCATTCATTTGGGGAATATAAAAAATAGTGAAAGGGAATAAAGGGGAAAGGAGAAAAAATGAGTGGGAAATATCAGAAAGGGAGACAGAACATGAGAGACTCCTAACTCTGGGAAACGAACAGGGGTGGTAGAAAGGGAGGTGGGTGGGGGTGGGGGTGACTGGGTGACAGGCACTAAGGGGGGGCACTTGATGGGATGAGCACTGGGTGTTATGCTGTATGTTGGCAAATTGAACTCCAATATAAAGAAAAGAAAAAAGAAAAAAAAGAAAAAGAAAGAAAAGGAGAAAGAAAGAAAAGGAGAAAGAAAGAAAAGGAAGGAGGGAGGGAGGAAAGAAAGGAAAGAAGAAAGAAAGAAAGAAAGAAAGAAAGAAAGAAAGAAAGAAAGAAAGAAAGAAAGAAAGAAAGAAAGAAATAGAAATGGCTTTGGAATTGCATGATTTAATTCATTAGTTTAACTTTGAAACCCCACACCTTTAAGAGAAGAATTGCTTTTATAGTAAAGTGGCAGGTGTATGCTGCTTTTTAATAAACTCAAAATCTGTACCTGACACTTAATATCTTCAGTAATAAAAATGTCACAAGATGTCATTATTTCACTCCCTGTAAGCCTTACATGAATTCATTGTTTTGTCTTTTAAAAATTTTCTCTTGTCCTTATTTGTGGAAGTGCTAGGGCAAAGAGGTGATACCTGCATCTAGCCCACACTATACTATATACACTATGGGATTGATTTTCTTGGGGTACTTGGTTAGTAAGATTTCATCTTTATGGGATGGTAGGGACATCCAGTGGTTGCTTTTTTTTTTTTTTTTTAAGATTTCTTTATTTATTCATGAGAGTCACAGAGAGGCAGAGACATAGGCAGAGGGAGAAGCAGGCTCCCTGTGGAGAGCCCAATGTGGGACTAGATTCCGGATCTTGGGATCACACACTGAGCCAAAGGCAGACGCTCAACCACTGAGCCACCCAGGCAATCCCCAGTGGTTGCTTTTATAACCTAAACTTACCTGTTTTCTGTGAATAGTTGTCACAGTGGCTTCTTTCACTGGTATTTGAGTTTTTATTCTCACTCCGAGGGTTGGGATTTTGATAGTACACATTTTGTCAATGTAATTAGCATGTTATTTCAAAGATGAAATGTCAACAGCCATGAACTAAGATCTGTATTCTTCTAAATAGCTTTTTATTTTTGTAGGTTGTTATGAATGGGATGGTTATATTCCCTTCAAATTTACCTGTGATTTTTCTCTTCAGATTGCAAAAGATGCCAAAGAATGTGTTCAGGAATGTGTGAGTGAGTTCATCAGCTTTATAACATCTGAAGCAAGTGAAAGATGTCATCAAGAGAAACGGAAGACAATCAATGGAGAAGATATTCTCTTTGCCATGTCAACCTTAGGCTTTGACAGTTATGTAGAACCTCTAAAATTATACCTTCAGAAATTCAGAGAGGTAAGTAAGATGATTTCCATTATGCTTTTAAGAAACTAAGACATACTATTTAATTTTTTAAATGTATCATCCATCAGAAGAAGCATGTAATCATTTAATCATTTAAATAGTATGTCAAAAAAGTAAATAGTATGTCCTTTCTTTTTCCCTTTGTTACTAATGACATCATAGTTGGGTAATGATTGAGAGCATTGGACTCTGGATTACAACCACCTGAGGCTGAGTCCCAGCTCCACATGTGACATCAGGCAGATTATTTAATACATTAGGCTGTAGTTTCCTGGTCTGTAAAGTGAGGTTACTAATAGTACCTACCTCCCAGGGTTAATGAGTGAACTAAGTAAAATAATCTATGTACAGCCCTTAGCTTGGCATATAGTGAGCACTCAGTAATGGTAAAACATGCTATGGTTATTATTAATTTAAAAGAGGTAGCATCTTAAAGCTTGCGGCCTTCTAGATAAGAAAAAAGGAATTATAACTATCTCTCTTTTTTTTTTTTTTTTTAGTTAAATTCTTTTGCGTTTCCTTTTGGATTTATCTTTGCCCATGGTATGAATTTTATGGAGATAAATTGAGATCAGCATATTTATTTCTGCACTCCAACTTGGGTGTCAGATTTATATTGCTTTCAAAATACTTTATTAGCTTTAATGTTAGAATCCCATTAAATTAGTGATCTATGCATCAAATGATTAAAGCATGAAGAGAATGTAAAAATTCTTCACAGTACTTTTCCAAATTTTTTCATCATAGAATCTTAGAGTGAATGAATGGAAACTTAGAGCTTTTTGGTCCAAACTATATTTTTGATTTAGGAATTAAGACTTTTAAACTTGCTGTTATAGTACTGCCCACTTGGCTGAGAGCTATCTCTCTCTATATATATAGTTAAATGGTAATTTGGATCATTTATAGTAGATTTATGAGCTGAACATTTATAGTATTTTGCAGACTACTTCATCTGTAAGTAGATTTCTATTTTCCTTTTGATGTAGTGTGGAATTAGAATAATTTTATTTTTATCCATAAATATTTTAGATTTTCTAGGCCATTACTAACACTGTCTTGTGATGAATACTGCTTATATAAAAAGTTAGCATTTTGAAGGACCTCTTCATATATAATTAACCAGAAGTGTAAATAAATATTCCATGCAGTGTTTGTAATAATAGAAGCTCCTAATTTTAGGAAACCAGCATTTTCATCTAGAAAACAGTTTCTTTTGAATACCAGTGATTACTTTTTAAATTTTTCCTTCCCCAGGCTATGAAAGGAGAGAAAGGAATTGGTGGAACAGTCACAGCTACAGATGGGCTAAGTGAAGAACTTACAGAGGAGGCATTTAGTAAGCAGTGTTACGATACATTTATGCAACTAAATTTGTTCTTATAAGTCCTGTAGTTTGTTAGCAGTTATTAATACTAAATGTAATGGTACTTTTGGAATATCAGCCCCGACTATTTTGACATAATACTATTTTGAGTAGTTCTTACTAGTTCATGATCTTCTAGTTGAAGTCAGTGAGGGATAAGTATAGAAATTTAAATTCTGCAGACATTATAATCTTTTACCCATAGTTCTGATTTCCATAGCTTCTAGTTTTTGGTTTAAGATTCACATGAAGGCAGCCCGGGTGGCTCAGCGGTTTAGCACTGCCTTCAGCCCAGGGCCTGATCCTGGAGTCACGGGATCAAGTCCCACATCAGGCTCCCTGCATGGAGCCTGCTTCTCCCTCTGCCTGTGTCTCTGCCTCTCTCCCTCTCTCTCTGTGTCTCTCATGAATAAATAAATAAAATCTTTTAATAATAAAAGATTCACATGAGATAGGAATATTGAGAATTGTAGCTTGTAATAAAAAATCTTGTGATTTAAATAAATTTGAACTGAAGGATTTAAAAATAAAAAAACTGAATGGGGTGCCTGGCTGGTTGGAGGAGTATGTAACTCTTGATCTTGGGATTTGAGTTTGACCCCCACCCATTGGGTGTAGAGATTATTTAAAAATAAAAAATCTTAAAAAAAACCCGCAATATTGTCATTGGTGAAATAAAAGGTCTATGGTGATTCTACTTCTCATATAAAATTTATAGGTATATATTTTGTATTTCTCATATGTAAAAATACATGCTGCTTAGTTAATGTAAGTGTTGCTCCCAGCTAAGTAAGCCTCGTGATATAGGTCTGCCTATGAATTAGAAACCCCATCTAGTCTCTCTGCAGATTTGTACACACAGGCAGTTAGCTCAGCTACATTTTAGAGAAACGAAGATTCAGAAAACTGAAAACTGTACGAGGAAAAATGTTTTTTTAGGGAACTTTTTTTAAAATGCTAAATTTGGGGGTTTATGATTTTTGTCCAAGATTACATTGATTAGTGGCAGAATTGTAATGAGACTAATGGCACAACCTTAGGGTTCAGACCCAAAGTCAATGCAATATCTTCCTGCTTTAACTTTTGTCTTCTAGCTAACCAGTTACCAGCTGGGTTAATAACTGCAGATGGTCAACAGCAAAATGTTATGGTTTATACAACGTCATATCAACAGGTAAATACAACCTTCTTTGTATTTTAAGTTATCTAAAAAATTGATTGTAGTCATTGATTTTTATTACAGGTAGTTAATTGCAGCACATTACGGTGGACCCATGAACAACATGGGTTTGAATTGCACAGGTCCACTTATATGTGGATTTTTTAATAGTATTCTAGATGTGTTTTTCTCTTATGATTTTCTTAATAACATTTACTTTTTCTAGCTAGTTTTGTTGGAAGAATACAGTACATAATACATAAAGCATACAAAACGTGTCAATTGACTATGTTATTGGTAAGGCTTTTGGTCAATAGGAGGCTATTAAGATTTTGGAGAGGCAAAAGTTGTGTGAGGATTTTCAGCTGCAGAGGTTGGTGCCCTGAACCCTGGTGTCGTTCAAGGATCATCTGTATTAAGGACCTGATAGGGGATCCCTGGGTGGCTCGGTGGTTTAGCACCTGCCTTCAGCCCAGGGCATGATGCTGGAGTCCCAGGATCGAGTCCCACATCAGGCTCCCTGCATGGAGCCTGCTTCTCCCTCTGCCTCTCTCTGTGTCTGTCATGAATAGATAAAATCTTTAAAAAAAAAAAAAAAAGGACCTAATAAAGAACGTTATTGAAAATTGCTTTCTCAAAACATAATTATCTATTCTATTGATTAAAAATATGTACACATATACTCATATTTGCATAGATTTCTAGAAAGATACATAAATTATTAAAGTAGCTCCCTTGGGTAGACAGAATGGAGATTTGGGGGTGAGAAGTGGATTTATTTTCCATTGTCTATTGCTTTTATTTGAATATCTACAATATATGTTATTTTTAAAATATATATGTTATTTTTAAAATATTTTTTCTTTAATTCTGCTCAATTTAAATTTTCTGCTCTTAGATTTCTGGTGTTCAACAAATTCAGTTTTCATGATCTGAAGAAATGGTGGCATGGAGAGTGGAGAGAAGCAAAAGAGTCTGTATGATTCTGGAAACAGAGACCTTATAAGGAAGTGATTGGGGAAAAGATGTCTCTTTGTATATTAAATAGCTGTAATGTAGCTTCCTGATGCTTGACTAATTGAGGTGTTAATTCTGACTTGAGAATCTTTTTTCATGAATGATTTTAAAGAAAAATTTGGATTTTAAAGGTATTAAAATATTTTTGTTTTGTACGAGAGTTTGTTGCTCTGTATGACTCCTGTATGCATTGTATATTGCAATTTATTACTGTCAGAGATTTGTAGACAGTTTCTTATTTTCATATTGAATCATGTTACTTTTGTAATTCAAGTAAGCAGCTGGGTTAATTCATGATGTTTGCCCTTTTAATAAAATATAAGGGTAGAGTTCATTTTGAATGCAAGTTGCCTTTATTATAAATTTGAGTTTGTCTTGGTTATATAATATCTTGCATGGTAACCTAGCTAGATTTTTAGCATTTGCCATATTTATTAAAATTAATTTTTTGTAAAACATTCATAGCTTAAGCAGCACCATTTTTTAAAAATGTAATTGAAAAATCAAGTGTGAATGCAGAAGCAAACATTGTCTGCCCTATTAAACTTGGTCCCCATTAACAGTGTTTACACTGTTCATTGTGCCTGTTAAGATAGTTTTAGTTTATTGGAGCTTTTGTTAAGACCAGATTTGTTTTTGAGTTATGTTATTATGAGTGTTGGAATTCATTTAAGCTTAATGTAGTCCTAGTGCTCTTGAAATGGTGCCCTTTTCATTTTTATATGATTTTTCCAAAGCATATCTTCAAATACTAAAGTATCCTCTTCCAGAAGAGGAATTTTATAGTCTGATGGTAAATGTCCTCGTTTTACCTTTTTAATTGATATGTCAAGTTTCATAATTATACTATGGGAACCAAGAAACGTCAGACATCATTGTGTGTGTACAGACCTTTCTCTACATGGGTGAGTGAATGCAGTGGAGAACAGAGTGTGTGCTACAGATGGTGTGAAACAGAAGCCCCAACTTCTAGTGCTGTCTTGATCTTTGCAATAAACTAAACTTAGATAATGTAACTTTGTATAATTTAGTAGTATGTACTTGGGTTGTTCCTTTTTTAAAATGAGGATTTGTATATTCTCATCTGGTTTTTTTGGTGATGATTAACCTGTTTTGGGTTTGTTTTTGTTTTTTTTTTTTAATATCAACAATTGCTATTGTATAATAGTTTGCCTAAAAGACGATTTAAATGTCATCCTGGAAGGACACTCAAATTTATAAGATAGAAGCAATTTCACAGATATAGGCTGAACAGAAATATTTACCTTGTCAGAGGGAGACTTTGGGGCACATATTTGGGCTAATCTGAGGTTAATAACTTCCTCAATACCCTCCCATTTAATTTCAGTATAGAAAATTCAAATAGGCAAAAAAGGGGGAGGGGGCATTAAGCAAAATCAAATATCATCCTACTATGCTGAAATAATCAATGTTAATATTTTGGTAAATATCACTTGTCCTTTTACTTTGCTAAATATGTATATTTTTATAAAAATGGGCTCATACTTGCTTACTGTTTTGTAACCTGCTTTTTTTCACTTAACAATATATTGTAAACATCTTTTTCAGGTCATTACATAGTCTTTTATTTTTCTTCATTTATTATTCTGTTAGTATGGCTGAACTATATTTAATCCTCTATTGGACATTTTGACTATATGCATCTTTTCACAGTTAAAAACACTTCACTGAATCATGTGTACATCCATGACTATTTTCTTAAATTCTTAGAAATAGAATTGCTAAGGTTAACAGATACACAACATTTTAATGCTTTTGATACTTCCATAGTAGTGTATTTCTGAAATAGTTTCCATTTGATCCAGTACATAACTGATAAAAGCATTTGGTGTTTGGTTATCAGATTCTTTCTCTAAAATTAAAGATTGCACTATGTTTAATTATCAATATAAACCGAAACAAATTTCTAAATTTAATAATTTGATGGTAGTAATAAAACCTTAGGTGAAATCAGGTCAACTTTGGGTTATATGGCCTTTGTCCTAGGAAAGAACACTGACATTCTGCATGTCACACACATGCTCTCCTTTTATGCATCTGGGAGGTACTGTCACCTTTTTACGTGGCCTGTGTTACATTTCATTAAATGTCATGTTTTCTTCCTCTAGAACTTCCTAAGTAGATAAACTCCTACAATAACCTAAAAGTGTTTTCTTTATAACTTTGTAGATACTGCTTTTCTGAGTATCTGAGAAATGGGCTTCAGTGACTAAGTCGTAACAGGACTTGAATAGCTCCTGTCTCCCCTCACTACCTTGTAACAGATGCTTTAGTCTAGAGAGAATTATTATTTTTTAATGCTACCTTCCCAGTGTCATACATTTGGGTATGATGATGTGTTAAGCTGTTTGTATTTCTTTTCCTTCTACAGTGTAATATCTATGCAGTATTTTCCTTTCTTCAAAAATATGTCTTATTGTCTGTTTTCTAGATTGCCTTAGTGATTTAAAGGAGTATCAGTTCTGATACTAACTGAACACAGTTCTGAGGGCCCAACTAAAATATTTCTGCAGTGGTAGAAGTTAAGCATGATAAACTAAATAGCTTCTCCCATTTGCCAAGAATAAAGTCTTATAGTAGAAGGTTTTAAACATCTATATATTTTCTCTTTAGGGAAAGTTATTTTACAACAGTCCAAAACAAGACAATATATGTTGCTTTAGGTGATAAAGTACATTTCTGAATCATTCAAATGATATCAGGTAAGATCTATACCAATAGCTGAGCTATCCCAAATGTATATTTTTGGTTTCTCTGAATTAGGCAACTTATTTATGTTTATGTAACAATTTATGTATATTGATCTTAAGCTCAGTATAAAGTCATGATGTGTTCATGAGTAAAAAATAGAACAATCTCAACTAATTTTATTTCTTAAATAAGTATACTATATTGCCTGAAAAATGTTTAGTTTTAATTTATGGTTTCTTTTAAAGCTGGAAATGTTCCTCTGCTTTCTTCATCAAGTTTAGCTTTCTCTTGCTTGTTATGCTCTAATCACCCCAATCTCTTGGCTCCTTCTGCCATGTTCTTTGCCTCCTCTACCCACGTATTCTTCCCTCTGCCTAGAACATTGTTTCTTTTCCTATGCCTGGCTAAGTCTCGCTCATCCTTCAGGTTTTAGTTTAAGCTTCATCAGGAAAGCCTTTAAAACTTTTGTTTCATACTAATTACCAAATACAGGAAAATGTCACCACCTAAACCTGAGTAGGTTTGTACACAGTATTTGCTGGCTGCCACAGCCCCTCAGAAATTTCTTTCAAGATTACATTTCTCTTTATACCTGATTTTAGGGATTTTAAAACCATAAGGCAGAATCTCTTCAAATCATGGCCACAGATGGCATTGGGATGGATGCTTTTCTCTGGCTTCTAGCCATTACCTTTAAAGAATGTAAACTTGCCTCATGACACAGTTACGTTTCCTTCTGCGCTGCAAAGTAGATATCTATGCAAGGCACCTTACTGTAAACCCTCCTTTGCCAAGGTGAATGCCAACAAGCTTGCCAAATAGTCAACATGTGCTGGCTTTGTCTGTAGAAACCTAATGGCTATGTATTAGTTTTAGGGGTGGAAATTACAAGTTGATAAGTAATTCCTCCATCTTGCACAACAATACTGAAGATTAAAATATTCTGACACTGCAGCATAAACTTTGTCTTTTCCAGGTATAATTTGAGTCTTCCTTGAGCATCCTCTAAGAGCAAGTAGTAAGTCTTCACCTATTTTCCAGGGCACAATTTCAGAGTACATCAGAATGAAAGAGATTTCAGAACCTTAAGCACTAGGTACTTGGTTGAAAATACACAGCTAGGCAAAGACGAGCCATTATAAACAGTGCCTTACAGCCAGAGCAGCTATGCCAAGAGGCCTATTCATGCATCATTCTAGATGCCCAATGCCCAATGTTTGATTTACAAGAAGCCAAGACCAAATCCTTTTTTCAGACCAAAGCAATCACTAATCAAAGAACACAAAGGAATATATTTGGGCTGACATTTAAGAAAACGGCAGAGGAAAAATACAACTTTAAAAATATGGTTTCTTTGTGTACATTCTAACCTTGCAAGTAGCAATGCCCACAGCATAGGAGTGCTACCTTGCAGGACAGCACAAAAGGCAGAACTAAGCATCCTATAATTTTTTATAGACTACAGACTCCCACATGAGTAGGAATACTCATGTCAAGGGCAAAGTAAAACATTTTAATTTTTAGAGGCGGGGAGAGACAGGGGAGGAGCAGAGGGAGGAGAAAGAATTTTAAACCTGCTCCACTGGCAGTGTTGAGCCCAACACGGGCTCCATCTCACAACCAAGAGTCCCACTTAACTGAGCCACACAGAGGCCACAAATTTTAATTTAGACTACTTTTCTGAGAGTAAAGTGGTCTAGACACCCTCGATAATGCCTGGTTCAAAAAACCAGATGCTAAAAACAACAACAAAAAACAGATGCTGAATAAAACATGCCATTAAGTAGTATAAAATATTTAAAATACAACACTTTATGAAAGTAAGGCAAAAATCCATAAAAATGAAGTGAAAATAGGAAACCTGTGAGGTAAGTCATCACACCAAAGCCTGCTTTTGCCCGAAGGGTTCTGTTGAACTCTGGAGACTAAACTAGCAGTAGTTGGGTGGTGGACTGGACATAAAGCCTAGGCTGGAGTCTGGCAGGGCCACCACAGAAGTGGGCAGCAAGGAATATTGCCAATCTCAATTTCGGTGCTGGGTGGAGGAGGATAAATAACCACCTCCCTCAAATTCATAATCACAGGCCAGCCCTCAAGGTTCATGATCTGAAATCACAGACCTTCCAGTTGATAACAAAGTGTACTCAGGTTGGTAGTCCTTGGGTGTCTGGCAGAGCAAACATATCCTCTTATGGGTGTCAATTTTAGCCCATACTTTTTTTTTTAATTTTTATTTATGATAGTCACACACACACAGAGAGAGAGAGGCAGAGACATAGGCAGAGGGAGAAGCAGGCTCCATGCACCGGGAGCCCGATGTGGGATTCGATCCCGGGTCTCCAGGATCACGCCCCGGGCCAAAGGCAGGCGCTAAACCGCTGCGCCACCCAGGGATCCCCTAGCCCATACTTAAAAAAAAAAAATCCCTATTTTCTATCAAAAGTAATTTAAAGTAAAATGGCACCATGAATGGGGAAAAACACAGCTTATACAATAGACAATAGAATTGCCCACAGAGACTTCATATTGGTATCAACAGGGGCACCTGGGGGCTCAGTGGTTGAGTGCCTTTGGCCAGGGTTGTGATCTGGGGTCCTGGGATTGAGTCCTGCATCAGGCTTCCCATGAGGAGCACAAGGAGCCTGCTTCTTTTCTGCCTATGTCTGTCTCTGTGTCTCTCATGAATAAATAAATACAATCTTTTTAAAAATATTGGAATCAACACAGGAAAATTGATTATAAGTAAAGGAATAGAAAGAAGCATGCAAAATATGAATAGGGAACAAAAGAATACACAGAGGACAAGCAAGATTTATAAGCCAGATATAACTCATAAGAAAAAAATAAGAATTGAAAAAAACCCAACAAATATAGAGGAGGGAAAAAAAGAATAAGAAAATGAAAAAAGAAAAGGCAGAAGTGGGGAATGGGCAAAACAAAACAAGACATTTTGACAACAGGGACCTAGAAATAAATCCAACTTATGTTTGTAATCACTATAGATATAAATGTCCTTAACTATCTAGTTAAAAAGGCAGGTTTTCTTTGGCCTTATCTTTGCATGTGTTTCTTGCAAACTCAAAACATAAGGCCAAAGAAAGATCTAGGATATTCAGATTAAAACTAACCAAATATTTCTACAGTAAGTAACAACGAAGATGAAGGCAACAAGTATTCATAGAGATTAAGAATCACTACGTAATTCTTAGAGGTTTAATTCACCATGGACGATCCAAAAGTTCTAAATTTAGGCATCTAATAATAATGGCAAAGAAAAAGCAAATATAACTTAAAGGGAAATTGAGAAATCTAGCTATCATAATGAGATCCTATGACTTCTATAAATAAATCTAGAATAAAGTTCTCAACTGGGGAATACATACATACATATGTACTCTTTTCAAGTGTACATGGAGCATATATGAAAACTGATCACATAAATCATAAAGCTAGTCTCAAATTTCAGAAAATTAAAATACTGTAGCTCATATTCTCTGGCAAAATATAAAGATTGAGACAGCATAAGCCACTTTAACACTTAGAAATCTACTTTTAAAATAACAATGGGTTAAATACTCAACAGTCTAGAAGGATTAATCAAGTGAGAAGGCACTTTATAAAATAAGTAGGAGTGAAAACAGGTCATAACTACACATGTTGTGGAAACTAAAAACAAAGGTAAAATGGATAACTTCATATCAAAAAAATTTTAAGTGGAGAAACCTTCAGCAAAATTTATTAAATTTAACAAAATTGACTCAAGAATATAAAATTCTAATGTTCCTGTGCTCTCTAAAGAAATGGAATCAATAGTTAAAAATCTCTTAATGATCAAATGGTTTTAAAAACTAGTTCCAATCTTAAACTCTTCCAGACAATTAAAAAACTCATTTCAGGGGGCTAGAATACTGAATCTAGACCAGGACAGGATATAAAAAGTAGAGTACTTATAAAGCTAGTTTTACTAATAAATGCAGAAGCAAAAATCCTACACAAAATATTGACAAATTGAGTCCAGCAATGTATTATAAAACATACTACAACCAACTTGGGTTTATCCTAGAATTAAAGGTTAGTTCAATATTAAAAAGTCAATCACCATAATTTAATACATAACATTAAAAAACATTAAACCATTTAAATAGATGAGAAAAAAACATTCAATAAAATGTAACGTCCATTCAAAATAAAACTACTAGCAAACCAGAAACAGAATCTTAACTGATAAAGACCAATTATGAAAAAATACTGAGTTGACATCTGAAAGTATTCCCTTAAAATTGGGGCTAAAAAAAGGATGTTCACTATCAGTTCTTTTCAACATTGTACTACAGGTTACAGCCAGTGCAGAAATGAAAGAAGAAATTTTTTAAAAGGTAGAAGGATCAGAAAGGAAGAAAACTGTCACTATTTGCTGATAATAACTACATAAAAAAACTCAAAAGAACATCTAGATACATTATTTAAATAAAAATTTAGCATGGTTGCTGGATTCAAAATCAACACATAGCAACATTATGTTAATAACGACCAGTTAGAACAGAAATTATAATTTAAAAACATTTACTATAGCATTAAAAATACATAAAATTCCTAGGAAGAAATTTATTTTTTTTTGGAAGAAATTTAATATAATACAAGAAGGCCTTTGTGGAGAAAAATCATTAAAGTTTATTGAGAGTTATTAAAAGAATACCAAATAAATGGAAACAGTGTTTTTGGTTAAGAAGACTTATTGCTGGAAAGATACCAATTTTCTCCAGGCTGATCAACAGATTAGATATAATCACAAAAGGTAATACATAAACTGGGAGAAGATATATACATGACAAAGGACTGGCTGGTATCCAGAATGTATAAAGAAATCATATGAATCAATGAAAAAAAGATACACACCTAACAGAAAAATGGGGAAGAGATATGAATAAATATTTCACATAAGAGAAAACACATTCATATATGAAAAAAAACCCCACTCGATTTCATTAGTAATCAGGGAAATGCAAATTAAACCCACAGTAAGACACAATGTAATCACCACCCAATTGGCAAATATAAAAGAGAGTCAAGACCAAGTGTTTGCTAAGATATGGGGCAATGGAGCTCAACCATCGCCAAGGGAATACCAACTGGTACAAATGCTTTAAGAAACAGTTTAGCATGACCAAGTAAAACCTGCTTCTTAGAGCAGTGGTACTCAAATGCTTGGTCTCAGGCAAGGAGGTTTCCTTATATCCTTAAAAAGTACTGAGGACTTCAAAGAGCTGTTTTTCCCATGGGTTATTATATTTATCAGTTTTTACCATATTAGAAACTAAAACCGAGGCATTTTCTTTTCTTCTTTTTTTTTAAAGATTTTATTTATTCATGAGAGACAGTGAGAGAGAGAGAGAGAGAGAGAGAGGCAGAGACACAGGCAGAGGGAGAAACAGGCTCCATGCAGGGAGCCCAGCCGGATATGGGACTCGATCCTGGGACTCGCCCTGGGCCAAAGGCAGGCACCAAAATGCTGAGCCACCCAGGGATCTCCCCAGAGGCATTTTCAAAACACAGTTATACACAAGAATGCACTTGATTAGTTCTCAGAGTAAAGATGTCATCATATCTGGAAAATATTTAAACTCATGAAAAATGAGAGTGAAAAGGACAAATAATGTTTTAGTATTTTCATGAAAATAATTTTGTCCTTACAAACCCCCAGGAAGGGTCTCAAGGAACCTAAGGGTACCTCAACCACACTTTGAAAACAAGTGCCCTGGAGCAAATCTTGTACATGTGCACCAGGAGACATATACAAGAACTCATTCATTCCTCAAATATTTTTTGAGCATCTACCATATGCTCTGCATTGTTCCAGACATTGTGAATGTCTCAACAGACAAGATCAAACAAAATAGACAAAATCCTCACCCTCACGGAGCTTACACTGTAACTGGCAGAATGTTCAGAGCAGCATTGTTTGATAGCCCAAAATGGAAAACCATCCAAAACTCCACAAACAGAAGAACAGATAAACAAACCATGGTTTAGCATACAATGGAATGCTATACAACAGGGAAAACAAATGAAATACAGTTACATGCATAAACAGGGATAGGAATCTCAAAAACAATGTCAGAAAAGCCACGGAAGGATATAATGCAGCATGAAAGCATTTACATGAAAGTTCAAAATCGGGTAAGTCTAAACAATATACTATTAGGGATACATATAGAGATGGTAGAGCCATAAATAAAAACATGGGAACTATTAACAAAAAAATCCAGAAAAATGTTTGCCTTGTGTGATGTATGGGGAAGGACAAATGGGAGGATTCTGGGTATCTGAGAATGTTCTAGTTCTTCGGCTGAAAGTTGAACACATGTCTTTATTTTGCAAGAAATATTTTTTTTTGCAAGAAATATTTTAAAAGAAAAAAGATACGATTATTTACCACATAATTTCATCAACAAAGGGAGTATCTCCCCATATTTTAGCCACTGCTGTGTACTGATTATCAGCTAATTATTTCAACTGATGGGGAGAAGTAGCCGATAATAGGAAAAGAGGAACAAGTATGGGCTATTCCTCACAGAAGTTAACTAGGCTCCCAAAGGTCAGGATCCCACAAGATGGCAGCATTACAGGACTGCTCTACCAAGCAGAATCCGTCACTAGTCTGATTCTGGTTAACTGGTTACTTTGTTCACTGGATATAATCATTTGTATAAAGCAGAGAAAAAAGACAGGTGATGCAAATTCCAAAATAATGGACAAAGACCCTGCCTCTTTACTGAATTCTATTGACTTTCAATAATACAGATTCCCTTTGGCACATTCTCCTAATAGTGTGCTTACATACAAAGTAATCCAAAAATACAGAAAGTACATGGTAGTTATTGTTTCTCCACATTGATCAATAACAGGTGTTAGGTTTGTCACACAAATGTCAGAACAATTTTGCAATCATGTCTTTGCCAGGCTCATTGCTAGCAGTGCCATCGTGCAGATTAAATAAGACACAGTTAAGGTGCAATTTTTCCTGATTCAGGAAAATAATTATTAATTTGGTATACAATTTCAAAATTTGAAAAGAAGAAAAAAGAAAACAAAAGATCTTGAAACATTTGATCCAGCCCCTTTACCCAAACAGGGCAAGCTACCGTTATTATCTTGGGTGAGGCAGTTGTTTTCAAGAGGTCGACTAGGCCTGGCAACAAAAGGCCTGCAACCCATTCCCATGAAATGGGGAAGTCAAAAAGTATTCTCCAGGTCCCAACTCCCCAGCTGGGTCTAATCTAACACAGGTGTGCCAACTCATCAGAAAGTTCCAGACATTGCTGTAGCTATTTTTAAAGTCCCAGAGGCAGCTGCTACAAGACCTAAAATCTCACCCATCTTTAAACTGGAAGGGACAAGGCCACCAGGGGTGCTATACTGCAACTGGTGGCAAGACACCTTTGTAAACACAGGACACAGTGAGTTAGGGTGCTGCTACTCCACCATCTTGGACCCCCAGAGGCAGCGGGAGTGCTCAGGGTCACAAAGTCAGACCTTCAGGACGCTGCCCACTGTCTCACATGCTATGCTGCCCTATACGTGGGACATCTGCACTTTTATTATTCTGGAAGGCCAGTATTGGACCTGCAGCTTTTTCCTCCCTCTGCAGTAAGAAACAGAGAAATTAGGAGGGCACCTTTCTCAAGTTCTTAAGGAATCTCCACTCTATCTTCTCAGATACAAGGAATGAATAATCCTTTAGATCAGAGCTGGACATTTACTAGACCATGATTTATACTAGTGGACAGAATTATTCCATGTTCAAGAACAAACACCAGCTCCTACCTTTTAGTTTTAACCTGTATATGTTCAGACACAGCAGGTTCTCCTTTGCTTTCCTCAATGCTCACACTGAGGAACAATGGATCCTTTAGCTTTTTTTTTTTTTAATATTTTTATTTATTCATGAGAGACACAGAGAGAGAGAGCAAGCGGCAGAGACACAGGCAGAGGGAGAAGCAGGTTCCATGCAGGGAGCCTGACGTGGGACTCGATCCCGGGACTCCAGGATCACGCCCTGGGCCAAAGGCAGGCGCTAAACCGCTAAGCCACCCAGGGATCCCTCCTTTAGCTTTCTTGTCTCTGAGTGGTAAGGAGAACAAAAAGGGGGAGTGGGTAGAAAGGGGGCCATTTCCTTCTCTGCAATTGCTTTCATATCTGATATGCCATCAACTCATACTTTTTACACTTTTATCTTCAGAGGTAAACACTCTGATATCTCTAAATACTCTGCAAAGACTTTTGGTTGAATCAGAGAAATCTAATTAGGAAGTAACGAATCCTTCCATTGCTTCCATCTCTCATACCTATAACCTCCTAGCCTGTTTTCTATTTAAGGCCAAATGCCTTATAACCCTGTATTCTCAAGATGTGGATGTGAGATTCATGGCAGCAGTGGTCATCAGACTACGAATATGATGACCTTTAAGTTCCAGGCTGCTCAATTCAATTCATCCAAGATACTAAATACACAAAAGAACCTCACACAGTTTCAGATGACCTTGCTGAAATTAACAATCTCACAAGTGGACATTTCTAAAATTTTAGTTCCTCAGAGGACAGGAAAGAAGCAAAGAGACACTAATGAGATACAGGAATCTATCTTGAAGGAGGCTGGTATCCTTGGATTTTACAGCCTTTTCTTTTTTTCATTCAGTTCATAGAATTTTTTTCTCCCCAGAATGTGATAGTTCATGTTTTTCCAGGCATGATTTAAAAAAAAAAGTCTTTCTGAGTTACAGAAATGCTACAGGGACTCCCAACTGTAACTGGGAAATGTGTAAGGAAGTTATGCCAGTGTCATGTTGTTTTCTAGTAGGGTAAGAATCCTTTGTTCTATAAGCTCAGAGGTGACAATAGTGTTCTGACATGATACGTACTAATGCTGGTGTCCCACGTCTTGCAGCAATCCCCATGCTTAAATATTAAGTAGGTACGTGGTTTTTTCTAATGTTAGACAATTGCCCATGGCTTTGCTACAAGGAAATAATTTGGAAATATATTTAGCTCATTTTCTGGATCATCCAATGTTAAAAATCATAATCCCAGCAACACGCACCAATCTCACTAAATGCTCAGATCTTTTTAGATAAAACACTTTTGCCTGAGATCTATACATACCTATATTACATCTCTTTTAGCCAGGCACAATGTGACACATCATTTATTTATCCCAGAACTTCTCTTAGGAACCTAAGTAAGAGCAGGGTAGGATAAGACAAAGCTGAAGTTAGTATTTCCTCCAGAAGCTTACTAAGTCTGCAAAAATCTCTTTCCCTATCAGAGCCTCCCTCCCATTTTGACCCCAATTTGAGAGAGGAGAGAGAGAATATGTAGAGATGTAAAGGTGACAATTCCCTTTAATCATGTGTTAACTTATTTAAGTATCAGCTAAAATGGCTGATATGTAAGAAATATAAAGACCCAGTCTCTGCCTCAAAGACCTACCATTCTGGGAGAGGGAGAAAGCAATAACAAGTACAGATACAATGTTTTTTAGGCTGCTATGACAGAAGGCTTGACAAAGGGTAGTGGGAGCACAAGAAGTGGTCAAATCTACCTAGATTTGGAGGATGTCAGGAAAGGCTTCATAGTGAAATCTTGAAAAAGGACAGGACTCTTGAAAAAAATGGAGGCGGGTGCAAGTGGAAAAGGGGACCACAGACAGGAGAAGGTACAGAAAGAGAGAGCAAGCGGTATCACAGAAACCAGGAAAATGTCCAAGTGTCCAGGGAGTGGTTAAGTTATGACAGACAAGAGTAATCACTGGATTTGGGAAATGAGAAGTTATCCCTGACATTTGCTAGAGCCATTTTGATGGAGAAGCAGGACAGAAATCTCACTGCTGTAAATTAAAATGGGTAAGCATAAAGACCAAAGATTAAGAGTGAATAGAGAACAAAAAAGAGATGACAACAGTTCAGATCGGTTTCCTGGAGCCATGTGCCTTTTCATTTACTAACTCAGCCACAATAAAGGTTAGGAATATATTGGCTTACATTTCTATGAGAATATGACTCCAAACACAATCCACTGACGTGAAAACAAGTTTTGGGACACAGTCTATTTTTTACGAGACTGCCTATGTTATTTTAAGTGAACAACATAAAATCAACATTTCTACAGATTTACTCTGCCATCACTAATTGTTCTCTCATATAGCTCAAAATAATAACACCTGTAATTGGTTATAAAAGGAAAGGTGCTTTATTTTACACATCATTGGTACATGATACATAAAACTGTCTAAAATCAGTCTTGGAAAACTTAACTGTCAGTTATACCTTAAGCAGTCAGAGACCAAGTCTATTTTGCAACCTATTTCATTCATGGTCATATTACTACAGTAACTTTAAATACTAATTATCTCTTCATAGCCAATGTTACAAATGATTTTTATGCTACAAGTGCTGCAATTTTTCAAAATAAAAATACTTCAGTTATAGTAGACCATATCTCTAAGCAGAACAAATCTTTGTGACGCTACAAGTCTTTGAAATAACGGATCAACGGTGTTACCCTCTTATAGATGATTGTATTTATATAAATGGGTTACAGGGCAAGGGGGCCTCATACATGCAATCAGATTATTTCTGTTTTTTTTTTAAATGCAGATAAAAGTGAGTTTATAATACTCTACTTCTAGTTAAATTACCAAAACAGTTTACTAAACTAAAATGAAGCCAATACAATTCTTTAGAAAACGTAATTCTAAGAGCATGCAACATCAAAATCTATTTACTACCTATGTGAACCAAAGTTTTAGAGCCCAGGGAGAGGACTGTGGCACAAAGGTTTGTACATCTGAATTGCTTATCCAGCAGGGAGGAGTAGAGAAAGTCCTTTAACTCAGCATAAATCCTCTTAAGAAAGATATCTGCATGATCTAGCCCACTGCTACTCAGGTAGCCTCACTTAGAAAATGTGCCAATCATAGGAAGCCAAATGTACCTCTCTTATTATTTATGCTAGTCCATTTTATTCATGAACATGCAGCTCAAAGCTCTGTTATTAACTATGAAGGTCTGGCCACAGAGATTTCTCAATGGCATTTTTCAGTCACCAATAAATGTGACCAGTGCTTCATGTACAAATGTCAAAAAATTGTGACAGAATCTGGGCTAGTTCTCAAAGTAAAAAACATTTGTTATTTTCACAAATCCCTTGGTACAGAAAGACTCCCTTTCTCACTAGAAAATTAGCTGTATGTTAGAACCACAGGTTCACAGCACAGTTGAGGCATGTAAGCAAAGTAAACTAAACCAGATACTAAATAGGTATAAATGTGCACACTCAAATATTCTATTCTTTGCTTAAAGTCAACTTCGTCCTTGTCATTGAGAGAAGTGCTTCAAGATGCAAATTGTTAATTAATGCAGATAATAAGGAGTTAAAAGTGAGACCTTTTTCTAATAAAGCCAACAGATCATTAAAATAATTGGACTTGAAACATATACTATCCCTTTCCATTCTTACTTTTTTTTTCCATTCTTACTCTTTTTATAACTAAACACACACATATACAAAACAAATCCTAGCATTTAATATGTGCAAAATTGCTTACCATTTATTTTAACTTTGGTTAAGTATTTGTTTAGCCTATATCAGACATATTATGGAAGCTATACAAATGATTACAAACATAATAATGAGGTAAGTTAAAATTCTACTAGTGCAAAAAGCAAGCATATGCTAAAAGCAAAGCATATGAATTTAACAAATGCAGAATGAAGCTCTCACCAAGGGAGATGCTGACATAACAAACCAGAGAAGCTCCTTGTAAACATTGTTTAAAAAATACACATTTAAAGATTAAAGATTCATACAGCCACAAAAAAGGTATTCTAACAACACCATAGTAGTGCATTTATTTTACCTTTAGAGTTTGGAAATCACTCATCATGTGTCTAACAGTTTGCATATTTTCTTCAAGAGAAACTTAATTAGTGAGACACATTAATTACAAATACTGTAGTATAAAAATCCCAGTTCTTTACAAAAATTATATATTAAAATATTCTATACACTTTAAATTAGTAACTGGAACATACATATATATCAATTCTGCACAATTAAATCCATCTTGGCTGGGAGTATTCTATGTGAAGCTCGAGGACACAGCTACTCAGTCAACTTAAACTGGCATAAGGTTACATGATATAAAAGAGATAGGCCTGGGCCTGTGCAGTTATTGCAGCTCCTAGTGTGAAATACTTTATGTGAAGTTATTGCTCTGTATTTCCAATCCAGATCTGAACAGGCAGTGGAACCGTGACATTCCGAAAAGGTTCAAAACAAGCTACCCGTGGCAGAGGATTCATAATGCCTATCTATATCTTTAAGGTTGCAATGGGACCTGAGTGAGCTGTCTAATGCTTATATTTCAGTTGTAAAAAAGTTTATACAATTTTGAGGTAAAAACAATGCAAAAATAAAACATTTAGAGCATTTACAAAAATCTTACAAATGTTTAAAACACTATTTCAAAATTTGTGTCCTGTTAAGGTGCTTCTTTCTTTCTGCAGTAAGAGGACATAAATACTTCAATTTCAAATTTTAAATTTCGAACATTTTATTAATTTCAGCAAAAGCAAAGTTAGAGCCATTAAGACAGATGTTAAAATGTTCACAGATACACTTTGCTTCTGATGAAAATAGAGAGTTTTAGTGCTGAAAGAAACCTTAAGTGTAAATTCTTTTAACTCTCTCTTCTATTAATGAGGAAATCGAGAACCAGGTAAGTTAAGTGCTTTGGCCAAAAAATATATTCCAATATATCAGGTATAAATCAAGAAAACCCATTATTCTTTTTGTATTTTGCTATGATTCTTGGACAATAATAAAAATTCAAAACCAGAGTTTCTAAACTCACCTCTTTCTCTCTTTTGTAATTTCTTAAGCTCTGTGCTAACTATAGACAAAGAAATGAATCAAATAGCGGCTTATCAAAATTAGTATCACAAATATTATTCAGTAGAAGACAGTTGTTAAGAGGACTGCTGCTTATCTAGAATAATAAAGTTAGAGGGAGTACTCAAAGACGGGGCCTTTTACAATGGAGAGAACATCTACTACTATTTAAGACAGCACAGTGTACAACAGCCAGTTACTAGAATCATCTCAATAACTCTAGGATGACTGAGTTACATGGCCTTTAGAAAAGATATTGGGGTAATAAAGCCTTCTAGCTTTTATCTTAATTTTACTATTTTCTTTTATAGAAAAGCAATTATGTAACTGTAAGGACGAATCCATATACTGATTTTCAGAGAGTCTTTGCTTCTTTTCTATGTTTATTTGAATCTAAAATTAAGCAAATACATTTTAAGAACAACTTACAAACTCAAACTCATAAGTGCTAGAAATACAGAGAATACTCTTTTAAATGACAAATCTTCATAACCAGTTACTAATAAATAATCATCACAATAGCTTCAGTAAAAAAAAAAAAAATTCAATTTAAAGGTGCTTTTTTATTGTTACCTTGAAGCCATCGAACTTGCGTAGCTGGTCCATATCCCTTTTCATTCTTTGCTGATATCCTGAACACAATGGCAGGCCTGGATGTATAATCGATATGTGCATTTGCAAGTTGCCCGGCAGTTACTATACATGATGTCTTAAGACCACAATAAATCCTCATAAACACAAGCTGACTTGGATTATCTTGTATTTGTGCTGTGCGGATAGCCAAGTAGGCTGAATATTCCAAAATATTTCCAGAAGGGGAAGTCGGAGGTTCCCAGGAGAGATGGATACCTTCAACATTCTTGAAGAGAGGAGAAAAACAAAACAAAACGAGGTAAAAGTTCTGAAATTTTCTCTAACATCACGTATAATGTAGAGTTTATCTCTAGAACACAAAATATTGTTTTCTGCTAAAGTAACTTCATTAGGTAGTAGAACTTTTATTAATGATTTTTAAAAACCTACCTCAATTGGACCTACAATGTTTAAATACATGCTCGCATTTCAATATCATAACTAGGCTTAAATGTCTGCCTGTACCATCCTAAGAAAGGGACTTTTCTTACCTGAAAGCAGATCTTTTCTTCTCTAAAGAGGGGCAGGACCTTAGGATAAAATATAATTCAATTTCATGTGTTCTATTAAAATTCTCCAGCACAAACTCTTTGGTTCCATAACAACACGAACAAAGTTAATATGAAGTATATTTCCCTAACTTTCTATAATTTGGATGCTGTAATTCTGCTTGAAATTTGGTCCTTAAAATTATGAATGATTACCAAACAACATTTTTTAAACCTTTATTTTTTTTTTAAATATTTTATTTATTTATCCATGAGAGACACAGAGATAGAGAGGCAGAGACACAGGCAGAGGAAGAAGCAGGCCCCATGCAGGGAGCCCGATGTGGGACTCGATCCCGGAACTCCAGGATCACGCCCCGGGCCGAAGGCAGCGCTAAACCACTGAGCCACCGGGGCTGCCCTTTTTAAACTTTTAATTCCATGCCATTTATTTATTTTTTTAAGACTTAACTTTTTTTTTTTAATTGAAGTACTGTTGACACATATTACATTTGTTTCAGGTGTACATTAATCCATCCCTTTTAGATATCTCTCATCAGATATTAACAAGAATCTCTAAACTGACAGTTTCACTTCATGTACAAAATATCAATAATTAAATCACCATGCCTTGACCTGACATCTCACCTTTGAAATTCTGACTGCAGAAGGAGCTCCAGGAAAACCGGGAATACAAGTTTTAAATTCACTGATTTTGCTGAAAGGGCCTATTCCACAACCATTGATGGCAGCAACCCTGAATCTGTATCCTGTGCCTGGAACAAGGTCTTGTTTCTTAAGTAAACTGTAGTCAGGTACGTCTGCATTTCCTATCTAAAATGTAATATATGCAAAAGTCAAAAGGTGCAATTAGTCATTTTTTCATTAAACAAGAAAACTTTAAAAGAATGAATTTTGTTTTAAGGTTCTAAATCACTTTTATATCCATTTTTTACACATGGAATAATCCTTCCAATCCAAAAGCAACTAAGCCCATAAACTGGTGATTCTTACCCAGAGGAAAAAGTGCTCTTTCCAGTTAAAAACCACTGATTATAAAGAGAAATGTAAGCATATTCTGCACATGAAGAATATGAAGGTAGAAAAACACTGACAACCACTATAAACAAAGTAACAACTATCCATGTAAACTTAGAGTACAGATCTCAGAAGAATTACTCTCAAATAGTCTAACCAGGAACAATGACAGAAAAGTGACTAGCATGTAGTATATAGCATTTTAAAAATTAATATTCAGTAAATGCTGAATAAATGTTAAATTACTGGACTGCATACTCTGGGTAGGAAGTTCATAACATTCACAACTTTCAAACAATGTTTACATGTTCTCCCTAACTCTCACTGTACCACCATGAGACTGGTAGTGCTAATGCATCATTCCCATTTTTAAGGGAGCTATATCATTTTTATTTTATAGATGAGGTAACTGAGTCTCAGAGAGGTTAAATAGGTGACTTGTCCAAAGTCACACTGTTGAGCACAGGAACTAATAATTCAAACCAAAGTTTACTGGTTTTAAATTTAATGCTCTGTTTTTCTTTTGGGGAAAAAGAGGTAGTTATTAGTCCTTAGATATGTTATTTCCTTATATGTGAAATTAAACTACAGCCAGAAATTTCATTAGGTATAATACTAATGAATTATTTAGCAGGATTTCTATTTTTGTCAAGAATTGGAAGAATTCTGTATGAAAAAGATATCAAAAGTAATACTGGAGAAACTAAAATGTAACGACAAATGGTAAGTTCTTCATTTGTCCAGGTCTAAGCAATTCACTCTCTGAAATACCCCATGCCAAAAAGAAATTAGTTCAAAGTACTTTGGAGCTGTCACCTCCTTCATAATTCTAAGGGTTAACGTCTCTTTTATATATATGAGTTTTTCTTTAAGGGGTTTCAGAATTAAGTGAAATTAGATTGTATTCAATAACATACAAGGGCTTTTACATTTTTTAAATTGTGAAATCGAGAATTTAAAAAATTCTCAGTAAAGGGATGCCTGGGTAGCTCAGTTTATGGTTAAGCATCCAACTCTTGATTTCTACTCAGGTCATAACATCAGATCTCAGGGTCTTCAGATAGAGGCTCCACATTCAGTGGGGAGTCCGCTTCTCTCCCTCTGCTCTTCCCCTGATGTGCACACTTGCACACATGCTCTTTCTCTCTCTAAAATAAATAAATCTTTTTTTAAAAAAATTTCTTAGTAAGAAAAAAAATGCCCCATCCTCTAAACACACCAGGTTACAAAATTAGAGATATTTTTGAAAATCCTTATCTATACTGGCTAGGCCATATAATTTATGACTCAGAATCGAGCCCAGTGATTGTATAAGGTTTTTTAAGTGACCTGCTTATGATATGTTCCATAAGAAGTGCCTTAAAAAGGAATACAAGATAATGAGGCATATAAAATTCTCAATTACAGATTGTAAACAGATCCCAATTTCATGCATTCAAGCGATTTGAATCAGGGTTATAAAAAAAGACCTAATTCGTGAAACTTATAACCCACAGCGTGGGAAATATATCAATAGCTACCTTTGAGATGCTTTGCTTTCCTTTTGGCAGCAAATAAAACTGGCTCACCAAAGCTGTATTATTTTTAAAAATTCCTACATCACACCACTGTCGTTCTCCTGCTTTCATTGTGGCCACTGGATTTGAAGGAGTCTCCTTCTAATTTCAGAGAAAGAAAAATTTGTCAGGACTCTTATTGTGCATATAAGACACTTCAAGATTTAATAAATCCATGCAGTGATTTACAAGTAGGTATATGGGTAAACACCACAACATTAATAGCTCATAAGTAAATAAACTCTTAACAGATTAGGTCAACTGACAGTGAAACAGGGATGCCAATTCAAACACAGGGAGTGACAGGCATTCTCCAAGTCAGTAGCTCTGTACTATCAACCTAGCTGGAGTTAGCATGCTTTCCAATCAGTGATATGTTAAAATGCCAGCTGTTTTATAGAACATTGTCATTTCAGAGACTCTCTCAGAAAATGTAATCCCTTTAGTGTGACATTATACCTTGCTCCAGAAGGAGCAAATAAGGAAAAATTCATTCCAAGCTGGCTTATTCCTAGATTCAAAAACAACTAGCAGAAATTCAGTGATCTTTGCACTTGAAATACCTGGGATTCTCCAAACCTAAAAGGAGAAAAAATGTTCAAAACTAAAATGCAATTTGAATATACTTTAGTATATACTAAAGAGGAGCAGATTAAACAGTTTTACATTCTTTACCTTGCTTTAAAACAAATAAACTTCCTCTACCTTAAGCTACTTTTAGTGATAAGGGAATACTTATCCCTGGAACTAACCTTTTTAAGCCATCTTCTTTATAAATGAGACACTGTTTCCAGAAGCTCAAAACAAATGTGCACTTCAGTTATTTATTTCTGTCTTAAATATATAATAGCAGAGGTACATGCTTATAATTCACATTATTTGTTATTTAAGCTATCACACATGACAAAGTGAGCTAACTAGAAAAGTCTTTTAAGGTTTTTTTTTTTTAAAGGAATATCTTTAAACTTTTCATTTTTAAAGTTGTAAAAACTCTCTTCAACAATTTTTATAAAACAACTGGCTCCAACTGAAATAACAAATACCATTCTGGCTGATGTGTTGCAAAATAGATTTAGGAGAAAAAAGTTCCCTTTAATAATTCCTCCCTGAAGAGAGTCTAAGAGCACTAGGGCTTAACATTCTGGAAAGATGAATGCTGAAGAAGGTAAATATATGATCAAAATCCATAAAATAATGATTGAAAGAAAATTAAAACTACAGACAATTCCTGAAGATTCTAAGAGGTAAAATTTTTTACTATTTATTTCTTTACTTTTTTATTGGAGTTCAATTTGCCAACATATAGCATAACACCCAGTGCTCATCCCACCAGGTGCCCCCCTCACTGCCCATCATCAAGTCACCCCAACCCCCCACCCACCTCTCTTTCCACTACCCCTTGTTCATTTTCCAGAGTTAGGTGTCTCTAAGAGGTAAATATTAAGTCAAATAAAAACTCTTGCTCATAGCAATAAAGTTGAAATGACTGATAATTTTAAAATAAATTAAAAAGTATATATACACATATGTATGACCCTTATATTTACCTCACTATAACAATTGTGGTATATTTGTGAGGTACATACTGAGCATTTTAAATTTGGTGCCATGCAGACCAATTTTGGCCTTTCATAAAACAACCCAAAGTCAGAGATTATTGGGCTACCCTGTAGGTATATCTAACCCCATACTGCAATATTCTACTGTTCTCCTAATAAGTAGCTAGCAATAGGGTCATTAGTTTTATATTCTGTAACGTGTCCTTTTACTCATTAACGTAATTTGTGTGTATACATATATATGTACACACACACACAGACATGTATTTCTGATTATGAAAGAGCACATTTAACTATACAAAAATACTGAAGGTCTAGAGAGGAAAGTAAAACTTATCTGTGGCCGCACAGCCTGCAGAGAGTTATCTGGTATTGTAGTGTGAATTATGTGTGGACTCACATGAGAGTGAGAATGTATGTATCGGGACACCCGGGTGGCTCAGTGGTTGAGCGTCTGCCTTGGGCTCAGGACGTGATCCTGGGGTCCTGGGATTGAGTCCCACATCGGGCTTTCTGCAGGGAGCCTGCTTCTCCCTCTGCCTGTGTCTCTGCCTCTCTCTCTCTGTCTCTCATGAATAAATAAAATCTTAAAAAAAAAAGAGAATGTATCACGTGTATTTTTTAATAAAATCGAGACCACAGTGTATATATATGTGTTTATGTGTATAATTTTTTATGCACCTTTTTTCACTTAACATTATATTGTAAACATTTCCCTATTCAAGCCTTCATTTCTCAATCTCTGGCAAGTCATTACTAGAGGACACCAAAGAATCTTTTCATGAATTCATGCTGAAGTTGCTCAGAATTCCACCTGTAAACACATATGATCTTCAGGTCATATACTTACAGAAAATGGCATCGCTGTAGCATGTGCTTCTACACGGCTGATCTTAGTTGCAGGCAGCGCACATGCTTCATCAACTAAAAACCAAACAATTCATCATGTAAGACTTATGTAATCACTTATCAAACAGACACATTAAAATATAATTTATAAACATACAAAAAATAGCCAGAAGGAGAAAGGCACAATAATTAGATATGAACCCTCTAACTCGAACTAATCTACAAAGTTCATTTCTCAAGGGTTTGATGACTAGCTAGAACTGTAGAGAACGTTTACCAAAGATGAAACACAAGTCCTACTCCAAAAGAATGAAATGAGAATTTACAAAAACAGAAATCAAGCTGGGAGAATTGTTACTCCATAGTCTAAAGAATGAATCTTTTCTATGGGGAAAAAAATTTGCTGAATATATTCATGGTAGGAGAATACATTCTGAATGTATTTCAGTGTGTGCTGATTTAAATATTTTGTGGAAGGCGGCAGAGTATATTACAGAATAATTTTAATTAAGTGTTTTATCTGTTTATATATAATTCAATCCAAGATGAAATGCAATCCCCATCCAAACAAATAAGCCTGATGGATTTATATACAAAAATGGTTCAAAATACAGTATGCGAAATACATTTCAAACCTTCAGATTTGGTACTGAATGTTGTTAGTGAAGTTTCATCTTTAACAACTGCCCCATTTGTACTGGATGATTCAGTTTTAATGGTCTGCTGGGTTACCATAGTTTGTGCGCTGGAAACAGAACTGGATACAGAAGTTTCAGGGACTACTGTTCTTAAGTCCAGGCAACTACTTAGAACACCTATATATGCTGAAGTATGAGGACCTAAAATTAAAGTGAAAAGATCAATTATTAACATAATGCCTGCAATAAATGTGCCATCTTATGGTTCTTGTCATACAATTCTTCGTATTTTCAATTTTAAAATTATAAACATGAGTACCACTAATGTCATTCGCATGAATTAACCACCAGCCATAAAATGTTTAGAAAAATAAAGTGCACTACATAGATAACAGATGTCCAATTTCTCAGCTCTTTTGTCCACTCTAAACACTGCATCATTGCTCTCGGACTTTCCCTAAATCATAGATCAAATGTTTTACTTACCATTTTAGGGAAAAATATAGAAGTCACATGTCTGTGATATTATGCCCAACCTTTCTGTCTTTTCTTCCATTTCAGAGGATGAACTGACCTCTCTGTTGAGAAAGGATAATCTATCCTCCTGTGCTCTTGGTCTCATTTCTTCCCCATATTTTGGGACCCTCTTTCATCAATCAGTCCTCTCTCTCAGGGTTTCCAGATTCTTTTTCATTAGTAGTTTTTGGCCCTCAATCCATAAACATTATCAAGTCTCTCAAGCAAACAAACACGCAACTTCTTTGACTCCACAAATCTCCCATTACCTTTGCCCCTCGCTGATTCCCTTCAGAGCAGTCTCTACTTCCTTGGCCTCCTCAAACTTGGTCTCTAACCCACTAGGTTAATGAACCGGCTCTGGCAAATGCCAATGGTTTCTAGGGGATGCCTTTTTTTTTTTTTTTTAGGGGATGCCTTTTGATTTCTATTTACTTGACCTTTTTTGCAATGTAAACAATGCTGACCACATACTCCTTTTTGAAGCTGTTTCTTTCTATGACTTATAATTACTCATTCTACAATACTGAAGATTTACTATTTACAGATACTGTACTTGTCTCTACAATGCTGAAACAAAGCGGGCATGGTTAATACCTCATTAACTTATAATGATGTGGTAGAGACAGACATGCAAACACAATAAATACATAGTCACAATCTGTGATGCCTGGAAGAAACAGGACACCAATCTCTGGTTCTTTTCCTGACCTCCTAGCAACCCCTTTTCAATCTCTTTAGCTGGTTTCTTCTCTTCAAATGACTCTTTAAATTCCCAAGCCCTCTCTTATCTTCATTGACACATTTTCCTTTGCTTTAACTACCATTCACAAATCATACATCTCTCAAATATATATGTCCTGGGCATTGTGCCAGGCACTAGGAATCTCACAGTGAACAAGTCAGACAAGGTCCCTGCTCTTGTGGAGCTTATATTTTAGATACTCTTAACTTTTTTTTTTTTTTTAAGATTTTATTTATTTACTCATGAGAGACACAGAGAGAAACAGAGACATAGGCAGAGGGAGAAGCAGGCTACCTGCAAGGAACCCAATCCAGGACTCGATCCCAGGACTCCAGGATCACACCCTGAGCCAAAGGCAGACTCTCAACCACTGAGCCACCCAGGTGCCTTTAACTTCTAAGTTGTACTTCCAGCCAAAACTACCACCTAGAGTCTACACCTAAGTATCCAACTGCCTATTAGAAATCTTTACCAATATGTTCAAGTGCCTCAAAAACACTAAGTTCAAAGTTGAACTTACCTTTCCCCCACGTCTGTTCTTGCTCTTACATTTCATCTTGATAAAGAGTACCGTCATCCACTGAACTTCCAACCCCAAAACTGGGAGTCATGGTCCACTCATTTTTATTTCACACATCCAACTAGTTTCCAAGGCTAATAAGAGATGCTAGGTTCTAAAAGCCTGAGAAATAATATATTATCTCCTCTCCATCCTACCCACTGCTTTAGTCTGTGTCTCTTACAGTCCTAAAAGAACACTTTAACAGGTCCCCCAATCATTTCCTACTATAGTTCTTCTGATAGTGAGGCCAGAGTTTCTTTCTAAACAACTACTCGTGTCACTCTCCCACTTTGGAAACATATAGCTTTTCAAACTACAGAGAAAAAGTCCAATCTCCTGTTAACCTGAGATTGGGTAGCCATTCTTTCACATATTTGAATGTCTTTGATCTGCCAGATACTATCACTGTACAACCACTCTAGTTTTCACATTTGCTCAGTACTAATTTTATCCAAACTGCTTTCTGACCTAGGATTTAGAGTACATTAAGATTCTGAAATCTCAAAGCTCCTTTTGTTTTTAAGAGTATAAACTTCTTTATAAGACAGACATAAACAAAAATCATTATAAGAAGTAGGTGCCTAGAGTGGCTCAGTCAGTTAAGCATCTGTCTTCGTCTCAAGTCACGATCTAGGGATCATGGGATCAAGCCCTGTATTGGGCTCCCCACTCAGCAGGAAGTCTGCTTCTCCCCTGTTCCTGCCACTCCTGTTACTTATACTCTCTCTCTGTTTGAAGGAAGAAAGGGAGAGAAGAAGGAAGATAAGCGGAGACCCAGGACCAGGCTTTTATAATTTTGACCAAATGATTCTATCAGAAAATCAAGAAAACAACACCTCTCCTTTTCTACATATAATGAAATGAGGAAAAATATTCATGTGAAATAAAATTCATCATGTTAAGTTTCCATCATTGAAGAGGATTTAGATTTATATCAGCTGTCAAGATTTTATCAAATTAAAAATACAATCAGGGGCGCCTGGGTGGCTCAGTCAGTTGAGCTTCTGCCTTCAGCTCAGGTCATGATCCCAGAGTCCTGGGATCAAGCCTGTGTCGGGCTCCTGGCTCAGCAGAGAGCCTGCTTCTCCTTCTCCCTCTGTTATTCCCCCTGCTTGTGCTCTCTCTCTCTCTGTCAAATAAATAAATAAATAAATAAATAAATAAATAAATAAATAAATAGAATCTTTAAAAAAGAATACAAACACATGTTTCTATGTCACAGATATATCTATCACAATGAGATTTATAAAATTTATATAAATTTTTATATAAATTTCATATATTAAAATCAGGCATAATGCTTAATGTATCTCAAATGGCACGAGGATACTCAAATGAACTCATTTTAAACATAGGGTTCACTGAATTACAAGCTGTCCCATGAATGTAACCAACAGTTCTTATAAATGAACTATCTTTCTGAGAATAATCCAGTTACTTGAGAAACAAATATTTACTAAGTGGCTACTATTAACCAGACATGGATCTGGGTGCTAAGGAAATAAAGATGAACAAGAAAATCCCTGCCCAATGATTTCAGATAGTTCTAAGTGCTAAGAAAATACAGTAATTGAAGAGGGACAATGAACACACTGGCCAACTTCAAATGTCATACAAAAGCTTGCCTCGCCTGAATTCCATAGCTCATTAACTAAGCATTTCTATTCAGGTTAAGTAGTTCCTTAGTACCCTGACATCATTCTAACAAGGGTCAATACAGTAGGTTTATTATTATTTTGAAAATGGATCAAAACCATGTAACATTTATTTTTCCAAAGACTAAAATTCCCTATTATTATAAAAAGCTTTAGCTTTATTTAAAACGCCATCCTTATACCTTCATTTTTCCTTAGCACATCCACGACACAACTATTATGATTAGAAGCATTAGCTGCCAAAGATGAATGCAAAGTGGCATTAGAATCACTTGATGCTTTGAGATCTGGTCTGTTTTTCACAGAAGTTCCTTTCAGAGCTGTGTGTTCAGTTTTTGCACTGTTATCACTGACCTATAAGAAATAAAATAGCTTACTGTAGCAAGCAATGTTCAATTAAATTGAAATACATGTAAAAAACCAAGAAAATAATTTACAACTTAAATGCTTTTGAAAATAAATTTACCAAAAGTATAAAACAGTTTAAATTATACTCTTAATTTGTATAGGGCTATTCTTTAAATTTTACAATAGTTTAAGAGAACAATTTCTTCACTTAATCTCTATTCTCAAAAGACCAGTTCTGAAGGGGAATGAGAGGGTATATTTTGAGAAAAAACAAAAACAAAAAAAAAAAAAACACGACATTTTTATAAGTGGTAGTTAATATTCAAGTAAATATGTATGTAACAAGGAGACAACATCAAAGCTAACAAGCTTAACATTTTTGTTAAATTTTCTTAACAAGGTCAATATGGGTATTAAAGATCTGATGACTCCTAAAAATAAAATCTCAGTTCAAGCAAATGAACTATTCTGTTTGACTAAGTTTTCCAAAGAGAGATTACTATTTAATACATACACATACCAATATTCTTTACCATTAAACATTTTAGATAGGAATCTTCTAACTCTGTTTCTGTCTTCTTATATACACTATAATGAATACACTTAAACTTTTTGATAATTCAAGTTATCAGTGTGAATATCAGTTACTATATAGCAATATTTAGGGTTCTACTGAGCCATAAAAGTGATCTGGCTTCATTCAAAAACCCCAATATGTGGCTCCCTTTTTACTTACCTGTTTTTTGTTACTTTTTTATCTCTCTCTATCTTAATTATCAGTTAGAACTCTAGAGTCAGTTATAACTTCTTATGGCCTTAAAGATACTTGTCCATAACAGGCATATTCAGAACACATGCACTTATACCTATCATTTTCCTCGAAAAGAATCTACTGTATATTTAAGTAGCAGTTTGCCATATAAAACCAGTGTAAATTTTAGGAAGCTTGTTCATTAGTCTTTACAAATACCTATTGTGAAGCACTTCATAAACAAAAAATAACCTCACGAACATCAATGCTCAACTTAGCAACTCATTCTTTGGTCAACAAAGCACATAGTAAAGAGATATATTTCACATTCCATATTTCAATGGATATGGAAAATTTAAAATGTGTGTGATATTTACAAATGTCAAAATACAGATTTCAAGATACTGTAAGTATAAACTATAATGGATTAGCCTCTGATGCTGTGTAATGAAGGTTGACTTTAATCTCTTGGTTAGGGGTTCTTAATGTAGGCTACTGTCATAGTGATCTATGGAGTGTTCCTTAAAACCAGAGTTACCTGGGCATCATCCTAAAGTTTCTGCTTCACTAAATCTGGGGAAAGGCTTAGGATTCTGTGTGTGTTTGTTTTTTAATCTCAGAGGTGATTCTAACATGCAGACAGGGCTGAGAACCTCTGTCCTAGGGTAATATACTAAAAATATTAATAAAAATTGGGATTCTAACCATAAACATTCATTTACCATCATAATTTTTTTTTTAAACTTACACTGTTAGGAATGGTGCTATTATTGCCTTGTCTGTGAGGGTCCATTCTGACTCCTGTAGGGATAAGAAAGTTCAGACTGACACGATGCTCTAAATTAGCTTCAAAAAAATATATTACAATTAAGGATTTCTAAAAAGTTATGTATTAAAGGTTAAAAAGTAGTATCTTTATCAAAGTTTATCTATTTTAATAGCTTGCTTAATAGTTGACTACAATCCTAAAAGTACATGTAAAATCAAATGTTTTTACTAAGTGCCTGTTACTATACAAAAACACTTTTGAAAAAAGCTGAAATACTAATGAAAGCTAATTAAAACCATCTCCTGAAGTCAAGTAGTATGTCAAATTAAGAAAGTATATCAGAATGAACTGCAGAAAAAAACATTCCATCCTACATATCTATGCATTCTACCACATTATAATGGTAAGACAGGTAAGCTTCAGAGTTGAAATGCAACCTATTTGATTTTTTAAATTAGGCCATAATCACTGGTTTTCCTGCAGTAACTTTTTAAAAAAAGCATGAGCATGCATGCTTTAAGGTGAAATTATGTTACCTTGCATATTTGGTGCTGCTGAAGAATCTGATGATGCAGCTTGGTACGGCAAGTCTGTATTCAGCTGCAAAAGATAGCCCTCAACTGTAGGCACTTCATCCCATTTGACATGGAAAGAGTTGGTAGTGGCTTTGATCAGTTGTACTTGTGATGGTGCCGGTGGTTTCTCTAAAGAACAATATTGATATTAAACATTGGTGTTTCAAATGTATCAACAGTTTGCCTATATAGTTTGTGTGGGCCTGGGGCTTGGAAAACGTTAGCAATGAGTATTTCATCTGTTTACTAAGAGAGAGAAAATTTACTCAGATAAACATAGCTATCGTAGGTCAAATGAAAACAGTTTGGGGTTCTGATTCTATTTATTTATTTAATTCCTTGTACAAATAGCTCTACAAACAAAACAATCTGGTTCCAAGCTATTTGAGTTATTAGAATCAGAAAGAAATGTTTAATCATAGCAGTGAGGGGGAGAAGGGAACCAAGTATTTTATAGTTAAAGCTACATTATTTTACCTTCTTTGTAAGTTTTTAATTTTATGAACCAATTTTCAGCCAATAGCATACATGTTAGAAATATTGTCAATGTTACCAAAGATAATTTGGACATGATATTTAGGAAAAACATAACTTCTTCAAGTTAATACACTTTTTTTTTTGTATATTTTATTGGAGTTCAATTTGTCAACATATAGCATAACACTCAGTGCTCATCCCGTCAAGTGCCCCCCTACACTCTTATCAAAACTTGTACTACCCCAAACAAATAATTACTTTGGTATTAAATATTACCAACATTTCCAAAATTCCAAAACAAATACCAATCATAGACTTTTAGAACTGGGAAAAAGAAATTAACCTGAAATTATTTCTACAATATCCTTGTTGTCTTTTTGTTTACCTACCAACTCAGGGAACTCACAATTCCTGGAGGAGTACATTCCATCTTTAGACAGGTATATAAGAAAAGTAATTCTTCTAATGAGTTGATTATCTATAAGCTATAATGTAATTCTTATAGAACTACTAGTCTAATACCTATCTCTGTATCTTTTAGAGAAGGGGTCAGCAAACTGGCTAGCTTATGGGCTGTTTTTGTAAATAAAGTTTTATTGAAACACAGCTGCGATCATTTGTTTATGTATTAGTTATGATTGCTTTCATCTACAACAGCAGAATTGCATAGTTATAATGAAGACTATATGGTCTAGAAAGTCAAAAATACTTACTACCTGGCTCTTTACAGAAAAAATTTGATGACTGTGTTTTAGAGGATGAGTAAACACAGTTCCTTCAACTATTCCCCATTTGGATTTCTCCATAATCCTATTCATAGTCCAGTTTATGTTTCTTAAAGTAAGACAACCCATACAAGCAAACAAGAAGACAAGTCCAAGAGGTACACCACCCACATAACAGAATTTACATGAAGAGAAAATAGAGAAAACAGAAGGGTGCAAATCAATGCAATAAATTAAGAAAATTTCCAGAACTAGAGAACATGAGTTTCTAGATTGAAAGGACTCACTGAGTACTCAGCACAATGGGTTAAAAATAGATGCACAAGGCACATCACCATGAAATTTAAGAATAGTGGGGACAAAAAAAAAAAAAAAATCCTGAAAGCTATCAAGGGTGAGAGGGAAGATCACATTTAAAAGGAACAAAAATTAGAAGTGGTTTGGGTTTCTTTTTTTTTTTTTTTAAAGATTTTATTTATTTATTTATTCATGAGAGACTCAGAGAGAGAGAGAGAAAGAGAGAGAGAGAGAGAGAGAGGGGCAGAGGGAGAAGCAGGCTCCATGCAGGGAGCCTGATGTGGGACTTGATCCCGGGACTCCAGGATCATGCTCTCCAGGATCACGCCCTGAGCCAATGGCAGGCGCTAAACCACTGAGCCACCCAGGGATCCCCGTGGTTTGGGTTTCTTAACAAAAAAATGGAAGCTTGAATACAGTTTAACAATGCTTTCAAAATCCTGAAGGGTAATGACTTCCAAAGTAGAATTCTATTTCTATGCAAATGGCCAATTAAGTGTAAGAAAGACGGAACATATTTCCAGACAATGTGAAATCTCAAAATAAATTTATCACCTATGCACCCTTTTCCTGGGATGTGTTCCACAAGAAATGAAACAATAAACTAAGGACGGGAAAAATATGGGATCCAGGAAACAGGGAATCCGGCACAGGTGAGAGGCAAAAGATATCGCCAGGAAGATGATGAAGGGAGACTCCAAGATGATAGCTGGGCTTGATTTGTGGAGGACAACCATCCCAGATTGGAGCAGGAGAAATTTCTTCAAGACGATGAAATCTGATACAATATCTGATGCATCTAACCATAATGAGAGAAGATTTAAACAAATAACACAGTATGGATTGAATTAGTGGTAGATACATACAAGTCTATAATAAACAAAAGTGACAATTATTAATCCATGGTAAATAAAAAGTTATACAAGAAAAGTTTCACAAAATTCTACATGGCTCACCTGTGAACAGTGTTTATATGGTCATAAGGTAAACAATGAATACTCATCTAACAAAATTATGGTATAACCATATTGAGAGAATGGGGGTAGGAGAGGTGTATAGGAGAGAGGTGAGGAATGGTGGAAAGAAGAGATAAATCCTTAATTTCCATAGTAAAAAGTGAGCATTTTATGCCTAAACTGAAAAAAATCAGGATAACAATATATGCATGTTATATGGAAAGATGGAAGTAAATACCAAAATCATTGTTTAATGGAGTTGAAAGTAGATGCTTGTGAAGCAAGGAAAATGAGAGGAAGGTGGGAGCAAAGGACTGCTATTTTTCAAAAAAAGCCTTATGGAATTAATCACTCTTTTAAATGTTATCAAATATAAAGATTAAATAAAGTGGAAAAAAAAGCAAGATGAAGAGCCTTCATTTCTCCAATCCCCCAAATTAATGCTAATTTACCGAGAAGCAAAATCTAAATTTTGACCTTATGATTGTGGCCATGATTACTTTTAGATAGATATTCACGTCTAAAGAAAAGGTTTATGGAAAAACTGGCCAGTCTATAATTTTTAACCTTCTAAAAGTTACAGATCCCTTAGACAATCTTCTGAAAGTGATGTATTCTCTGCCAAGAAAAATTTATACACACACATTTTTCTTTCAATCTCAGAGACTGAAGTTTATCCTTGGACTTCAGGAAATAACTCCCAATTTCAAAGATGCATCAGTAAGGTGGATTTTCTAGATTTCTTTCCTGCTTGCTAGTATGTGCTTCTTCCATAGAAGATATTTTAGTCTCTAACTTAGTTGTTCCATTTATTACTTTTTAAATTAATTTTAAAATTAAACTGTTTTTACATTACCAAAGCAATACATGCTCCTGAGGAAATACAGATTAAAGAAAAACCTTTCAGAAAATGTTTAATCTCACCTTTTATTTTTTTATTATTTTTTAAATCTCACCTTTTAGATAAAACTTTGGTACACAATGTATCCTTCCAGATTTTTCTGTTTACACCCTTAAAAAAAAACCTGGACTCATAAGTATGTTTTATAATCTTCTCTTCTCATGTAACAATGCACATTACGTCTCCAGATTTGATTTCTCTACTGGTCTCCAGATTTCTTTATTCATCGACTATGTTTTTGATCTCCTTATTTCAAAATTAGCATAGTCTAAATGGAACTCTTTCCTCCACAAACTGGTTTTTTCCTCAGTCTTCCCCATCTCAGTAAATGGAAATACCACCAAATTACTCAAGCTAAAAACTTCATCCTCCATTCTTCTCTTTGTACCATATGTCACACCCAATTTAATCAGTCGGTTCTTTCAAGAACTCTAAAACATATTCTGAATTTATCCACTTCTACCCATCTCCACTGGCACTGCTGTAGTCTAAGACTTCTCTGGCTCCTGTGAAAGTCTCCTAACTTGTCTCCCTGTGTGCACTCTTGCCCACCTTCAATTTATTTTCCACACAACTGCAGTGGCCATTCCAAAATGTACATCAGATCACAACACATGTCTCCTTCAAACTAATAAATAAACTATCTTTGTACTTCATAACCTAAACTCTACCACAATGTTCAAGGCCTTACATGATCTGTCGTGTGGTCACTTCTCTAACCTCCATTCCTATGTTCTCCTTTTTCAATCAGCTCAAATCTGTTCCCAAATGTGCCATATATTCCTAACGCAGGGCCCTGTACTTGCTGTTGACTCTTCCTACAGTGTTTCTCTCCCAGCTTTTTCCATGGATAGCGTCTTCTCTCTATTTGGATTATAACCCAAATGCCATCTCATATATACCTACTCTGAAGTTAACCTCATTTCTCCATTCCAGTACTTCCCATCACTATCTCACTGTTCTATCTTACTATCTTCCCATGCTTACCAGAAACGGAACTTATTTTATTAATTTGTCTGATTAGTGCCTGTCATCCTGCTGCCCACATTCTAAGAATATACATTCTTAACATCAGGGACATTATCAGTCTCTCATTGCTGTAGCATTTCACATCTCAGCATGTAAAACAATTTAGAACAATTCCTGATAGGTGTCAATCAGTAAATATTTCTTGAAAAATGGATAAGTTCTGTATTTAAAATTCTTTCATGTTCTAACTCTTTTACAGAAATCCTTTTAGGGTCACCCAGGGAGCTCATTGGTTGAGAATCTGCCTCTTAAAAAAAAAAAAAAAAAAAAAGAGAATCTGCCTCTTGATTTTGGCTGTGGTTGTGATCACAGGATCGTGGGATTGAGCCCTATCTTGGGGCTCAACCACTCAGCCAGGAGTCTGCTTCAGATTCTCTCTCTCCCTCTCTCTACTCCACCCCATGCTCTCTCATGCTCTTTAAAAATAAATAAATAAATCCTTTAAAGAAAGATTTTATTTATTTATTTAGAGAGAGAGAATGCATGAGAGGGGTGAGGGGCAGAGGGAGAAGCAGACTCCCCACTGAGCAGGGAGTCTGTTGCAGGGCTTGATCCCGGGACTCTGGGATTATGACCCAAGCAGAAGGCAGACTCCTAACCAACTGAGCTACCTAGGCACCCCTAACTAAATCTTTCTTAAAAATCTTTTTATTTTGGAGTACTTTTAGATTTATAGAAAAAAAAATGCAGAGTTCCCATATACTCTTTAGTTTCCTCTAATGTTAACACATTTGTCAAAATTAAGAAATTAACACTGGAGTAATACTATTAACTACAGACTACTCATATTTCACCAGTTTTCTAATTAATGTGGGGTTTTTTTTGGTTCCAATCCAATCTAGGGTACCACCCTGCATTTAGTCATTATGCCTCCTTCGTCTCCTCTGATTTGTGACTATTTCTCACTCTCCTTATGTTTCATCACTTTTAAATTTTTGAAAAGTACGGTTCACATATTCTGCAGAATGTCTAGGATGTTCCTCAATTTGGGTGTGTTGGTATGTTCTCATAGTGAGAGTAAGGTTATGGGTTTTGGGGTAACACAGAAGTGAAGTTTCTTCTCCTCACATGATATTAGAGGCAGGGGTAAATGATTCAACGTGACTATCACCAGTGATATTAACACTGACTACTCGATCAAGCTGGTGTTTTCCAGGTCTTTCCATTGTTAAGTTACTATTGGTCCCTTTTCATGTTCTGTGCTTTGGAAGAGAGTCACTAAATCCTGTCCTTTACACTCAAGGACAGGAAAATTAAGAAACTCTCCTGGGGAGGAAAAAAAAAGATATTCTCCTGGAGTGGGAAGTATCTACATATAATATTTATTCCATTCATTTTTAATTATGGAAGAGAGACGCAGTGGCATTTACACTAAATCTCAAGAGACATGCAGTGCTCAAGTATTTATTTACCTGAAGGAAAATTTTTATTTACTGAATACTCTTACCTACCAGTATCAAGATACCAAAGATCCTTGCAGCAAACTTGACTATTCAGTGCTTTTTTGTAGCCATCTCTTCCACTCCAAAAATACAATCGAGTGCCAATTGCAACAGCACAGTGTCCAGCTCTTGGTCTTGGTCTTGAATTTTTTTTATCTTCCTGAGAATCTGATACCAGGGTGGTCCACTCTGCTGTATCTATAAGATAGAAATATCCATAACTACTCTATTGTTCTTAAAAAATAAAGTAACAAAAATGATTTTATTAATAAATTTTATTTCAGTTAGTAACTCTTAAAATACTCACCAAGATTTAGGTAAGAAAATGAACTAGTACATCTCCACTCACAATCATGAGGTGAAGTCTCAATATTCTCCCCCTTATGTGGAACCCATCCACCAAAAATGTACATCCTGAACAACAAAAAGAGAGAACATAAAGTGGTTGATTTCTTTACTAAAGCTTTAATTTTTTTAAGATTTAAAATACTAACAATAGACTTAAATTTCTTATTTGTCGACTCAAAGCTTCAGGACTACTCACTTATCATGATCAAGATAATGGGAATAAGATAATGAATAAAGAGGCCTCCTCTGAAGAGTTTACAATTTCATGAAGCAATACAGAATCAAATTATTTCTCTACAGCAAGTTAAAATGGGGAATATTTCACTTATTTTGAAAATCATTATGTATAATATACTCAGTGTACCTCAGTCAGAAAGACAGTCAAATGATCTATGACACCTAAAATCAAATTTGGAGTTGTATGCATACAGTACCCAAAGAGGATTAAATCTCTTATAACTTTGGTCACTGATATCACTCAAATAAAATACTTTAAACTATGTCCCTCAGGGCCCTAAGGGTTCTTGAGACATGCCTAATGGCTGCTAAAGGAGAAAGGTTCATCAGGTAGAGCTTAGGGCCCATGTGACCTTATGCCAACAAGAGAAGCTCTATTTTCTTTCTATTTAACATATTAGAGTTCCAATGGAAAAACTACATTTTATAAAAGGGTTCTGATATTCTAAAAACTCTATCTTAAAAAAAATTAAAAAAATAAAAACTGTATCTTACTAAGATTTTTTATGGCTATTTTTTTAAACAAAGTAGAGTATTCATTTTTTTCCCCCCAAAGACGTATTTATTTGAGAAAGAAAGAGAAAGGACCAAAAACATGGAGAGGGAGAAGCAGACTCCCTGCTGAGTGGGGAGGCCAATCCGAGGCTTGATCCCAGGACCCTGGGATCATGACCTGAACTGAAGGCAGATACTTAACTGAATGAGCCACCCAGGAGCCCTATTCTTTTTTTGTTTTTATTTTATTTTTTATTATTTTTTTAAAAAAGATTTTATTTATTTATGACAGAGAGAGAAGCAGGCTCCATACAGGGAGTCCGAAGTGGGACTCGATCCCTGGTCTCCAGGATCCGGCCCCGGGGTGAAGGCGGCGCTAAACCGCTGAGCCACTGGGGCTGCCCCTCTATTTTTGTTTTTAAAGGTTTTTTGTTTTTTGTTTTTTTTTATTCACGAGAGACAGAGAGACAGAGAGAGAGAGAGAGGCAGAGACAGGCAGAGACAGGCAGAGGGAGAAGCAGGCTCCATGCAGGGAGCCTGACGTGGGACTCAATTCTGGGTCTCCAGGATCAGGCCCTGGGCTGAAGGCGGCGCTAAACCGCTAAGCCACCCAGGCTGCCCAGTCACTCTATTCTTAAAAAAGAACTAATGAGGTTCTAGTTGTTTCCTAAAACATTACTTATAAGAAAAAGTCCCTACACAAGGAAAATATTTAATTAAATTCTATTTACACAATAATGCACAAATAGGGAACTTGTTGATGACAGTAACACCTTTTATGGAGTGCTCATTATGTACCAGACACCATTTGAAGCATTTCATATGTATTAATCCATTTAATCTTCAAGACAACCTTGTGGAATAGGTTTTATTATTATCTATATTTTATATGTGAGTAAATTGAGGTGCAGATTAAATTTCCTTGCCCCAGATCATACATGACAAATACCAAAACTGGAGACTTGAATTCAGGCGATCTGGTTACAGAGTTTACATTCCAACCATAATGACACCAAGTTCAATCATCAAGCATACATACTGAGTACACATCTGAATACAAATCAAGCATTACCAAAAATAAGTAAAACGAAACACTGAGTTTGGTGTGTCAAACCTGGCAATGGAGGACAGATCAGTGTCACAACACTCTGCCTCACTCTTACTACCTACTCTGAGCAAGGCACTGTAAGAAATATACAGAAATATAAGAGGCAGCAGGATAAGAAATTGGCACAGTAAATATTTTAGCTTCTATAGGCTTATAATTTTAGCTTTAGTAAACACAATAAAATATTATTAAATTCAATAATCTATTGCTAAGAAATTGGTAGCACTGCTCTGTATCTTTCTTGAGTTGGTTTAAAAAAAAAGTGGAAAACAAAAACCATACTTGTTTCCTATAACACTGGCTGTATGAAGGCTTCGTGGAAGTGGCACTGTCCCTTTAGTTTCTGGTTTTGACCAAGACATAGTTTCTAGAAGTAAAAATAAGTATATTAGCAATTTGGTTTAATAATAGCAATTTACCTCACCTTGAAGAATTTAAAAAAATAAAAAGGGACTTAACAAAAAGAAGCAAAAGTGTTTCAAAACCATTACACGAACTTCATCTTAAAATAAACATTTCCAGCTGACATAAATAGCCAATTATAGTAATCTATTTATATTTGAATGTTAGTATTTGTAATGGAGAAGTGTGTTTAGGGTGCCACCAACTTTGAATTATAACCAGACTAGGGATTTTAACATTTTAAGTAAGAACATACTGTGTAGAAGGTAGTCAAAAGTGAGACACACCTACCCTCCACTCACTCACTTCTAGGATCTCTTTAAAAAAAGCTAGCCATGTTTTTTTTTATGGACCAGCCATAATGTTATTAATGCTACATTTCCTGGAGACAGAGTAACCATATAAATTTGATCATCCCCAAGAGGGACACTTTATAGAGTGATAATTGGTACTACTGAAAATTACACAGGACAATAAGCATAAATCAGGGCCATCTCAGGCAAACCATTACATATGGAGACCCTACTTATAAGGAGCACAGGAGAGTTACTGTCATAAGCCAAACATTCATTTGTTTAACTTCATTGATCAGCAACCATGTGCATCATATCTCTGTTGTTCCAGAGCTGGCCACAAGTGCCTTCTATAAATTTAAATGTAACTCAATAAACACTGCAATCAAAAATATTTTTCCATAGCAATTTTTATATTTGCCTTTATCAATCATAACCAATTCCTGAGCCTAAATCAAGGTAAGCTTACCTAAGTCAAGTTGCCATAGATCATCTAGGCGAGCACCACACATTCCACCAAAGACATACATTTTAGGACTTCCAGAATCTTTTTTGCAATATATGACAGCTGTGTGGGATTCTCTTGGAGAAGGCACAATCCCTTTAGTCACTGGAATGCTCCAACCCACAACACCAGAACCATGCTGTAGCTCCAACTCATAGAAATCATTCAAATATCTAGGATATCATGAAATAAATTAAAACATTAACATAATATATACCTTTTATATGATTTTTGTTTCTATTTATAAAGATCATATATACATATTGTGAAAAATTCATATAGTCAGAAAAGCATTGAGAGAGCAAAAACTCGTTCCCTCATTCATTCAACACATATTTATCAAACACTACTCTTCTGGGGTGTCAGTAGTGAATAGAAGAGATTTTTAAAAACATTCCTGTCATCCTTTAACCAACACTCTTGTCTATTACAGCTGTGATAGTTTCAAAACAAAGCTGCAAATCTTCTGACACTCTTCCCATCAGGAGGTGGGGTCTATGTGTCCATCCTCACTCTCCATTCTGGGCAAGCCTGTGACTGCTTCAACTAGAGTTTGGTGAAATGACACTAGATGACTTCCAAAGCTTGGTCACAGAAGGCAGCTTCACTCTAGACACTTGGTTTTGGGATCCTGAAGCACCACGTAAGTCCAACTCCCACAAAAACACCAAGTGGTGTTTATATGTGCAAGTGGAGTGGAAGTGTCATAGGATGACAGCCCCAGTTCAGTTCAGCCTTCAGTCATCTCAGTGGAGGCACCAGATGTGGGAGTGACCATTCAAGCCTTTACATCTTAGGCCTAGCCATCACTGCTGTGTCCTGTCTGAATGCCTAATGCAGAGTCTCCGAACATAATAAATTGTTGCCATTTTGCATCACTAACTTTTGGGGGAGTTGACTACATGGTACTAGATAACTAGGACAATCACTATTGGCAATAATTGCTAAATATCCTCTGACCTCTCTCTCTCTTTAGACATCCACATATATATAAGTGAGACATATTACAAATGTTCCTTTGTAACTTTTTTTCTTTTAAAACATTCACACTATAATGTAGCAAAGCTCTATGTAGCTTTTTTTTAAACTCTAGAAACTGGCATTAAATTTTTCATCTGTGGGGCAGCCCCGGTGGTGCAGCGGTTTAGCGCCGCCTTCGGCCCAGGGCGTGATCCTGGAGACCCCAGATGGAGTCCCACATCGGGCTCCCTGCACGGAGCTTGCTTCTCCCTCTGACTGTGTCTTTGTCTCTCTTTCTCTCTGTCTCATGAAAAATAAATAAAATTTAAAATTAAAAGAAATTTTTTTTCATCTGTGACATGGATGTTTCCAATGTTTTGAGCAAAATAACTTTTATAGGAATATATTTCCTATCAATTTATTACTCAAATATGAGGGCAAAATTAAAACACTTTAGGACATATAAAGTTTCAAAGTTTAGGGGTGCCTGGGTGGCACAACTGGTTTAAGTGTCTGACTCTCAATTTCAGCTCAGGTCACGATTTCTGGGTCATGGGATTGGGTCTGTGTTGGGCTCCCTGCTCAGCACCAAGTCTGCTTTAGACTCTCCCTCTCCTTATGCCCCTCCCCACCAAAATAAATAAAGAAATCTTAAAAAAAAAAAAAACCTCAGAATTTAGCCATAAAATTGTTTTGGGAGAAAAATGATTCTAGATATTATTCCAGAAAAATAAAAAGAAATCCAAGAAAGAACACACTGAAATAAGAGAAATGGTAGTACAAAGAAACCAGTAATTTGTAATATGCTTAAACTGATGCTTATAAAGTATGGTTGTGAGGTCTAAATAATCATTAATAAAGACTGACCAAAAAATTAACTTCTTAGAGTTACTATAATCTGGAATAAGAGTCAAGAATACAAGGAACATATGGGAAAAGGGGATAAGCAAAAGACGGTAAAGACTAATCTATTCTCAAAGATGACAAGATCTTTTCAGTTTAAATGTATGTGATAATTTCTGAGCAACTACTAAGGCAAGCACGGAATTAGCATGTTTAGCTTTCAAATCATTAGAAGAAAAAAATAGTAAATCAAGAAAAAGGAAAATGAAACATAACCAAAGCATAGTCTATGGAAAGCATAGACTAATAAGATGGTTAGGGGAAAAATACTATAAAACAATGTCAAAAGAAAGACACTGTAAAAAAAATTTGGTACGTATCACAGAAAAAGGTAAAATTTTCTTAATGTAACACGTTCCTACAAAATCAAGATTACAACCAATCACACAACAGATAAATAAAAGGACATAAACTGACAGTTCACAGAATGAGAAATAAAAGTTGTATATAACACAAACACAAATACATACACAAATATTCAGCCTCATTACAATTTTTTAAAATCAGCAAATGCAGGAAAAGGCAGGGGGTTGGAGGTAGAGAAGCAACAACAAACAGAATAAATGGAAAACAAAAAACAAAGGTAAGAAAAAACACTTCTCTCAAGGGCAGGAAGTATATAAGGAAAACAAAATAAAAGAACCCTGAAACCAGCTATAAGCAATTAACAGCAAGGATAATACAATACTATTTTAATACTATGCCACTGATGTGGCATAGACTGACACAGATCAGAATGGATGCCAGCCAGTAAGCTATACTAGCTCATAGTGATCAATGGTTATTCCTATTTACAAAAGATAAGTCTACAACAAAATCATACACACAGGTTGAAAAGTAGATATAGATGGTACAAACAGTAAATTCACAATCATACTAGGTTTGAACATTGTCATTCAGAAGCTGATACAATCCAGACTCACAAAATAAAAAAGCTTTGAATAATAATGTAAAACAGTGATTTAATAAAGAACCTTGTACTCAATCAATCAGGAACTTAAAATCTTTATGAACACCTATGGAGTAATCACAAAAACTGACATACACCACAAAGACAATCTCCAAAAAAGAGAAATCCAACAGATCACATATATATTTTTTTATATCACATATTTTTTAATACAATATAATAAAACTAAATATTAGCAACAATAACAAAACTTTCCCTTTGGAAAGTTTTACAAATTTATGTCAAATTACTTTTGGGTTAGAGTTAATGAAAAGTAGTAACAATAAGAGTATTATATATCTAAACCTATGGAATATGGCCAAAGCCATAAGCAGAGGAAAATTTGTAGCAATTAATAGAAAATAAAACAAAAAATATATGAATAGGCATTCAAATTACTAGAAATTAGAAAAAAGTTAGAAAAAAACATCAAAACTATTAAAAGTTTAAAAGAGGGGCACTTGGGTGGCTCGTCGCTTAAGTGTCTTCTTTTGGCTCAGGTCATGATCCCTGGACCTGGGATTGAGCCTCCACCACATCCCACTTCCAAACACGTCTAGCTCCCTGCTAAGCAAGGGAGTCTGCTTCTGCGCATCTTCCTTTGCCCCACTTGCCCACTCAGGTGGGAGCTCTTGTGCTCACTCTCTCTCTCAAATAGAGAAATAAAATCTTTTTTTTTTTTTTTTTTATTTATGATAGTCACAGAGAGAGAGAGAGGCAGAGACACAGGCAGAGGGAGAAGCAGGCTCCATGCACCGGGAGCCCGACGTGGGATTCGATCCCGGGTCTCCAGGATCGCGCCCTAGGCCAAAGGCAGGCGCCAAACCGCTGCGCCACCCAGGGATCCCGAGAAATAAAATCTTAAAGAAAATTTTTAAAAGAAGTTATAAAAAAAATTAAAGAAATGGAATAAAGAAAAAAGTGAAAAATAAAAATAAATCATTAATAAAACTGAAAAATGGTTCTTTGAAAACACCAAACCACTTATGAGTCTGATTAGAGAAAAGACAAAAAACATTTATAAATGAGAAAAGAGATTGTGACTACAGATAGAGATTTTAAAAGTATACAGAAAACTGTCTTTTAATTTTTATCAATAAATATAAACATCTAAATAAAATGGGTGTTTTTCAAGGAAAACATAAATTACCAAATGACTCAAGAGAAAGTAGAAAATCTAAATAGATCAATAACTATAAGAGATATTGAAAAGGTAGTCAAAGATCATCTTCCTAAATTATACCAATCTCAGACAATTATGGGAAATTTCTACTAAATATTCAAGAAATTGTTATTTAAGCATAAGATAAAAGGCTTCCTGAAATCGCAGAACAGAGCCCTGACTGTGTTCCTGAGAATAAGAGAATTCTGATACTCAAATCAGATTAGGACACCACTACCCTAAATAAAGTCAATATACGAAAAATCACTAGACACTATAGAGAATATATAAATGTTAGCAAATGAATTCAGCAAAGTATGAAAATAACACTGTAATCCAACAAATTGGGGTTTAACTACAAATTTAAGATGGCTTATATTTCAAAACTTAATAATTCACACAACCAATGGACTAAAGAAAAGAAACAGTAAGTTCATTTCCATGTCAGAAGTGAATATGAACATCCACCTTTGGTTAAAATGAGAGAGAATAAAACTAATTAGAAAACTAGAAATCTTTTAAAACTTCCTTAATCTGATCAAAGGCAAATATTAGAAACCTATAGCAAACATCACAATTAACGACAGAAAAGTAAATATATTAATAAAACAGAAGAGTCTTGAACAAGAGTTGACATTTTTTTTTTGTAAAAAGCCAGACAGTAAATATTTTACAGTATGCAAGTCACAACTACTCAACTTTCCTCTTTTAATATGAAAGCAGCCAGAAACAACATGTAAATGAATAGGAATGACTGTGTTCCAATAAAGCTTTATTAACAAAGACAGAGCATAGTTCATAACCCCTGGTCTAGAAAGCCTAGAAAAAGACCCATTTATATGAGGATTAAGATATGATAGAGATGGGACTTCAGTGAAGAAATAAATGGTTTATTTAATAAATGGTGGTAGAGAATTGGAAATCCATTAGGAAGAAAAAGTAAAAATCCTCATAATAGTCACAAAGATATATTCTAATATATTAATATTTTAAACATAAAGAACAAAGCTATGAATGCACTGAATAATTTTGGGGTAGAAGAATCTTCCTAAAGCACAAAGCAATTAAAAATACTGTCAACCCTGATAAAACAAAAATGAAAACACTTTTTAAAAAAGGCAAATAGAAGACTTGAAAACTTATGGATTATGGTGATGGATACACAACACAATAAACTGACTGAAATCACAGAATTGTATGTATAAAAAGGATGAATTTTATCATATAAAGTTTATGTTTTAACTATTCAAAAAGGAAAAATAAAGATATGAACAATTTCATAAAAGGAATTGCAAATGTCCAATAAGCATAATCAAGCTCATTATCAGTATTTATTAAGATTTTTATTTATTTATTTGTTTGTTTATTTATGAGAGCAAGCAAGAGTGTGCATGAACACGTATGGGGAGATGTAGTGGGAGAGGGAAAGGACAAGCAGACTCTGCACTGAGCCTGAAGCCCAACATGAGGCTGGATCTCATGCTCCTGAGATCATGACCTGAGCCAAAATCAAGAGCTGCACATTTAACTGACTGAGCCACCCAGTTGTCACACTCATTACTAGTTTTTAAAAATAAAAATAAATCCACAAAATGTATTTCACCTATTAGTTTGGCAAAAACTAAGAAGAATGAGACAATTCGATATTGTTAAGGGGGTAGGCAGACCTGCACACTGCTATTAGGAGTATAAAATTAAAATGGCTCTGTCTCTTTGCAGGTTGATTCAGGAATCTCTAACAAACTTGAATAAATATATTTTGACCTCATTCCCACCGATTCCGTTTACAAGTATGAATCCTACAATCCAGTTAAGCATGTGACTCTTGATTTCGGCTCACGTCATGATCCCAGGAATGTGAGATCAAGCCCTGCAACCAGCTCCATGCAGGGAAGAAGATTCTGTTGAAGATTCTGTCGCTTCCTATGCCCACCCCCTGTCTCCTCACTTTCTCCCTTTCTCTCTAAAAAGCAAAAATAGTCATACTTGTGCAAAGACTGTAATACCAAAAAAGTGGAAATATTTAAATGTCTACCATTTAAATGGTTAAGTAATTTGCAAAATTCAGACTACTTTTCAACCATTAAGAAAAAAATAAGGTCAATTTTTATCTATTGCCCTAAAAGATCTCCAAGATACACTGTCAAAGGAAAAAAAAAAAACAACAAAAACAAACAGGAAACACCCAAAGTTGCAAAGCAAAAAGAAAGATCCCACTTCTATAAAAAAGAATACATATCTGTGTATGATCAGATCAATGTTTCCCACCTCCCCTCTCCTGCTAGGCAGAACACTCAGCCTAGGATGGCCAACCAATGGAATGTGAACAGAAATGAATCTGCTAGCTTTAACCAGAGGCTTTCAAAAGCACTACATCTATCTATTGCTCCCTCAAGCAGCATAAACTTGAGAAGCTTGCCCATTATATATAATAAACTAAAAAAAAAAAAAACTGACTAACATATGATACATGAAAAAGGTTCTAAAAGATATACATCAAATTGAATTATGTGTTTGCTTGTGTTGGAAGACAATGATGCTTTGAGAAAGAATTTTGTATACTTTCTAATTTCTTAAATTTTTTACAAGTCTATATCTAGAAAAAACTGTTTAAGGTAAGGATGAAAAAGACATGGCTAGACGTAAAAGTATCTGGGTTATAGTATGTTGGGATAAATTTTTTTCCTTTTCTCTAGTTTCCAAGTTTCCCATGATATCTTATTTAGTGTTATTTTTTTAAGGTTTGGAAAAAACAAAAAAGCTAAGACTAACATCAATGTAATGTCGGTAATATGCTGATGGCAACCTGCAACTACTTTGAAAATGAGGCCAAGGATCTTATTTAGCCATCATCATGACACTGAAATGCTGGTATTCAATAACTCTTATTTCACAGTCAAGGAAAACAGTATTAGATTACTTCCACTAAAGGACACCCATGGTAAGCAGTGAATTAGAAAAGTCTTTCAGATTCTAAATCTCCAAAACGACAATGTGATCAAAACACTATACAAAAAGAGGTAGTGATTAGTTCTGTTTGGAAAAAGGGGGAGAGGATTGTTTCAAAAAGTATTTGCTTGTGTGAACTACCATAACAACTTCCTGTATGAAAAGTGGATATGACAGCCTTTATTTTATAGTGACATTTTTGTCACCAAATTCCCAGAGACATCTAATTTGAAAATAATCATTTGTTATTTTCATTATCATTTATGACAAGTAAAATACACTATGGCTCAATATATACAAATAGGTTGCTATAAACAATTATGTTGATATCATTTAATAAGATGATTTCTGATTAGAAAAGGCATAGTTATGAAAACACACATTCCAGGGACTAAGGAAAACACAACTGCTCACAGATTTGTTTATTGTTAGGTTTAAATGCAAAAGGCTAAGTTTTATCTTTTTAATAACTGGTAGAAATTAAATTTTCTTAATCTAAGTCTTAAACATTTGGTTCGAAAAAGAATCAACATACCTGGGAACATTATTGTTTGAATCTTCACTTTCATTTGCCAGACCACCAAACAAATAGCATTTGTTACCATATAAAGAGAAGCTATGTCCAAGCCGAGGGCAAGGAGGTAAACCAGAAGAAGGGGGGTGGGGTTTCACTTTTTTCCATAACCAACGACTTGCCTTAAAAAAAGCACAGATAAAATGAAGAAAGCATTCCTATATTGTCAATAATATAACATCATATCAATATATTTTAATCAAAATCCAATCAGAAGGCTCCAATAAGCTATTCTGAGGACAAATGAGAAGGAAACAGGTAACTTCTGGAACTAAAATAAACACTGCAATAGAAATTCAGTCTAGTCTTCCTGGGGCACCTGGGTGGCTCAGTTGGTTAAGCGGTTAAGTGGTTAGCGCTTGATTTCGGCTCATGTCATGATCTCAGGGACATGAGAGCGAGCCCAGCATTGCATTGAGCTCCACATTGGACCTGGAGTCTGTTCGAGATTCTCTCTCTTCCTCTCTCTGCCTCTCTGCCTCCCAATCCCACAAGAGAGAAAGAGAAAGAAAGAAAGAAAGAAAGAAAGAAAGAAAGAAAGAAAGAAAGAAAGAAAGAAAGAAAGAAAGAAAGAAAGAAAGAAAGAAAGAAAGAATTCAGTCTAGTTTTTCATATTCACAGCTTTCCTCAACAGCAAACCTAAGCAAATAATAATAAACACTAATAGTTCCCAAATATTTACCACATGAAAAATTAAATATATATCACTTGAAGATTAAATGAAATTTATATACTCTTTTCTGAAACTAGGTAATCCATAGATAGTATATATTTCAACCTTTAAATAAGCATAAATAAAGATCATTTAATAAACCAAACTCCAAAACTTATGCTCTATGGAGGCTCTATTACCAAAACTATTTGCTTTTAAGTAGGTATAATTCACCTATATCTGTCAATTAGCAGCTCATGATAGCAGCCCTATGAACATATGCACAGCTGTCAGGGCTCTGAGTGTGGCTTAGTAGAATCAAATTTATAATGGATATGTGAAACTGTACCCCTTTTTTTTGTATGTCTTGCCAGTAAAAAAAAAAAAAATAGTGTTTATTAGTTTGAGGGTAACAAACTCTACCGAAGGCAGAGGTTTTCAAAGTATGGTCTGGGGACCAGCAGCAACACATGGGAACTCGGTAGGAATGCCAGTGTTGAGGCCCCACACCAGACAATACCCATTCAGAAAAACTCTGGGGGGCAGGGCGCAGGGATCTGTTTTCACAAGCCCTCCAATGCTTCTGCTGCTGCTAAAATTGAAGAACTAGGACACTAAGATACAAAAAATCTAAACCAGTAACATGTATAACTGATGCTAAGTAACATATCTTAATGTTACAACTGTTACACTGGGTACGAGAAAAAGACTTACATTAGAAACTTTGGCTTTTTAGTGCAGTGGAAACATTTTCTTTGAAACTATAAAATGTGAAGCTCATACTATTTTAAATATGTCAATGAAATATTTTACGATCTTTCAAAGAATTAGGAGCAATATTATTATTAAAGCCACAGATTGAAATAAATTTGAAATACACTTACCTGCAACTCATATAACTCATTGCTGTATCTTCCATATTCAACCATTCCCCCAAATACTAATATTCTGGTACCATCACAGACAAATCCATGGGCAGCGCAACCTGGAGGGATGTCTCCTCTAACAGCTGGTAGGAACCACTGATTTGTAACTAGTTGCCAAAATAAAATTAAAACCAATTATAATAAAGTTATCACAAACCATGACTATGTACTTTATATGTATCATCTGTATCAGTGATTATTGGAGATTGGAGATGATTTTTTTCCCCCAGGAGCAAACCAAAAACGCGTAGTTGTCTATCTGGAGGGAGGGGAGAGACGCTAGTGGGTAGAGACGAGAGATGGTGCCAAAGATCTTACAATGTACAGTGCACGCTCTTAGAACAATTCTCTGGTTAAAAGTGGCAATAGTGCTGTTAAACAATCCTGACCTATACAATCTAATTCTTACCAAAATCCTACTTGTTGAGTATCATCAACTCCGTTTTACAAGTGAACATCTAAGTTTGGTAACTTTAGCGCTGATCCTGGGCAACTGCCAGAGCAACACTAAAACCAGGCCTACCAACTTATTCCAAAGCCAGGATTTTTACACTACACCAAATTGTCAAATAACTTCTAAACTATATATTAGAGTGCCAAGAGGAGGAGACGGTGAAAAAATAAGCTTCCTCCTACGGCACTATTTGGTTACCCTTTAAACGACCACTATGATTAAGTTATTTGGTCAAAGTTACTGATCATGACGTAGACCCAAAATTCGGCAATTAGCCTTATGCCGAGGAAACCGCTTCCTCTGGAGAGCTGGCCCATTAACAACTTGGGGAACATGACATTCCACCCTCCTTTTATCCCGAGGCGCTCAAAGGCAGGGCCTCCCCGGCCAGGGGCACAGTGACTTGCAGCGATGCTCAAGGGGACAGTCCCCCTTCCGCGAGCGCCGCCCAGCTGAGCTTCAGCGCACGAACCTAACTATGCAGAGAGCAGGCGCCGGTCTCGCCAGCCACTTCCCCGCCAGTTAAGAGGGTCAGCAATGGAGTAAGAATCTTGGCTCCCACCTGCCAGATACGGTGTTGTATTTGGGGTGAAAGCACCAGGCCTCTCGTTTTCCCTCCTCATCGTCCCCCAGCCATCCCCCCGCCCCCCCCCCCACACACACACCAGCCCTGATTCATTTCCTCCAAAGGGAAGACCGCAGGCAAAGACGAGACAGGCCCAGAGCAGCTTTGGTTTGGAGTTGGTTTGGGTTTTTGACAGGGGAGAGATCCCGGACCCCCGGAGTGAGCGAGACTCGGGGAAGAGGCCCAGGCGGGTGGAAACCGTCTCTCTCGCCTACGTCCGCCCGAGGGCTGGGGCGGGGGGGGGGGGGTCCGGGGCCGCCTGCCTGAGGGCCGGCGCTCCCCGCTCTGGGCCCGGTTCCACCCCGCGGGCCCTGGGGAGACGGAGCTGCCACCCAGGACACTGTGGAACCCCGGCCGCCCGGCTGAGCCGCAGTCCCCGCTGCCCGCCCGAAGAGGCAGTGACCCGGCGGTGACAGCTGTCAGGGCCTCGGCCGCCGCCTCGCCTCCCCTCCCCCTCCGCGGCTCCCACAGGCGGGGCCGTAGAGCGGCCGCCGCGCCTACCCGTGTTGTAGACGTGCAGCTCGTCCGCAATGCCCTCATTGCCCCCTCCAAAGATGATCATCAGTTCCCGGATGGCCACGGCCCGGTGTCCGTGCCGGGCGCGGGGGACCGGCCCCGTGAAGGAGGAAACCCGCCTCCAGTTGAGGAGGCTGGGAGCCGCCATTTTCCCAACCCCCGCCCCTCTGCCCACAATGCACCGCGCCCGCTCCGGCGCCGCGGCTCCCGGGGGCGGGCGGGGACCCGCCTCCCGCTGTGCGCCGGGGACGGCGTCACGTGACCGCGGGCGCCCGGGGCACGGCTGGAGGCGGGCGCGGAGCGGAGGGGTGCCGGTAGGGCCGCCTCGCCCTCACCCCGGGGCGCGGTGTCCGGGCCGAGCGCCTTTGGCCACGGGCCTTCGGCTGTAAAGACGTCTCCTACCAGCCGAGTCTCCCCTCCCCACCCAGGGCCCTCCCGGGTCGTATTTGCTGGAGAAGGTACAGCGTTTTCCCTTACGGCCACTTTAACTGAGCACCTAGGATGTGCGGGCCAGTCAGACCCTGAACAGTTACAGCGCCGCGCGGAGAACCGCTTCTTGTGGAGGTTCCAAGTGCCGGGAGCGCGGGGAGGAGGCCGAGAGTCTGGGCCGGCGGGCGCCGAGGATGCCGGCGAATGGAGGGGAGGGACGGCAAGGGGGCCGGCAAAGGGGGCCCGGCGCCCGCGCCTCGGGACGCTCGGAGCTGACCCTGCTGAGGCAAATCAGACCCTTGGCGCTTTGTTGGGTGTCATGCCAGGAAGTTTAGCAACAGTCCGCCGCCAAAGGCGTTTTGTTTGTTTGTTTCAGCAGGTGGGAAACTGCGTAGGTTTCCGTTTGACTGCCAGCGGACATCCGCGAGTCTTCCGTGGCCAAACGCTGCGCTCCTCGCGCTGTGTGTATTGAGTCATGATAAGCCCAACATTCCAGTGACGTGGATACTGGTGTCTCCCGATCGTGCCTGGGGGAGTGAGGCACAGAGACGTAGAGGACACAGCAGAAGCAGATTGGGACCAGGAATCAAACACAAGGCTCCTCACTCCATGGCCCCCTTTCCTAACGACTGTACGATCACTGCCTCTGCTCACAGTCATATATGTGATTCTGGTAAGGCCAACAGCTGCCTTATTATCTGGTCCTATAAAGACACTCGAAGAGAAACAATTCCAGAAGAAAAAAAAAATTTGAGAGCAATTTAAATCTATCTCACACTCTTAAGAAGGTACGGGAGGGGACATACACACAACATACAGCAAATTTCCTAAAATTCCTCATCTCTTATCATTTGCAATTTCTCTGCTATGGCTGTATCATCCCCTGTACCCCAGCTCCCTCAGTCATGAGCCTGCCTCTCCACCCCCTCATCCCTCTGAACTTTCCTTTGAGAAGTGATTCTCTACCTTTTTAATTGTTATTTATATATATTTTTAGATTTATTTATTCATAAGAGACACAGAGAGAGGCAGAGACATAGGCAGAGGGAGAAGCAGGTTCCCTGCAGGGAACCAGATGCAGGACTAGATCCCAGGATCATGCCCTGAGCCAAAGGCAGATGCTCAACTACTGAGCCACCCAGGTGCCCAATTCTCACCGCTCTTTCAGCTCCTGCTTCTCAAGTTCATCCTGTCACTGATTACCCCAGTTTTGCAATATGGTCAAAGAGAATTTTGGAAAAGAGGGGGAAGATGGCTGGAAACAAAGGAGTCTATGAATATTTATGTATTAATGTTTCTTTGTCACATACATAAATGTTTCTGTTAGAAAGGATGGATCCAGGGACACCTGGGTGGCTCAGTGATTGAGCATCTGCCTTTGGCCCAGGGTGTGATTCTGGAGTCCCGGGTCCCAGGTCGGGCTCCCTGCAGGGAGCCTGCTTCTTTCTCTGCCTGTGTCTCTGCCTCTCTCTCTCTGTGTGTCTTTCATGAATGAATAAATGACATCTTAAAAAAAGAAAGAAAGAATATCTGAAACAATACTGGGAAAGTACTGGGATAAAGCAAGGAACTTTTCATAGAACTTAAAATATTTAATTTAATAAGAACTGTACTTTGGACAGTCTAGTGTTGAAATGTCCTAACTTTTATCAATGATGCTGTAAGCAGATAGTAGTTGTGTGTGTGTGTTTAATGCCCTTATAGCAAAAGACTAAGGGCAAAATTGAAAGGTGTAAACCCAATGTTGATATCCAAATTTAAAAAAAAAAGTCAAAACTGGTCTGTGATATGTGAAAGGCTGAAAATCCCTGAACTGGGGATAAGATGAGGACAAAATATTAAGAGAAAGGTGATTTCAAGTCATAACTGGTTGCTTAGATAAGGAGGTACATTACAATGGAGGAAGTGTATATTCATTTCTTAGAACTGTAACCAAATACCACAAACCATGTGGCTTAAAACAACAGAAATTTGTTGTCTGCAGTTCTAGAGGCTAGAAACCCAAAATCAAGTGTCAGCATGATCCCTCTGAAAACTGTAGGGGAGAATGCTTCTTTGCTTCTTTCTGGCTTCTGGTGGTGGCCATTGAACCTAGGCATTCCTTGCTGCATCTCCAGTCTCTGCCTTCCTCATCACGTGATTGTTGTCCTTATGTGTCTGTGTCTCGTCTCTGCTTCTAATTCACAGTTACATCCTAATGACCTCATCTTAACTTGATGACAACTGCAAAGACTTTACATTCAAATAAAGTCATGTTCACGTGTATTGGGCATTAGGATTTCAACCTGTCTTTTGGGGGAACACAATTCAATCCATGACAAAGTGCTTCATCCAATGGAAATGCTATTTTAGGGGCGCCTGGGGGCTCCTTGGTTGAGTGTCTGCCTTTGGCTCAGAGTGTGATCCTGTAGTCCCAGGATTGAGTCCCACATCTGACTCCCTGCAGGGAGCCTGCTTCTCCCTCTGCCTCTGTCTCTGCCTCTGTCTCTCATGAATAAGTAAATAAATTATTTTAAAAAAAGAGGGGAGGGGAGGGCGATGCTATTTTACCACAGCAGCTTTGGCTTAATTCTGCTTAGTGAAGAATTTAAAATAGGTCTCTGATTCTCAATCTTTGAAACTCTAAGAATGGAAGTTACCACCTAGGAGGAGAATGTAGAAAGAGAAGAGTGAGGCAGAAGAGCACCCTGAAGAACCCAACACTTAAGAGGTAAAAACAGAAGGAGACACTAATGAAAGAAGCAGAGAATGAGGAGCCAGAGAGGTTGAAAGGGAACCAGGTGAGATTAAGAAGCCACAGGTGAAAGGAATTTCACAGAAGTGGAAGTGGTTATCAAAGCAAAAGCCGGGCAGACCAGGTGGCTCAGCAGTTTAGCGCCGCCTTTAGCCCAGGGCGTGATCCTGGAGACCTGGGATCCAGTCCCACGTCGGGCTCCCTGCATGGAGCCTGCTTCTCCCTCTGCCTGTGTCTCTGCCTCTCTCTCTGTGCCTCTCAGGAACAAATAAATAAATCTTTAAAAAAAAATTCCTCTTTCCAACTCCTGGTCTGAGATGGCTGCTCCAGCTCTAGCTATTGCATCTACATTCCAGCCAACAGGAAAGAATAAGGGAAAAGAATGCTCCCTTCTCCAGAACACATTCTGGAATTATATATATTATTTCTGTTTACATCCCATTAGCCAGAAGTTAGTCACAAGGCCACAGTTAGTTGAAGAGAGTCTGGGACAGGGCACCTGGGTGGCTCAGTGGTTGAGCATCTGCCTTCGGCTCAGGGCATGATCCTGGGGTCCCAGGATCAAGTCCCACATTGGGTTCCCCGCAGGGAGCCTGCTTCTCCTTCTGCCTGTGTCTCTGCCTCTCTTTCTCTGTCTCTCAGGAATAAATAAATAAAATCTTTAAAAAAGAAAGAAAGTATGGGACATGTTTTTATTTAGAATGGCCATGTCCCCAGCTAATGTTCAAGTTTCTGCTACAGAGAAAGGAGAACAGACATTGGGGTTCATCTTCAGGAGGGTGGCTACAGGAGTCTGGGAAAGTAGTTGTGTTTGTTTGTTTTCAGCCTCAATAATAAGGAGGGAAGGGAGAATAAGGTTGGAAATGAGAGTTACTTGAGCTAACCAACGAGGCCTACCTGGAGGAGAATTCACACTTGATGGAGCAAGATCCTGAAGGATCAAGAAAAGGTGGATTCAGAAGTACACATAGATTTACATATGCACAAGGGTTAATATATTGTATTTCTGTGCTATAGATTCTAGATTACATAAATTTCTATTGTGTAAGTGTACATGGAAAACAGAAAGCTCTAGTGGATGGTGCTGCTCTAGCCTTTCAAGATTCCCTTAGTGAAGGTCCCTTCATCCCACGCTACTTTTTCTCCTTCACTCCTGCTCTCCCATATCAAACACCCATCATGTATCTGGACTTGCCACATAGCAGGAATTAAGATCATGGGATTTAGAATTCAGTGGATATAGCCATTTACTAGCCGTGTGGTCTTGGTCAAATTATTTATCCTCTTTGAGTCTCAGATTCTTTGTCTATAAGATGGGGATAATAATAGCATCTATTAAAGTTGTTTTGCAGACCAAATGAGATAACATATGTAAAGTACAAGCAGTCCTTGGTTTGCATGGTAGTGTAGCTCTTATTTATTTTTTTTTTCATTTTTCATCCTTGCATTTTATTTTTTTTTCATAGAATATAGTTTATGTTTTTTTAAATTTATTTTTTAATAAATTTATTTTTATGGGTGTTCAATTTACCAACATACAGAATAACACCCAGTGCTCATCCCGTCAAGTGCCCCCCTCAGTGCCTGTCACCCATTCACCCCCACCCCCTGCCCTCCTCCCCTTCCACCACCCCTAGTTTGTTTCCCAGAGTTAGGAGTCTTCATGTTCTGTCTCCCTTTGTGATATTTCCCACACATTTCTTCTCCCTTCCCTTATATTCCCTTTCACTATTATTTATATTCCCCAAATGAATGAGAACATACAATGTTTGTTGTTGTTCCTTCTCCGATTGACTTACTTCCCTCAGCATAATACCCTCCAGTTCCATCCACGTTGAAGCAAATGGTGGGTATTTGTCGTTTCTAATGGCTGAGTAATATTCCATTGTATACATAAACCACATCTTCTTTATCCATTCGTCTTCTTTCGAAGGACACCGAGGCTCCTTCCACAGTTTGGCTATTGTATTTATTTATTTTTTTTTAAGATTTGTTTATTTATTTGAGAGAAAGAGAGTAGGGGGAGGGGCAGAGGGAGAGAATCTCTAAGCAGACTCCCCATTTAAGCTCAGATCTTGGAGCCTGGTGTGGGGCTCCATCCCATAGCCCATGAGATCACAACTTGAACCAAAACCAAGAGTCAAACACCCAACTGACTGAGCCATGCAGGTGCCCCAGTAGTGTAGTTCTGTAAAATGACCATATAAGTTGCAAAGGGATCTTAAATCTCAATGGGAAAGATTGCAATTGTGCTGTGATTTTTATTTTTTTTTAAGATTTTATTTATTTGAGAGAGAGAGCATGAGTGGGGGATGGGGAAGGGAGCAGATTTCCTTGCTCTGCAGGAAGCCAGATGTGGGGCTCAATCCCAGGGCTCTAAGATCACAGGCTGAGCTGAAGGCAGATGCTTAATCCACTGAGCCACCTAGGCACCCCTGTGCTGTGATCTTTAAACATTTTCATAAAAGTATTTAATACTCTTACTGTTGGTTTTAAATGCCTAGGGAAATGAGAAAATTAGTAGACTTAGTATTTATTTACTGTAATTTGAATCATTAGAAACATTGAGAGTTACATTTTTGGGTTTTTTGGATTTTTGTTTGTTTAAAACTTATCAAGAGTGGGGCACCTTGGGGGCTCAGTTGGTTGAGCGTCTGCCTTTAGCTCAGGTCATGATCCTCGGGTCCTGGGATCGAGTCCCACATCGGACTCCCTCCCTCACTTGCTCTCTCAAATAAATAGCTACAATCTCTAAAAAAGAAATAAAACTTATCAAGAGTAGTTTGAGTCGTGCTTGCCTTACCATCATAAAACTTACTGTACAGAATGAGCATCTTTTCTGTGCCTTGGCAAATTGTCATACTCCTTTTCAGCTTTGGGTTAGCTTTCCATATTTTATTCTTTGCACTTTCAATGTCGTGAAATATCTTTGAGAGCTCCTTTAAGATGAATTTTTTATCCATGTCTCTTCCCTGGGAATATCTTCATCCTTTTCTACACAACCAGTTTCTGCATTCATGTTCATAAAGTTACCTTTACTCAATTCTTCTGGCTGCATGTCTGGAGTTGCCTGGTGACAGTGTCATCCCACAGCCAGCTATTTCTTCTCTACCTCCGTTTACCTTTGATTTGAACTTCACTCTAGTCATTATCGCTTTTTGTTTCTTTGCTACCCTATTATCTTTGTTGGCCAATTCTCTCTATTATTCATTTTTATAAACATCGCAAGAGTTTATCACCAGGAATTAAGGAGGTGACATGACCACATGCTTCATCTGTACGTAAACCAAATAGCAAATGTCCAGTGACCCACCACTGGCTAACTGATGGAAGCGACATGATTGGTTATGGATCAGGATTTGGGTCTGTTATTTGCATAGTAATTTCATGGACTAAAAGCTAGCAGCAAAGTTTGTCCTTGGGCAAGTACTCACTGTTAATGTACTATGGTAACAGATGCAAACTGTGAACTGTGCAGAGGGCCTGATGTCATTGACCTGAACCATGAAAACTGGTGTTTGTGCCGTTGCCACACAAAGCCAGGGCTAGGCTGCACGAGGTGATGCCTGGCAGGTAGTTAGCAGTTGGTAGGTAGTAGGCTATCTCACCTGTGTCATCTTTGTCATTCTCATCACATCACTATTGTTTCTGCTCTTCCTTCTGAGCCACTGAGGAGTTGGCTGGAGAGGAAGAGGCTGGTACTGGGAGGTGGCAGACGGCTGTGTTTTCAGCCAAGAGTGTAAATTGCCATGTCCAAGGGCTACCCTCGTTTTAACTAAGGATTCAGGCCAAGGTCTTATTGGCAGAGGTTTAGGAGGGAGTTTTAGGGAGCGGCGGCAGGGGGGCAGGACTCAACAGCAGAGAGGTGGGGCAGGCAGTGCTCCTGAGTTGAAAGAAGCAGATGGTGTCTGAGAGGCCTGTTCACAGATCACAGGGCTCTGGCCATGGGTCTTGGCTAGAGAGGTGGCCAAGGCATGGCAAAGGCAGCAGGCAAGAGCAAGCCAGGACTCTAAGCCAGAGAGAGCCTACATCAGTTCCCAGAACAGGGAACTCAGAATCAAGGAAGAAAAATACTTCATCGGAGTGAGAAAGAGGGCCAACAGGTAGAGAGGCAGGTGCAGGCACAACTGCTGCAGCTTAGAGGGTAGCAGGAAAGAGTCCTGAGCGCCTCAGCATGGGACGAGAAGATGACCAGTCATTGAGTCCCATCAGGAAAAAGAGAGGAACTGAGGCTCCTCTAGTTATACGTCCTACCCCAGGTGGGTGATCTTGGAGCCCAGCCCTGGAAGACGAGGCGATAATCGAGGCCATCAGCCAGACCCAGTGTAGTGATTCATTGCTGCTATACTAAGCTGCTTCCTTCCTTCTAGTCCATTTATCAGCCTTAATAGATTTTATCTAAGGCCTTATCTACAAAGCAGTACACTCAGCCAAGGCAGGCCTATTGGGTAAGAAGTAAGGATGAACATTTGACTCTCAACTAATAAAAAAATAAACTCAGATATACATCGTGTCAGCTGATGATACCACAAAAAGAAGATGCATATAAATCCCATAGAACTGCACTCAGACACATAACTGAAATCTGACCAGAGTGACATGCCCACGTGATGGTTTGTTTTCCTCACATGGTTAGGTGTTTCAGAATACTTAGTTCATTGCTGCTCTGGTGACTCCCAATGCCATCAGGGAATTAGGCTCCTCCTGTGTTCTTGCTCTGCCCTCCTTAACACGTGCAGGGCTACCAGGGGACCCTACCCACGTTGTGCAAGGGTATTTCCTATTTGCTTATACAGATCCACCCTCCAATCTTCTTCAACATGTTCAGTGCCCTGAGAGGCTGACTTAAAGATATTATGTCTCTTGAGCTCCCCTGCTCTCTGACTTCCAGTATGGTTTAGCCAGTGGGAGGCACCACCAACAGGAGATTGGAAACTTAGGGTAACTAGTCCCCTGGTCCCTTTTGTGTTAGTCAACACAGGCTGCTCCTGTTGGGTAGCCTTGTCCATGTACCTACTTTCCCAGTCCTGGTAGCCACTCCCTTGCCTTATCCTTCCAGGTTATAACCTGCTAATTCCTGCAGTTGCTAATTCCACGCTACTGTGTTTCCTTAATACCGACCTTTTCAAATAGTGCCTTTTTTCAGAGTCTCCACCATTAACCTTTTGGAGTGAGCCATCTGTATCCTGCCAGGACCCTGACAGTTCAACACTAATCTGTGCATGGCTGGTGTGGCCATATGCAGAAGTACAGTGTGGACCTTTTATCTCCAGAGCTGCAAGATGGAGAGTTCACCTCCAGGCATCAAGGTTGGATTTCAGACAGGAAGAAATGGCAAGAAGCCCCTAACGGCTCTTTGCCAGGAACACAATAGCTTTTTAGGAAGTCACAGATGGCTGACTTCTTTCTGCTCATGTGCCACCCTAGATGCTGGATGTCTGAGGAGGTAAGTGTTTTTAACTGGGCAATTGCTGCCCCCACACGAAAGAGTGTTTCTATTTCAAAGGAGGAAGCAGAGAGGGTTATTAAGTAGGCTACTGGTGGCGTTCGCAACATCATATCACTCTTTTGGACTTCTTAAGAAAAAGTTACAAATAACTTACTGTTATAATTCCTTTTCCTAGTTTATACCTTGAAGAGGGTTGTCTTCATCCAACAGTAAAAATACAGTAGTCCCCCCCCCCCCCTTATTGGCAGTTTCGCTTCTGAGGATTCTGTTACCCTTGGTCAGCCATAGTCAGGAAGTGGAATATCTGCCTTCTGACGATGGATGGTCAGAAGACGATGTAGCCGAACACTGCGTCATAATGCCAGCATCATTCGTGTCACTTTGTCCACTTCATGTCATCACGCAGGCATTTTGTCATCTCACATCATCACAAGAAGGGTGAGAACAGTACAATGAGATCTTTTGAGAGAGAGAGAAACTACATTCACATAGCTTTTCTTACAGTATATTGTTATAATTGTTCAACTTTATCATTATGGTTGTTAATTTCTGTGCCTAATGCATAGATCACCCCTTACTGTAGGTATGTATGTATAGCAAAAACAATAGTATACATAGAGTTTTGGAACTCTCCATGGTTTCATGCACCCCCTGGGGATCTGGGAGCAGACTCCCAGAAGACAAGGAGGGATGACTGTGATGACTTCCATGTATTGAGCCCTTACTCACTGCTCACTAGGAGGCTCCTGACACTACAGCTGAGGAAACCACAGGTGAGATTCTGAGTGATGTGTTCAGTATAACGTCTGAGCTAACAGTCAGGTCTGTCCATCCTCAGAGCCCATGCTGGCAGCCACTGCACTTACCGGAGTATCCCTTAAAACCTGTCTCTTTCTTTTCTCCTCTTTTCTTCCCCAGAAAAGGATACATGTGCCCACAATGCAGAAATCTAGGTCATAGGTAATAAGCCTCTTGCATCCTCAGGACATGGTCCACTAGAAATAAAGGAGAGAGAATCCTCAGTTGGAGACAGTAGGGCATCAAAGAGAAAGTGTACAAAGAACAGTGAGCAGAGAGATTTAGGTCCAGATGGAAGCCAATATGAATAGCAAGCAGAGTCTATGAAAACAACAGAACTGTTTCAGTTGTGAGCCCCCCTCTGGAGTACTTTGGTTGTCATCCTCTCTGAACCTACTTAGTTACTGGGTCTCACACTGGGTCAGGCATTCTGCTAGGTGGATGAGAGATGCAAAGGTGGTGGGAGGAGGGGAGCCCCAGCCTTTGGAGGAAACTGGAGTAGACAGGGGTCAGCTTGAGGGCTTTCTCCCCAATGATACTTTGGGACATATCTGACTGACCGTCCTGCTGCTCCTGATAGCACATGATTCTGGAACAGTAGCAGCAAGCCCTGAGCCAAGAAGTGGTGATATTTTTGCTCACGTGAGGGCCATGAGGACTGGAGCAGGAGTGCTCAGGGTACAGTTGTCTGTGCTGCTGCTGGACCTTCGCACTTCCTGCATGCTATCCATGTGTCAGGTGCGCCTGCTGCAACCAAAGATGAATGAGTAAAGTTGTGCTTTAAGATACAGCGCACCTCCTGGAAGTAAAGAGAAAAGAAGAATAGCGTAATATCAAGCCTGCTCCAAAGAAAAACGCCATTCTAGCTGGATCGCATGAGGGCCTTAGGGTAGGAGTATGTGAGGGAACACCACCAGGGCAACAGACAACTCCATCTGCACCCTGACTGGATGCTGAAGGCTGGCCAAGTGAAGAATGCGAAAGCCCTGAATGCAGTTTAACCCTTAGAGTTGCAGCCAAATATCCTCATTTTTGAATCATGTGCCTCAAGGGAGAAAAGGGTGAGAGACCTATTGACAGGAATTCCAGTCCTGGCTTTATTCACCATCTTACTTTGGAACTTAGGACTTTAACATGCCCAAGAACTCAATTTGCTGATCTGCAAATTGATGAACAACATCTCTGTTCACCCTACCTTATGGGAATGTTATGAGAAGAAAATGAAATAGAAAATGTGAAGATGCTTTGTCAGTGTTCAAAGTCCTGTACAAAGGGAAGGTATTCAGACATTCCTGCTCTCCAAGTTCAAGTCTGAAAAAAACAATCAACCCAATAAACCCTTTAGAGCTGCACCGTCCAGTACAAGGGCCACTACTCATGCTGCTGCTCTGCATGTAATAGGTGACTAGTGCAACCAAGGAACTGACTTTTTATTTATTTATTTTTTTAAGATTTCATTTATTCGTGAGAGAGAGAGAGAGGCTCAAAGACACAGGCAGAGGGAGAAGCAGGCTCCATACAGGAGCCTGACAGGGGACTCAATCCTGGGACTCCAGGATCACGCCCTAGGCTGAAGGCAGTGCTAAACTGCTGAGCCACCCGGGCTGCCCAGGAACTGACTTTTAAATTGTACTTCATGTTAACGAATTTAGGTTGAAAAACTGATACTTGATTCAGTTATTGGAAAGCTTTTAAGTATGCTTGGAACAACATGAGTATGTGAGCCTAATTGTTAATCTGTAAATTATATGAAATATAAATACATACCAGTTGTTTCTGATGAAATTTAGTGTTTGAATTGAGATGTGCCACAAATGTAAGACACACACCAGATTTCAGACTTAATACAAAAAAAGAATGTAAAATATCTTGTTATAATATTTTGTATTCCATGTTGAATAATATTTTGTATATATTGGGTTAAGTAAAATATATCATTAAAATTAATTTTACCTCTTTAGACCTTTTTTTTTTTTAGTTTAATGCTCAGCCCAGTGCCTGGTGCAGAGTTATTCTCTCTCTCTCTCTCTCTCTCTCTCTCTGTGTGTCTTCCTCTCCTTCTCTCCCTCTCTCCCCCTCGCTCTTTAAAAATTTATCTATTTATTTATTTCAGTAATCTCTGTACCCTATGTGGGGCTCAAACTCATAACCTGAATGTTCTTCTGACAGAGCAGGCTAGGTACTTATCTTTGTACTTATCTTAAAATGACTACTAGAAAATTTAAAATTACAGAGTGGCCTGCATTATATATCTATTGGGAAACACCACTTTAGAAAGAGCCAGTGAGCAGAGGGATCCTCATTTCCTTATAGGAGTTAAGAGAGAGGTTGCAGAAATAAATTCCATGATCCCAGGCAATGTGCTGGCACCATTTCCTGAGTTTCTGAGAATCAATAGCAGAAACAGAACAGCCCAGAGCTGGGTGGGGTTCATTCCCTGCCTGATTCCTTTTCATGTTCTGGCTCAAAACCACCTTAAAAATTCTATTGTTATCATTGCCTTGGTGAAATGAGACGACAGCTGTTATCTGGGCTTTAATTTGGGGACCACAACATTTTAATGACTGGGAGATTTGAGGAGAAACTAGTGGCTATGATGAGATTCTTAAAATCAGTATGAACTTAATTTTTCCATTTCTGCTTTTCCAAAGTTTACTTAGACCCAATGTGTGGTGGAAATTCACACTCCAAGCATTTGCTCTTCTCCAGCTTTGAATCCTTTCCTCCAGAGCTGCCTTGTTTTTGAGCTGATTTGCACCCAGACTGCCAGAGGAGGATGTGAGAGGAAGTCCGGCCGAGCCAGCCAGCCTGCGGGCACATCTGGAAGTGGTTTCAGGGGCCGCCTCACCCCAGCAGCCAGCGCAGGAGTGGAAGAAACCCGAGCCTCTCCAAAGTCAACGCAGGCAAAGGCGTAAGGGGTGGGGGGGGAGGGCGGGTCGGGGCAGGGAGGCACACCCTCTTGGAAACGCGATCCTAGCGGTGGGGCTCCCCAACCCATGGGGCTCTCCAATGGGACCTTAGAAGCCGCGGAAGCAGCGTGCAGGGCAGCAGCCCAGGCCACCGGGGAGGCTAGGAGGCCAGGATCACACTGCCACACGGCTCTTCTGGACGGAGGAGCTCACAGCCCTGCCTTCACCTGCACCAGGTAAATGGACATGGGTGAGCAGCGTGGCGGTCTTTGCATTGACCTGGGCCCCTGCCCTGGCCCTTTGGTTTGCTGTAGCTCGAGGAGCAGAGGCAGACTGTCCCACGCCAGCTTCGCCTTCAGGAGCTCCCAGTCAGTGTTTTGCAGTCTTGGCCCAGGCCGAGGCAACCATCTTTCTTTTTTTCTTTCTTTCTTTTTTTTTGCCATTGGAGCAAATCCAGGATACTCTGTGCAAATCTTTCACATGCTGGACTGGACTGCTTTTCCAGACCTGGGTTTAACTCCCCTGCCCAGTGTGATTTACTCTGTTCATCATATTTTAGGCATGGAAGTCAGTGGTTAGCTAGGACCTGGATAATGCTAGTATTTAAATGCAGGTATGTTTCTGAGCCACAAAAGATTTACTTGAGCTGTGATTCATGTTTTCAGAATCTGTCAGAGGAAGCTGTTATGTGGGCCATCATCCTAAAAAAAATAAAAATAAAAATAAATTGGTAGTTGTGGGTTAGATGAGGCTTATACAGTAGTTATAGTGTTTGGTTTGAAAATGCTTTTTTAACATTCAAAAACTATCTTATATTCACTTTATGAGCAAATATAGTACTTTGGATAAGCCTGATAGATAACTTATGATAAGAGTTAAGAAGGAATAGTTAACATGAGTAGAAAGAGAAAGAGGAAGAAAACATGATATTATCGAAACATCTGGCTGTCCTATGGGGGGAAGAAATCAGTCCTCTAGCTGTTTGGCTCCCTGCGTGGTCGGTTATCCAACGTGACAGGGGTTGGCTTATTCTGTCTTTTCCTCCAAATGGCTTCGTGTCACATTTCTGTGCAGAATCCTTCTTGTGTTGCCTGGTGGGCTTGTGGCCCCAGGCAAGTGAGGTGCAAGCAGAGCAATGCTGTGCCACAGCGGGAACGTGGGCTCTGGGCCCGTATCACAGAGTTGCATCTATGCGTTGCCACTTACAAACTTTATAAGCTTTGACTCTGACTACTTACTTGTCTGTGCCTCTGTTTCCTCATCTGTAAAAAGGTAATTAAGTGACATTGTAGGTGTAAAGGACATACACAGAATCTACAGAGTGGCGAGACCCCAGGGAAGGTTAGCTTCTCTGGTAGTGCCAATGATGACCATGGTGATGTTGGCAGTGGCCACACATTCTGTGTTGGGTGGTACCCAGCGTTTGACACACTGTTCCCTCTGATGGTGCCATCACCCAGATGTTCTTCATATCCTCATACAGTATTTCTCCAGGGCTCTGCTTCCTTCCTTCTTCCCTTCAAACACTCTTTCTTTCTTTCTTTCTTTCTTTCTTTCTTTCTTTCTTTCTTCTTTCTTTCTTTCTCTCTTTCTTCTCTTTCTTCTTTTTCTCTCTTTCTCTCTCTCTCTCTCTCTCTCTCCCTCCCTCCCTCCCTCCCTCCCTCCCTCTCTCCCTCTCTCTCTCTCTCTCTCTCTTTCTTTTTTCTCACCCTGGCTCTTTTTATTTCTTCTTCATTCTCTTTCCTTGCTGAGAGAAAGACATGCTTATGAAGCCACAGTTCACATAGTTTTCATTTCTAGCTCCCAGGAAGCATAATTCTAAATACTTCTTTTATTTCAACATTTCCCAAAGAATGTTCTGAAGAACATAGCTCCATGAGGACAATACATTCTGTGAACCATATCACCCTCTGAGAAATCTCAAGCATAATGGCATTTTAAATGTCCTGAGAAGTCCTGCAGTAGAGAAATCTGCTTAAGGTTGTTTACCAAAGAAGTTCCCAGTTGACCCTGGAACTGTTTTATCACAAAACATTGGTTAACATTCCTCAGAGCACACTTTGCAGTATGCTATTCTGGCCACATTTGTTTCCTTTTGGTTTCTCTTATAGACATCCTATTTCACATCTCCCATAGCAAACACCCAAGGGGCCATGGTGTTCTTCCTTCCCTAGGTCAGGGCATGAGATGATCACCTGTGCCATTATTGATATGTAGAAAGTCCGGCCTCATTGGAGAGCCAGGATCAGCAGTTTTTCTGCAAATGGCTAGAAAGGTGGCTGTGTGAGCCATCAGGTCTGTTTTGCATCTACTCAGATCTGCTGTTGTAGTGTGACACTAGCCATAGACCAAACATCAAAGAATAAACCTGGCTACATTCTAATAAAACTTTATGTAGAAGAAATGGGCAGAATTTGATGCAGGGGCCATAGTTTGTTGGCACCTGCTCTGAAACCATTTTGTGAAAGAATGCTTCATTCCAGCATGGGAGAAAGAACGAGTCCTCCACAAGCTGAAGACTCCCTCATCTGGCTTCACTGTTCTGTGTATTGTGATGGCTCTTGAGTAAACCTTTCATGCTAGAGCAAAATAAAAAGGCCAGAGATGTTTCATTAAAGACCGAATCCCTGAGTCCTGATTTTGTCCTTTTTTCTCCTTTCATCAGGTGAGTTCATGCTCCTGTCCTGTTCATGACTCTGTAGCTCACACGGTTAAGGTGAAGTGCTCTACAAAAGTGTTCTATGCAGGGGGCAGCCTGGGTGGCTCGGTGGTTTAGAGCTGCCTTCAGTCCGGGGTGTGAACACAGGGACCTGGGATCGAGTCCCACGTCGGGCTCCCTGCATGGAGCCTGCTTCTCCCTCTGCCTGTGTCTCTGCCTCTCTCTGTCTCTCATGAATAAATAAATAAAATCTTTAAAAAAGAAAATGTTCTATGCAGGTGCGAGTCTTACAGAATACAGTTGAATCACAGAGCTTATGTCGGTTGCTTGACCCATAACATATGGGATTGCAATCAGCAATGGAAAGGGGTTGGCTACAGTATATATTATGGTGGCTAAGAATGTAAACTCAGAGCCAGACTGCCTGGGTGGGAATCTCTGCCCCTCATGAATTGTATCACCCTTCTGAACTTTTAGCTTCCTCCCTGATAAATCAGGGATAGTAACTTCATGGGTTGTTGTGAGGAAGGGTCATAAAACAATGCCTCGCACACAGAAATCGCTATGTAAGAGTTACCTGTTGTTAAATCTGCAGCAGAGTCCCTTGTTACTCATTGGGTTTTGTAAATTGCCCAGGCTTACATGGCTAAGAAATGGGGCAGAATCAGGATTGAAACTCAGCTCTTTCTAATGACAAAGTCCATGGCATTTCCACTCAGGTACATGCCCTGCTAGATGTAATTCTTTCAATAATATCTTTAAGGAGCCCCCCTTGGGGCACCTGGGTGGCTTAGTGATTTGGTGTCTGCCGTCGGTTCAGATTATAATCCTGGGGTCCTGAGGTCAAGTCCTGTGTGGCCTGGGATTGAGCCCATGTCAGGCTTCCTGTTTAGCAGGGAGTCAGCTTCTACTTCTCCCTCTGCCTCTCCCCTCAGCTGCCTCTCCCCACAGTTTGTGCTAACTCCCTCTCTTTCTCAATTAATAAATGTTTAAAAAAGAAGCCCCCCCCCTTTTTTAGAAGCCCCCTCTTTTATCTTTCATTCAGATTTCCAAGTTCTTTCCTAGTCCTCCTTACCTAAACCCATAGCAGACAGGATTAATCAGAGCTCTCCCTTTTTTTTTTTTAATTTTCTGTTTTTTTGTTTTGTTTTGTTTTGTTTTGTTTTGTTTTTAACCAACTCTGGTGATGGCTTTAGATTTCTTCTCAATTTAGCCATATTGAAAGTCCATACCAACTGATTAGAGTTGGCATGTATAGAATAAAATTTAGGGGCTCTGATTTTTAGAATATTACTCTGGAGTCTTCATGTTTGCCTTTGCTTCCAAGGCAGAGCTAAGTTGCTTAGCCACTGCCAGGTCTTAAAACATTCTTTCCAGATTTGGCCACAGGCCTGAACTCTTTGGCATCTGGTGAAACAGCACCCTATGTAAGGTCTTCAGGGGCCCATTTTTTAAACTTAACGGACACTTCTCAGGTCCAGACCAATTCTCCACACTCTCCTTTTCTTCATGGGCCGCAGGACCTCAGCCCTCCCTCCTCTGCTCTTTGAAGGTGCCACCAACCTAGGGCCTTGCCTAGGCAACTCCTCTCTCCAGCACTGGCTAAGAGGCTCTATCTTCCTGTCTTGAGGACAACCCCACGGGCTCTTTAATGGCAAAGGCTTGGCTACATACTGCTGCAGAGAAACCACAGTGCAGAAGTCACTGAGCTTACAAAGGTGCAGGGGACACGGTACCTGGGGCTTCTTATTTTGATGGTTAGAAAAAGGCTGATAAAAAGACCAGAGCCCTCGACTTTTGTTCCTGGAATGGACAGCCTCCCCTCCTAGCCTTTTTCCTGAGTAATGATATGCTGCCCCCTTTCTTCCTGGAACTCAAGAACAGAACTAGAGCCTCTCCTTTTCTTCCTCTCTCACTCATTCAATCCACACCCATTTGTTGAGGCACACAGAGGTGGGCAAGCCACAGTGGACGTGACAGTTACCCCCCTATTATTAGAACAGTGTTCTGAGGGCAGGGATAGGGATGGGGATGAGGGTCAGGGGGGCACCCAGCAGGGTAATCAGGTAAGACCTCCTGGAGGAGGTAATGCCTGAATTGAGTCTTTCATTGAGTCCCCGGTTTACTGGGGAGAAAGGGGCAGGGCGGAGGAAGGGTGGTCGAGGCAGAAGGGAATGCATGAACCAACCACAACCTGGGGGACAGAGCTGGTTTCCTCAGGTTATTATTCCTGTTTGCTGACTGCTACCTCCAGTCAAATGTGAAGTTTAGAAGTTCCTTTGAAGGACCACAGTGAAGAGGGATCAACTTAATTTTAAAATAAACTTTGGGTTTTCAAGACAAATTGTTACTTATAGCAAATTAACTTTTTTTTTTTTTTTAATTTTAGGATAAAGAAGTCAGTTTCCAGCTCCTGGGCTGATTGACAAAATGTCACAAAAACAGGAATGAACATGTAAATGTGACAAAATTCAATTTTAGTTTTTCAGACTACACTGAATTTTAAAAATAATCTAAATTATTTTTATAATCTAAATTCTAATCTATTTTTGTAAGCAAAAATTCTAACCACTAAACTTCATCTTTTCATCAAGGGTGCATTTTTAGTCTCTGCTTCTCTTAATGCCACTGCTTATTCTAATGAGTATACAAGGTATTGTAATAAGCATAAAAATGGATTGTAAACTGTGACAACCAGGAAGCAGAGTTGTTACAGGTCTTTGAGAAAGAGGTTGTTGGCTTTCTTGGGTTTCAGAGCACAGGTAAAGTACTCCAGAATATTGTGCCAAGATAAGATTTGAATTTGGGGAAATGCTTAGATGAAATTTTGTCATGATGTGTTAGCCATTGTCTTGCCTCTTTAAGCCTGGTGCTACTTGGAGAACATCATGGAATCTTTATTTGATGATACAGCTCACCTTTTAGCCACTGATGGCTGTCCAGAGCTATAATCCTTATAGAAAGCATGAGAGAAAATCCAAAACTTCTATTGAGCTCTCTCTGCTTTCTTTGGAGCACACACTCCTCTAGACTCCAATTCCTTGACAGATTTCAAGTGTTCCTTTGGACACTCTGAAATTGGAATGAAATTTTATTTATTTATTTATAAAATATTATTTATTTATTTATTTATTTGAGAAAGAGCACACATGAGAGACAGAGAACCCACCAATGGTGGGGAGGGCCAGAGGATGAGGGAGAAGCAGGCTCCCCATTGAGCTGGTAGCCAGATGTGGGGGCTCAATCCTGGGACCCTGGGATCATGACCTGAGCCAAAGGCAGCTGCTTAACTGAGCCATCTAGGCACCCCTGGAATGAAATTTTAAAGAAAAAAAATCAGTTCCGCAGAAAGGACCATCTTCTCAACAAATAGTCCCGGGACAACTGGCTGTCCACATGCTAAAAAATGAACTTTGACATATAACACATGCCATGTACAAAAATTAACTCAAAATGTCAATGTAAAATATAAAACTGCAAAAGTCTCAGAAGAAAACAGAGGGGACACTCATCATGATCTTGGATTAGGCCAACAGCATGATCCACAAAAGGAAAAAAATGAATGAATTTGACATCAAAATAAAAAATTTTTCTTTGCAAAATTCATTGTTAAGAAAATTAAAGAAAAAAAAAGAAAATTAAAAGATAAGCCACAACCTGGGGGAAAGTATTTGCAAATCACATATCCAACAAAGGACTTGTCCTCAGAATATGTAAAGAACTCTCAAAACTCAAAAATAAAAGCAATGATCCAATAAAAACTAGGCAAAAGATTTAAGCAGAACCTTCACATTTATATTAGCCAGGGTTTCTCCGAGAAACAGAATCAATAGAAAGCATATTCATGTAGAAGAGATTTTTTTATAAGAAATTGGCTCATGTGACTTATGGACTCAAGATCTGCAGGGTAGGGGGGATCCCTGGGTGGCACAGCGGTTTAGCGCCCGCCTTTGGCCCAGGGCTTGATCCTGGAGACCCGGGATCGAGTCCCACGTCGGGCTCCCGGTGCATGGAGCCTGCTTCTCCCTCTGCTTGTGTCTCTGCCTCTCTCTCTCTATCTGTGTGACTGTCATAAATAAATAAAAATTAAAAAAAAAAAAGTTTAAAAAAAAAAAAAAGATCTGCAGGGTAGGGCTGCGAACTAGAGACTCAAAAGACAATGGTGTAGCTCCAGTCTGAGAGCCAGGAGGAGTAGTGGTGGGCTCCAGTCTGTAGTCTGGCAAGCTCAAGACCCAGGAAGAACATGTGTTTCATTTGAGTCCAAAGGTAGGAAAAAGTCAATATCCCAGTTCAAAGGCAGTCAGGCCAGAGAAATTCTCTCTGACTCAGGGAAAGTTCAGCATTTTTGTTCTATTCAGAACTTCAACTAGTTGGATGTGGCCTACTGACATCAGAGAGGGCAATCTTCTTTACTTAGTCTACCACTTTAATATAATATCATCCAAAAGTATTCTCACAGAAACACCCAGAATAATATTTTACCACATTCTGGGTATTCTATGGCCAAGTCAAGTTGACACATAAAATTAACCATCACAACCATATACAGATGGCAAATAAACACCAAAAAAAAAGACCTTTGTCTTAGTTGCATCTGTCTCCCATTCTCCATGTCCCACAAGGGGAACATGGCCTCCTTTCCTTGATTTCCCCCAAACACATGGATACATGTCTTCAGATCCGGTGGGGAAGCAGGGTGGAGATAGGGTGGGGATTATAGGGTGCAGGGCATGGCAGAAGACTGGGGACTGAATCTTGGGCATCGCAGTTCTCAGAAGGTCCCTGGGGGCCGTTGGCCACAAGGAAAGAAGTTCTAATGAGCAAGTGGCAGCCCCTACGATGGGTCTTTCTCCTCACATTGTGAGTGCTGCCAACCCCAGGATTCCAGCTCATCATTTACTGGGACCCATTTAACTGTTCTGCTCTCATCCCTGCCCACCCCATCCATGCATGGGAAACTGGCTTCAGAAGAACAAAGAACTTTCTCTCCGGGGGGACCTCTGCTAGCAACGAAAGGAGTCATTATGTTTCTTCATTCTTGTATAGTTTACAGGAATCTGAAGGTAATGCAAGGACCTTGTATTTTAGAGCTTGTTGTGGATGACTTTGAGTGTCTACTCTCCTTTACTATCAGAATTGCTATGGGAATGTTTGAAAACCTTGCTGTGGGGACTTTAATGAAGATAAAAACTGATGGAGGGAGTTGCATGCATGTGAAGTAAAATCTATACTCCTTTACAGACAACACAGTTTGTCTCCACTATCATCTGGCCAGTCTCTTCTTTAGTCCAGTCTATTCCAACCACATTGAACTTCTCACAGTACTTAGAATACTCAGAGCTCTTTTTAGCCTCAGGGCCTTTGCACCTGCTGTTTCCTTTGCACTTTCTATTTCCTTCTGCATTCTCCCCACTGGCTCCTGCTCTTCCTTCTAATCAAATGCCGCTCATCAGTGAGGTTTTTCCTGATTTCTCCTCCTGAAACTCTGTTGATCTTTATCCTAGGACCTCTGTTGTTTCCTTCACATCTACCATAATCTAATTATTTTGTTACATTTTATAATTTTTTTTTAAAATTTTATTTATTTATGATAGTCACAGAGAGAGAGAGAGAGAGGCAGAGACACAGGCAGAGGGAAAAGCAGGCTCCATGCACCGGGAGCCCGACGTGGGATTCGATCCCGGGTCTCCAGGATCACGCCCTGGGCCAAAGGGAGGCGCCAAACCGCTGCGCCACCCAGGGATCCCTATTTTGTTACATTTTAATATATATTTTCCCACAGGAGTGAAAGCCCCTAGTATGATAGGGCCTGGGACTGATTTGTTCACTGATGCATCCTTGTACACAGTGCTGGGCTTTTAGTAGGATCTCAGTAAATACTCATGGAATGAATGATTGACTGTAGTGTAAGGTATAGTTCTGTTTCCACAAGGAGTCCCTGAAGATGTAAAAATTTCCTTGTCAAAGGAATGCAGTTATAATAGCAGAAAATATGCATGGTGTTGATATTTTCGATCAAGGAGATCTTCTTATGTGACATTTCTTTAGTTGGCACCGTCTGACTAGCCAACCCAGAAATCTGACAGGGCTCTTTTGGGAGAAGGTAAAAACAAAAACAAAACAAAACAAAACAAAACCACTGAAGACAAAAGATTACCTCTTGGGGGATGTTTGTGGTTTTTGTACAGCCAGAAAAAATAATTGGAAGAGAGAGCTATACATCCAAGAAATATTTGTTTCCAAGGTTCTAGATTCAAGACAGTAAAGAATGAGTCCACAGTTTGCCACATACCAGACCATCAAAGGCATGGTCCTTAATAATTGTATGATAACTTTTGGGTTGATTCTGTTTTAAACAAATTTTTTCTTTAATCCGCAGGTCACAGTTTTTGTCAGCGTGAACACACATGGCTTTGTTACGAAAAAGTAAGATTACAGCTTTTAATAATCATGATTATTAAAAATAGATATTTTAAAGGACTGTGATGCTAGGTCTTGGCTTCTTTTTGAAAGCCTCTTTGATTTTGTTTAAGATTTTATTGATTTATTTATTCATGAGAGACACAGAGGGAGAGGCAAAGAAACAGGCAGAGAGAGAAGCAGGCTCCCTGCAGGGAGCCGGATGTGGGACTCATCCGGAACTCCAGGATCACACCCTGGGCAGAAGGCAGACGTTCAACCCCTGACCACCCAGGTGTCCCAAGCCTCTTTGATTTTTATGGGTAGTTTTCCTACAGGCAATTCTTGGCATCATCATTTCAGGATGATGCCTGTGGAAAGATGTTTAGTATTGTGTCCAGAGGTGGATTTATCCTGAGAGGGGTCATACATTTGTATAAAACTTGCAAATATAATTTATTTTCCCACTTTAAATAAATATTCATATTCCTATCTAATTTAGCAGTTGTAATTTTGCGTTCCTGTTCTTAAAGAGTGACCTTAAATTATATAATCTTCAAATCCCACCAAAACCTGGATTTGCCCTTGATTTTAGATCTAGCAGTTTGTGAATCTGGGAGGGAAACATGGTAACCTAATTGTGTTACTGCTAGCCTCAGGGCAGAGTTGTCTGATGTAGCAAATGGAAAGACAAGATATTCAGCTAGATATGAATTTCAGACTAACTAGGAATAATATTTATTGTAAGTATATCCCAGATATTGCATAAGACATACTAAAAAAAAAAAAAAAGAGGTGGTAATAGATGTTGAGTTGCTTCCCCAAACTGGCTGTGTCAGGTAAATGTCAATCAGACGTATTGATAAATTATAGGACCTTGTTCTTTATCTTCTATTTTTCTATTTAAACTGAGTCTAACATCCAGTTGTCTCTGGCTGAATCTGAGAATCCAGAAAAGCCAAGAAGAGCTGGATGTCAGCACAGTAGGATCATTGAGCCTCAGGATTTGGCTCTGGAAGACATCCACGGAGACTGACTCCTTCTTTTTACAGATGTGAAGACAAAGGCCTGGGGGCCAGAAAATAGATCAATATGAGGCCAATAAATGTAAATATCTTGCACAAAGATAGGAAATGATAATACGTAGCAATTGTAATGTGTTTATTTGGCCTACATTGCCTTTGTTAACTCTCAAAACCTCCATGTGAGACAATGATTAATAATACAGTTTACAGTCTTCACTGAGCAGATGAGCAAACTGAGGCTCAGAGAGGTTAAGTAACCTGTCCAAAGCCACACAGGTGAGAAGTGTTAGAAACAAGATTTGAATCTCACTTGAAATCCTAGCCCTTTCCTTTCCTACCAACATTTTCCAGACTTCAGGTATTTGTGTTTCATGTAGAACAATGGGGATCTACCTTTTAGAAGGAGGACTAGCATCTCAATTTTTCATCGTCTGTTTTTCTTCGGTTCCTATGCATGACTTAACTATTTTAAGTTGATTCATTTAAAGAATTATGTGTACTTTATGGGATCCCTGGGTGGCGCAGCGGTTTGGCGCCTGCCTTTGGCCCAGGGCGCGATCCTGGAGACCCGGGATCGAATCCCACGTCGGGCTTCCGGTGCATGGAGCCTGCTTCTCCCTCTGCCTGTGTCTCTGCCTCTCTCTCTCTCTCTCTCTCTGTGACTATCATAAATAAATAAAAATTAAAAAAAAAGAAAAACCACAGAACTTTAAAAAAAATAAAGAATTATGTGTACTTTATAATAAAAAAGTGTATATCCTTACTGTAAGTAAAATAAGCTATCTCCTATCATGAAAAGAAGGTGATTATACAAATATGTATGATTAGAACCGTGTTATTCAAATCTGGGTAGCTTTTGTTCCCTCCCTGCAATGAGATTAGAACTAATTTCTCACGCTGTGATTTAATGTTACTTAATGTCGTGATCACAAGCCTCCTAAGCCATCTCATGTACAATCAGTGGTACATGCGCTCTATTAGGAGAGCACTGTCCTATATCACTCTGTTCCTTAGCAGATCCCAAGAGCAAGCATCATAGCTCTGGAACAGATGGTCCTGGATACTTAGACCTGGAAAATGTATTGGGTCTTCTGGCTTCTCACTATACAGAATTTTCTGTACATCATCTTTGACTAGTGTTTAAATTAACTGAGAAGGAGCTGTGTTATAAAAGCTAACAACATGTACTCTTAAGAAGTACTGGTTCACCATAAACATTAAGTAGATGTTGGCTATTCAAAGTGTTCATGCACAGAGAGTGGCTCAGAAGCCACATCATATAGGCATTAATGTTGTAACCTCTGCCATCAGACTGCCTGGGTGTAGCCCTGGATCCTCCTTAAACTACATCTTTGTATCCTTGAGCATCAACAGCATCCCACATGCTCTCTGCTGAAAGAGCAGCCCCAACCACCACTCTCTGTTCACATGACTGTTCTAAACTCTCCCCAAATTTCAGCTTGAGAAGTTACACTTGAATGTGTTTCTGTTTCCATTTCAGTTAATCAGGTGTTGCTGTTCCTTCTGATTGTGACCCTCTGTGGGATCCTGTATAAGAAAGTTCACAGGGAGACTGCGCTCAGGAATGAGACAGGTATGCTAAGTGAAGTAAGCCAGTCCCAAAAAGACAAATACTGTGCAATTCTTCTTATATGAGGTACTTAGTTGAAATCATCCAAACAAAGTATAATGGTTGACAGAGGCTGGGGGGAGGGGCAATAGGCAGTTCTTGTTTAATGGGTATAAGTTGCAGTTTTAGGAGTTTATAAAACTCTTTAAGTTTTATAAGAGTTACGGGGACAGACAGTGGCAATAGTTGTACGACAATGTGAATATATTTAATACATTGAACTGTGTACTTAAAAATGGTTAAGATGATAAATTTTATGATTTTTTTTACCACGATAAAAAGAATTTTAAAAAAAGAAAGGAGATAAACAAGCATATAATATTAGGTTGGTATACCTAGGACTGTGGTTTAAACGTGTTCCTTTGATTCCTTTCAGTAGCTGGGTTCAGAGATAAGCAACAATTTGGTTGGATCCCAAGGGCCTGCTTGTAGAATATCCACCCAAGTCCAGTGATGTTCTAGAATGATCAGTGCTACTCAAGCTTTAGCACATATAAGAATCACAATTAGGGTTTGTTAAAACACAATATACTTGGGCCCACTCTGAGAAATTTTGAATTAGTAGATTTAGGTGAGGCCTGAGAATTTTCATTTCTGATAAGCTCCAGTAGATGCTGACACTGGTTCTTGGACTATGCTTGGGTTGTCTGCTTTGCATCCATCCTTTGAATTTCTGAATGATTTTGCTTATGAAAATTGTCCTCTCTATCTTTCCCCTACTGGTTCATTCCCATCAGTACACCAATAGCCTCAGAATTCTCAACTTAAAAAAGATCCTGAATTGCCCCTATATCCTCTTCCAGCTGTCCTGAGGAGCCAAATTTCCCTCCTGAGGGGTGGATTCTTTGACATGGCACCTTTACAACTTCTAAACACACAAAATCAATGCCACAAAAATTAAGAAGTACTGGTAGCATGTATATTATATTATATTATATTATATTATATTATATTATATTATTATTAGGACTTTTTAAAAAGATTTTATTTATTTATTTAACAGACAGCATGAAAGAGCACAAGCAGGGGGAGAAATGGAGGGAGAGGGAGAAGCAGGCTTGCCGCTGAGCAGGAAGCCTGATGTGGGGCTCCAACCCAGGACTCCAGGATGACAACCTGAGCCCAAGGCAGACACTTAACCAACTGAGCCAACCAGGAGCCCCAATAAAGATTTTATTTTTAAGTCCAGCAGGGGGCTCAAACTCACAACCCTGAAATCAGTGGCCACCCACTCCTCCAACTGAGCCAGCCAGATGCCCCTGTTTTTAAATAATTTACTTTTTATATTAATCAAACAAAATACATTTATGGAAAATGCAGAAGAGAAAAATATCACCTGTTGCTGTATCAGCCAAAGACAAATACAGTTAATATTTTGGTGCCCTACATACATTCATTTCGCACTTTTTTTTCTTAAACCAGCTTAGGCTTTGGACAAACATCAGTGAAAAAAACAATGTCCCTGTTCTCACAATGCTGACTTATCTTAGTATAATACAGCTAGCCTGTCAACGACCCTACAATACGTGCAGTTATGAGATAGCAACAGCATGTTGAGAATACAAAGACGCAGATGTTGAAAAACTATGTATAATCTGGTCTAAATGAACATAAGGAGCATCTAGAAAGAGAATGATTCCACCTAAAGATGTGTATACAAATGTTACTAGGGCATTATTCCTTGTAGCTGCAAACTGGAAACAATCCACATGGGAATCCACTATCGAGTAGATAAAATGTAGTGTATTGACTCAGTGGAGTCCTTTTCAACAGTGAAAAGGAACACAGTATTACAGCTCCCCTATGGACAAACCTCACAGAGATGATGCTACATGAAAGAAGCCACGCCTGAAAACTCACATATATTATACAATTCCATGTATAGAAATTTCTAGAAAAGAGGCAACAGTGAAGCATCTGCCTTCAGTTCAGGTCATGATCCCCGAGTCCTGGACGAGTCCCTCAGCAGGGAGTCTCCTTCTCCCCCTGCCTCTATGTTCTCTCTCTCTTTCAAATAAATAAATAAAATCTTTTTTTTTTTTTAAAGGGGATTTCTAGAAAACGTAAATCTACAGAGACAGAGAAGAGAGCAGTAGTTGCCTGGGGCTGGGAGGAGTGGACTGACTGCAACCCAGTTTAAGGAACCTTTGCAGGGAGGTGGAGATGTTCTAAAATGGGATTGTGGTGATTGATGGTTGTGCAACTCTATCACTTTACGAAAAATCATGGAACTGTATACCTACAGTAGGAAATCTTAAGAAATTTCCAAACTCCCAAATTTTTAAGAAGTCTGTATTAGTGGGCCTGGGCTGCCTTAACAAAATACCACAGACTAGGTGGCCTAAACAGAAGAAATTTATTTTCTCATAGCTCTTGGAGGCTGCAAGTCCAAGACCCAGGTGTTGGCAGCCTTGGTTTCTCCCAAGACTTCCCTTGTAGGTTCATAGTTCTCCCCATGTCCTCAGATGACCTCTCCTGCGTGTTCACAGCCTTGGTGTCCCTGCCAAAGGTGTCCCTCCTAGAAGGTCACTGGCCCTCCTGGGCTCAGGCCCCACCCTCACGGCTTCATCGTTTGCTTCTGTTGGTCAGATCTTGATCACACAGACTTGCAAGGGAGTCTGCAACAATAGTCTTCATTGTTGGCTATGTGCCGGCTGAAATTCCAATGCTCTATTTCTTTAAAAAAAAAAGATTTTTTTTTTTTAAATTTGAGAGGGAGGTAGTGAGAGAGAGAGAGAGAGAGAGAGAGCATGCAGGGGGAGCAGCAGAGGCAGAGGGAGAAGCAGGCTCCCCACTGAGGAGAGGACCTGATATATACATCCCAGGACCACAACCTGAGCTCAAGGCAGATTCTTCACTGACTGAGGCCCTCGGGCACCCCTTCAATGTTCTGTTTCTTTCTTTCTTTTTTTAAAAATGCATTTTATTTTTTTAAAAAATTTTAAAAGATTTTCTTTATTTATTTATGAGAGACACAGAAAAAGAGAGAGGCAGAGACACAGGCAGAGGGAGAAGCAGGCTCCATGCAGGGAGCCCGACGTGGGACTCGATCCAGGGTCTCCAGGATCAGGTCCTGGGCTGAAGGCGGTGCTAAACCGCTGAGCCACCCGGGCTGCCCCAATGTTCTATTTCTGAGAGAAGAGGAGACTGGATGTTGGAGAACAATCGGCAGTCTCTTGCGCACTACGCTGTCTTCCCCTAGGAGGGTGGAAGACAGCTTAATATGGCCCTACTATGAAATTCCTTCGTGTTCTAAGACAATAGATTTGGTGTTTCCAGATGATGACTCTGAGCCTCCTGAGGAGATGGAGGAGGAGATTCCTGTGGTGATTTGTGCGGCGGCAGGGAGAATGGGTGCCGCCATGGCTGCTATCAACAGCATCTACAGCAACACCGACGCCAACATTCTCTTCTATGTGGTTGGACTCCGGAATACTCTGTCTCGAATCCGGTAATTTGTGTGCTATAGACTTTGGAGTTTTCTACATTTCACCTTTCTTTATCTTTCCTTAATGGAGTTCCCTATGTTTTGGGTTTGATAAATGTCATTAATGAATTAACGAGGGCATGACCTAAGGTCTGCTTGGTGACCTGATGGATGTGTTGCCTAGCTAAGGAAGTTTCAGCAAAGCCTCATTTTTCTACTAGAGCAATGCATCATGCTGTCTAATGAATTAAAGAATTGCAGCCCTTAGGCAGGTTGTGTGAAAGTCTTTCTAAAATGCTTTCTCTTTTCTCTGCCTTCTTAATTTGGGAGGATATCAATATAATAGCATTTTAATAGGATCCAGAATCATCACTAATTAAAATTTTTGAACCACTAAGCAATCTTTCCTATCACACAACATGCTAAAAAAATAAGTTGGAAATAGATTTAGAAGAAATAAACAGAAAATCAAAATTTAAAGTATTATAAAAATGTGGGATAATTATATAATATTGCTAAGGACAACGACTGTGAGTCCAAATATCATGAGGAAAAAGTGGACAGATTTAACTGCGTAACAATTAAAAACTTTTACTTATTTGTTTGTTATTAATTTTTTGGGGGTGTTGGAATTCGCAGACAAGGGATTTATTTATTATTTATTTACTTGAGAAATGAACCCAAGAGCAGGCAGAGGGAGAGGGGCAAGCAGATTCTCTGCTGAGCATGGAGCCCGATATGGGTCCAGATCCCAGGACCCCGGGATTGTGACCTGAGCTGAAGGCAGACACTTAACCTACTGAGCCACCCAAGTGCCTCCAAAAACTTTTAATGATGAAAAATACTGTGAGTGAAAGTAATCATACGATAAACTAGGCAAAATATTTTCAACATGTATTATAAATGATTACTACCCAAAGTATATAAAGAATTCTTACAAAAAATTTTTAAACATACAAGCATCTAGTAGAAAAATGAGGATAGAATACAAACAGACAATTCACAGAAGAAAAAAATACAAATGGTCGACAAACATGAAAAGGTATTCTGTGTTACTAATAGAGAAATTCAAGTTAAAATGACAATGACATATAATTTTTCACTCATCGAAATGGTAAAAATTAAATAGGACAACAATATCCAGTGCAGAAAAATGGGCATGCGTATTCTTTTTTTAAACAATGTCTAGGGACGCCTGGGTGGCTCGGTGGTTGAGCCTTTGGCTCAGGGCATGACTCTGGGGTCCTGGGATTGAGTCCCACGTAGGGTTCCCTACAAGGAGCCTGCTTCTTCCTCTGCCTATGTCTCTGCCTCTCTCTCCATGTCTGCCATGAATAAATAAATAAAATCTTTAAGAAAAAAACAATGTACACTTTATAAATTGGGAAAGCATTTTGAGAGGGCAATATGGCAATGTCTAATAAAATTTTACATACTAGAACTGGTGTGGCCACTGTGGAAGACAGTATGGAGGTTCCTTAAAAAGTTTAAAATAGAACTACCCCACAGTCCAGTAATTGCACTACTGGGTATTTACCTCCAAAATCCAAAACACTAATTCAAAGGATACATGTACCCCAGCATTTATAGCAGCATTATCTACAACAGCCAAACTATGGAAACAGCCCAAATATCCATCGATAGATGAATGCATAAAGAATATGTGGTATATATATGTAGAGTGGAATATTAGCCATATAAAATAATGAAATCTTGCCATTTGCAATGACATGGATGGACCTAGAGGGTATGATGCTAAGTGAAATGAGTCAATCAGAGAAAGACAAATACCATAGGATTTCACTCCTATATGGAAGGTAAGAAACAAAAAACAAGCAAAGGAAAAAAGAGAGACACCAAGAAACAGACTTTTAACTATAGAGAATAAAGTGTTGGTTACCTAAGAGTAAAATCTTAAAAAAAAGGCCCAAACTATAAATGTGTACATGTACATATATATGTTTCTATAAAGAAAAAGACCCCAAAGATCTCCATGTGTTAACAGTGACTATCTCTGGGGAGGATGGAGGGATTGGGGAGAGCAGTGATGAAAGGTATAGTTCAGGGTATTTCAAGTATTATTTCCTTTATTCCAAAGGAGAATGGGGGCACCTGAGTGGCTCAGCTGGTTAAGCATCTGACTCTTGGTTTCAGTTCAGGTCTTGATCTCAGGATCATGATTTCAAGCTCCATGTTGGGCTGCACACTGGGCACGAAGCCTACTTTAAAAAAAAAAAAGTTAAGAAAGAATTTATTTTTCTTAAGTGTATTTATTTTAGTAATCTCTACACCCAATGTAGGGATTGAACTCATGACCCCCAAATCAAGACTTGCATGCTCTTCCAACTGAGCTGGTGAGGCTCCCCGAGAATGTGTTCATGTATGACTTAAAAATAGCACTGTTAAGAGGTACTGACTATGGAAGACACTCACTCCTAATCTAAATGGTCCTTGGCTCTCATGGGTTTTGAGGGCTTCTGCATACATTCTAGATTTTCTGTATCATTTCTCACTCTTCTTATCATTTATTGTTGCATATTGTTCATTTAGCTTGCTGTTACTGTAATTATCTGTGGGTATGAAACCCAGATAACCAAACCCCAAAGGGTGGCATGTGTGTAATATGTTCTGAGCAAGGGTTTGTACTGGAACAAAAGGCATGAGCTCCAGGGCTTGATGACATCTGAGCAGGGACAGTCTCCCAGCCCTTGGTGGTGTAGTAGCCCCCGGTTCGAATTATTAAGATTTTAAAAACCCTCTTGTCGTTGAAGTATAATAATAAAAAAAAACAGAAAATTACATAAATCCTGTGTACAGATTAGTGAATCATCACAAGGTAAGCATAACCAGGTAACAACTCCCACCCACATGGTATGGTCAGTCTTTTTAGGTTTGCCATTCCAGCGAGTGTCCAAGGCTATCTCATTGTAGCTTAACTTGAGATTCCTTTATTTCCAATTAGTTTGAGCCCTGTTTTTTACATATTTCTTGGCCACTTAGATGTGCAAGCTTGAGTCTCTTGCCAGTTTTTCAGTTGGATTGTGTTTTTCATATTTACATGACTTCTCCCCACATACAGATTTATTGAGATATAACTGATATATAACATTGTATAAATGACTTGCTTTTACAGTTCAAATTTTGTAGATCTAAATTTTGTTCAGAAGATTGGCTCTTTTGTCAATTTTTGAGCAACAACAAATGCTACCATGTGTGGCTTTAGTCATTGGCAATTTTGAAATAATTTCTACCAAGAATTGCACTATGAATTGAATTAAAGATAGTCACAAATTGTTTAAGACTGAGCAGACATAAGAGGAGAGGGTGGAGAGAGGAAGGAGGATGAGATGAGAAGTGAGGACAGGAGGGGAACACAGAGGCAGAAGCAAATCATCCTTGGAGTCCAACACAGCAGAGTAAGGACGCTTCCATCAAGCAGAAGATTCAGAACATCGTGCTTCATAGCTGGGCAGATCTGTTGGCCCGGGGCAAACATAGACCAGCGGCCACAGATGCAGCTTTATGAGAAAGAATAAATGCTTTTTGTTCTTCCAGTTTCCTGTGGAGATTATGTGGATCTGGGGAGATATTTGGTTATTACTATTTTGCTTCATTTCCTTTGCAGAGTTATGTGACTTAAAGGGGAAAAAAAGAGGAAAGATTCGAAGCCAGACCAGATGGGGGGAAAAATCAGAAGGATTTATAGACTAACTCTACTAAGGCTATACTCATTTTATTTTTAACTTTCTAAGAAGCAGCAGATTGAGGCAATAGGCAAGTTGAGGAAAGGTTGGAGGTGTATACTAGAGGCATTTTTGTATTGTTGTGTTTTTTTTTTGTCATGTCTTTAGAAAATGGATTGAACATTCTAAACTAAGAGAAATAAACTTTAAAATCGTGGAATTCAACCCTGTAGTCCTCAAAGGGAAGATCAGACCAGACTCATCAAGGCCTGAATTGCTCCAGCCTGTGAGTAGGAAACACGCATATGCTGAGGACAGTCTTTGGTGAGACCCTTGCTCAGGGGAAAGCACTATGCACACGGAATATTTCTGAAGCAGTGTTAGATCTCCACGAAGCTCTGCTTATTTATAATTTATAAGCCACCTGCTCCAGAAGGATTTAAGATGGTTTAGCTAAACATAATGAAGCTGTTAAAGAAGAAATGAAGCCTAAGAAAACGTAGGATGTGTTTGTGTGTGTGAATATGCCTGTAGGGGTTGGGGGTCGGGGCCAAATGGTGGGGCCAGGAAAAAATATTCCCAACCCACAGGCTGCTGTGTGCATTGCAGTTGAACATTAAACTTAGCCCAGCGTATCCCAGCAGCTAAGGGAAAAACAATCTATCTAACTATATGATAGATTCTATATCTCGTAGGATCAACTGAGATAATACCTTCAGGAGACACCCACTTTTACCCTAGCATTGGGAATCTTAAGGTATTTTACTGCAAGAGTTCTTATAAAAGGGACTCTTTCTTGTATAAAGAGTAGTGTTGATGGCAGGGTTACCGAAAATGCAGCCACCTTCTAATTGTTACTGAAATCTATCCTTGAAAATTTACTGAATTCTAAGCCCTCTGATAACATGATCTTTTCCTAATTCCTTGTATTTATTATCAGAGTGTGAGCTGAGTTGGGATTTTGGATTAAGTGGTATGCCTAATAAAACTATGACTCCCACCCTCAGCTCATACTTGTCTGATTTTCTGGTCCAAGGAACTAGAGTTTGAGTTTGTGGTTGGGACCCCCGTGCCCACGTGTGTGATTTAGTTGACAATAGTCAAATTACTAGTGTAGAGGAGGGCAGGCGATTTGTGGCCTTAAAAGATGCCTCTGTGACTCCCACTCTAGCAGTTTGCAGAGGTGCAAGGGTCATGCCATGGTCTCGGCAGCTGAGGGCTTCGATCTAGGAGAGCACTGATCTGCCGGCGCCAGTTGCCACCCCAGGTCCACTAACTGGGCACCAGGAGGCTGCAGTGAGATGTCTGCTGCCCATTTTATTTAGCTCCATACCTGGAGTTGAGCGGAGGCTGTGGTCAGAGCCACGCCTCCAGCAGGAGAAGACACGGAGCCACCTGTCTCTTCCCCACCATTGCTTCTTTTGTTGTTTTAACAGCTGAATTTTGTTCGATTTTATCTCCCTCTGCTTATTCATCAACATGAGAAAGTCATCTATTTGGACGATGACGTAATTGTACAAGGTATACTCGCCGACTGCCAAGAACACTCGGAAAAGGAGCAGCTGATAAGTAGAATAACCATCTCCTTCATTTTCCAAATAGCTCAATGCCCAGTGTTTTTGACTGTGTATTCAAGTTGGGAGAATAGTATCGTTAGAAGTTTAGGAATATTTTGATAATGGGGGTTGGTACCCACTTCCCTATAGAGTCTGGCTGACTTTCTGAGAGCTACTCTGTCAAAGTCGGCAGTAAATCACTTAGTAGCCTCCTTTTCCCGGCAGCTAAGTGTGGGTGTTTAAGTGATGCTTTCTGTCTGCCACGTGCAAACAGGTGAGCCCCAGTCAGGCCCGCTGGATGCCAAGCTGAGCTTATTGTCAAGTGGCTTTCTGGACAGACAAGCTATGTTATTAAATAAATGACCAGGCCGCTTGAAAGTCAAATCATGTACTTTACTTCCTGGGCAAATCAGGGACTGTTTGATGTCCTAAGGCTCCATGTGGCTCTAAAACAAATGCTGTAATATTTTAACCACTGATGTTTCTAAATCCAGGTGATATCCAAGAACTCTACGACACCACCTTGGCCCTGGGCCACGCGGCAGCTTTCTCCGATGACTGTGATTTGCCCTCCGCTCAGGACACGAACAGATTTGTGGGGCTGCAGGTGGGCTCGCTGCTCCCAGGCCCTGCCCAGCTCTGCTGCTCCCACCCCTTCCCTTCCCCAGGGCTCAGTCATCCAATCAGGACTGCAGGAGGCAGGAAGCACAGCCCCTGATGATTGTTCAGGATGTAGGTGGTCCGAACCACACTCCCTGTCCCAGATGGAGTTTCCTATGAGAGACTCCCTGAACTTTTGGTTCTGTTTCTCGAGTTGTGATCATTGCTTCCTACCCCACCCCCTCTCAATAGAAGAAAGTACTGATTTTCCTCAATGGTAAAGAGCTCCTTACCCCGGTGGAAATGAGGAAAGTCAAACCTACATGGAGTACGGAAACCAAAAGGATGGCTTTAAAGACAAGGTGCTGTTAAGAATCAAATGCTGTTCTCCACAAAAAGTTCCAGGAAATGATTTTATGTGTGTCACAATGAGATGTGACACTTTGAGGCCTGGGCTTTCAGGCCAGACCTGACTTGGCCAAAAGCTCGGCTCTGTCATTTACTTGGTTTGTAACCCCGGTTTAAACCTCTGTCATTTTCTTGGTTTGTAAGAAGTTGCTTACCAATCAGCTTCTCCCTCAGTTTCCAGTAGAGGCAATAAGAGCACTTCCCTTGTAGAGTCATTGTGAGAATTAAGTTAGTTAATACATGTAAAGTTACTCTGTGCAATTATGAGCTAATGTATGCAGAGTTCCTAGGACAGAGCCTGGTGCACAGAAAGTGCTCAGGTGTCTCCATTATTTCCATGTTACATTTGAGCATCACACGGAGGTGGGTAGGACAGCCCGGGGTGGGGGGTGGGGGCAAACGATATGTCACATCCGTTCAGCAACTCCCTATGTGCTTACTGTGGCCTGACGCGGTCTTAGGTGCCAGTGATACAGTGAACAAAACTAAAATTACTGCAACTGTATAGCTTACATGTTAGTTAGAAGAGACCGTCAGTAAATAAATTATTTAACAGAGGATCAGGGTGGGGCTGCAGTTTAAATTGGGTGACAGGAAGGCTCACTGAGGTGGTGTCACTGAGCCTGACCCTAAAGGAACTTAGGGAACCACCTCAGCAGGTATTTAGGGGAAACACATTCCAAGAGGAGGTAACAGCAAATTCAAAGATCCTGAAGCAGGAGTGGGTCTTTCTTGTATTGGAAAATTGGGGGGCCAGTGTGGCAGAGGAAGCCAGGGAGAGACCGGATGTCAGAAAGGTAATGGCGGTGGGGGCAGATGGCATAGGACATGGGAAACTTAGAAACTCTGGCTTTTACTCTGAGATGGGAAGCCACTGGAGAGGGTTTGAGCAGATGAGTAACATAGAGACAAAGTTGAAAAGGGTGGAAGCAGGAACAATTCAGGAGGAGTTGCAGAAATCCTGAGTGGTAATTATGGCTTGAACTGGGAGGGCAGCAGCGTGGGCAGTGGTTGGCCTATGATATGTTGTGGAAGACAAGACCAACAGGGCTTGTTGATGGATGTGGATGAAATGTGAGTGAGAAGGAGCCATGGATGACCTCATGACCCTGGGTTTTTTGCTAGGAATGAATGTGGGGGCAGGTTGTAGGGAAGCAGGTTTGGGACAGGATTGGGATCAGTTTGGGGTTGTAAGGGGAGCTGCCTTAATTAAGGCTCCAGGAGACAGAGTTGGCAGAGGTAGCAGGAGTCAGCCACCCAGAGGAGAGGCCAGGGCTGCCTACCTGGACAGTGTTTCAAGCCATGAACTGGATGAGGCTGTCTAGGGAGTTAGTGCTACAGACCAGGCAGGGGCACTGCTTTTGGAGGCTAAGGAAGGAGAAAAGCAGCCAGGGACTCTCTAGGAAGTGGCTGGTGACACAGCAGGAGACCCAGAAATTCTGGGCAGTGGTTTCAAGAAAATGATTATGTTCCAGAAATCAAAGATTTGTTAGTCAAAAGCATATCCTGTTCCTTTATAGAACACGTACATGGGCTACCTAGACTACAGGAAGAAGGCGATAAAGGACCTTGGCATAAGCCCCAGCACTTGCTCCTTCAATCCGGGTGTGATTGTGGCCAACATGACAGAATGGAAGCACCAGCGCATCACCAAACAGCTGGAGAAATGGATGCAAAAGAATGTGGAGTATGTGTAAACCTCTCTGCCCTTCTCCATGCTTGGCAACAGAACTATTCAATTAATTTTCTGTGCATAACTCAGGGGTTTGAAGTATTTCACAGACGTCTTAGATCAGATTCTCTTGCAGAACTGATGAGAAAGAATGGAGACAGATGAAAATCTAGTCTCAAATGATATGTAAACGGAAGCGAGATCCTGCAGAATCTTATACAAATGTTTTTCTAATGAATAACGCAATTTTAAGTCTTCTCCCAGAAGCCTAGTGAAGCTTCTCTACTGAAAATAATTTATCTCAGTCAAGTTTCTCTTTCTTACATAGATTTTTTTTTTAAGATTTTATTTATTTATTCATGAGTGACAGAGAGAGAGAGAGGCAGAGACACAGGCAGAGGGAGAAGCAGGCTCCATGCAGGGAGCCCAACGTGGGACTCAATTCCGGGTCTCCAGGATCACGCCCTGGGCTAAAGGCAGCGCTAAACCGCTGAGCCACCCAGGCTGTCCCATAGACTTGTTTTTAAGAATTATTTTATAAACTCAACTTTTTTTTGAAGGTTGAATTTTAAAAAATGTATCATTTTTCATTATTGAAATTTTAAAATAGAGAAAAAAAACCCTCTAACACAACCACTATTATCATGTCATTGTTATTTCCTATTCATCTTTTATCAGGATATTTTAAATACCATCATCACCTTGAATTTATGAGTGAAGTTTTTCTACATAATATAGGATCAGAATTTGATCTCTTCTGTATTTGACATTAAAAATACTGAGAATTTTAAAAAATGCTGAAAATTAAAATGGCAAAACGTTATGCTGAGTTTAGGGTGAATTATATGGGAATTCATGGTATTCTTACAATTTTGTGTAAGTCTGACAATTTTCAAAATATAAAGTTGAGAGAAAAATGAAAAACTATGGTCTTTTTATATAGTGAGAGACTAACATCTTTCAAGAGTAGTAATTTCTACTTTATCTAGTCTGTGTGGTTTGAGGCCAAATGTTTTTCTATTCCATTTCTTAGGGAAAATCTCTACAGCAGCTCCCTGGGAGGAGGGGTGGCCACCTCCCCCATGCTGATTGTGTTTCATGGGAAATACTCCGCAATCAACCCCCTGTGGCACATAAGGCACCTGGGTAAGTATCATAGAGAGACAACACAGCTGTGCATTTTATAGATCTTTGAGCACCAAACTGCTAGGGCATCAACTTCCTCAATTCGGGTCCTCCAGGTGATCTTGGAGGTCATCTCAGACACATTATTTAACCTTCATTGCTCACATTCTACAAATGCAATTGCTAAAAAGGGCCTAAGAGGGGACGCCTGGGTGGCTCCATGGTTGAGCATCTGACTTTGGGTCAGGGCGTGACCCTGGGGTCCTGGGATCGAGTCCCACATCAGGCTCTTCGCAGGGAACCTGCTTCTCCCTCTGCCTGTGTCTCTCCCTCTCTCTGGATCTCTCATGAATAAATAAATAAAATCTGTTTAAAAAAATAAATAAAAGATTTTATTTATTCATGAGAGACCCAGAGAGAGAGGCAGAGACACAGGCAGAGGGAGAAACAGGCTCTATGCAGGGAGCCTGATGTGGGACTCGATCCCTGGTCCCCAGGATTGCACCCTGGGCCAAAGGTGGCGCTAAACTGCTGAACCACCTGGGCTGCCCAAATAAAATATTTTAAAAAAGGAAAAAAGGGCCTGAGAGGTGTTTCTAGGAATTCATGAGAAGCCATTAGACTCATGCTTAGCATATAGCATGTGCTACATAATCATTACCTATTGTTAAAATAGAACTTTCACTGTCAAACTTTTTCACTCAGCTTTATTGCCCTCTTGCAGTAGCCAGCAAGGCAAAACCAAATTAGCATGATGGTTTATGATGCATTTAGATAGCTCACAACTTTTCTTTTAAAAAGTTATTTCCGGACTGTGTACCATGTGAGTCTTTTATTCACACTATTCATTATAGGAGTGCAATGCCCTATGATATGGACTGGAATCGCAACTCTTATTACCCAAGTTGGGCAAATTATTCAACCTTTCTTTGCCTTAGTTTCTCCATTTGTAAACTGAAGCTAATAGAACCTTATAAAGTTTTTATAAGGAATAAATTACCTAGTGCATGTAAATTGCTGAGCACAGAGCCTCATGCAGAAGACAGTCACATTCATTCAATCAAACACATGACCACAACCCCATAGCCACAAGCACTGGGCCAGACCTGTTTAGAAATTGGAAAGGTTTTGAATTTTAAAAAAGGTAATGCGATGCATACATTTATGTGATGCAGTACGCTGAGTGGGATCTAGGTTTTGCTACTAAAAAAGTTAGTAAAAATTGTTTTCCGACACTTGGGGATTTTAGAATTGGAGACAATGGCTTATGGATGTATATTTACTAAAAATACCTTCCACACTGTCAAGAACTGAGCTCAGTTCTGGCGATAAAGGTGATTACTATTTCTAATTCTCAGAACAACCTGCAAGGTGGTTATGTCCCTTACTCTCCTTTTAAAAGAAGGGACATGGGATCCCTGGGTGGCGCAGCGGTTTAGCGCCTGCCTTTGGCCCAGGGCACGATCCTGGAGACCCAGGATCGAATCCTACGTCGGGCTCCCAGTGCATGGAGCCTGCTTCTCCTTCTGCCTATGTCTATGCCTCTCTCTCTCTCTCTGTGTGTGACTATCATAAATAAATAAAAAATAAAAAATAAATAAATAAATAAATAAATAAATAAATAAATAAATAAATAAAAGAAGGGACACATAAAACTATAGAAGGTGGGTTCCTGGGTCTCCTCTTAAGGATTCTGTATAGATTTGCTTCTGCCTCATTATCGGAATCTTCGGTTTTCCTGAGAATCTGTATGCACACAGGAGCAACGCAGGGGAGCTAAGGACACCAGTGTTCCATCTGGTTTGATTTATAATAATGTTGGGACTGTTAAGTCAAATATCAATGTTTCCATGTAATGAATGTGCAGAAAATCCCATCAAAGTTGTAGGTCTATAAGAATGGTTGTGTAGGAACAGTTACGCATAGTTTACATTGATAAGGTTAGAACACTCCATGGCCTTGGAATAGAGTCGCAATCACATTTTATGAAATATCTAACTGGGAAGAAGGGACAGAATCTTCCTAAGGGAAATAAGTGATTTTTCTTTTAAGCAGAGACTACATCTATGCTAAAGGTTCTGGAATCTGCGAAGTCAGCAAAGTAAAGCTACACAGAAATCATTTGTAAAATGTTTCAGTTTTAGGGATCCCTGGGTGGCACAGCAGTTTAGCGCCTGCCTTTGGCCCAGGGCGCGATCCTGGAGACCCGGGATTGAATCCCACATTGGGCTCCTGGTGCATGGAGCCTGCTTCTCCCTCTGCCTGTGTCTCTGCCTCTCTCTCTCTCTCTGTGTGACTATCATAAATAAAAAAAAAAAAAAAAAAAAAACCAAAAAACTAACATTTGAAAAATGATTCAGTTTTAGTGTGTTTTGGAAGCAGAAACCAATGTGACACTAATGGGTATTAAGTTTGGGTTCAAGCAGGTCTTAAGATTTTAAGAATTTATGATATATATTTAGCTAAAAGCAAATTCTACGTCTATATGGAGTCCTCCAATCATGGGGCAGAGAGATGATCTCCCACAGAATCAAGACTCTAAGGTGTTTCTTCCCAAATGAGCATTTCCTTTGTAGTCTTTGGAAGTTGGTAATCATTCCAATTATGTTACCATAGCCTGAAACACCTAAATCCTCTTCTGCAACTGCCTTCACAGCTGTTTATGAATAGAAGACAGATTTTTTTTTCTTGCATGATATGTTAAGCTGGAATAACACAACTCCAGCTATTTACCCTCTCTTAAGGGATTTTCAGTGTTGTTTTAAATTTTTTTTAAATTTTTTATTTTTTTTATTTATGATAGTCACAGAGAGAGAGAGGAAAGAGAGAGAGAGAGAGAGAGAGAGAGAGAGGCAGAGGTATAGGCAGAGGGAGAAGCAGGCTCCATGCACCGGGAGCCCGATGTGGGATTCGATCCCGGGTCTCCAGGATCGCACCCTGGGCCAAAGGCAGGCGCCAAACCACTGTGCCACCCAGGGATCCCAGTGTTGTTTTTTTTTTTTTAAGATTTTTTTTAAAAGATTTTATTTATTTATTTGTTCATGAGACACACAGAGAGAGGCAAACACACAGGCAGAGGGAGAAGCAGGCTCCATGCAGGGAGCCCGTTGAGGTACTCGATCCCAGGACCCCAGGATCACACCGCAGGCGTTAAACCGCTGAGCTACCCAGGGATCCCCTAAAGATTTTATTTATTGATGAGAGACAGAGAGAGGCAGAGACAGAGGCAGAGGGAGAAGCAGGCTCCATGTAGGGAGCCTGATGGGACTCGATCCCAGGACATCGGGATCACGCTCTGAGCTGAAGGCAGAGGCGCAGCCACTGAGCCACCTAAGCATCCCAAGGGATTTTCAGTTTTAAAAAATTCTTTCATAGAAAATGTTAACACCATAGAGGATTCAAAAAAAAAAAATCATTACATTTGCAAGATCTTAATGTACTGCTGGAAGATATATTCTAAAAATACTCTAACCAATGGCAATATCAAGGTAAACACACCATTTCTTTTTTTTTAATTAATTAATTTATTTATTTATGATAGTCACACACACAGAGAGAGAGAGAGGCAGAGACATAGGCAGAGGGAGAGGCAGGCTCCATGCACTGGGAGCCCGACGTGGGATTCGATCCTGGGTCTCCAGGATCGCGCCCTGGGCCAAAGGCAGGCGCCGAACCGCTGGCCACCCAGGGATCCCTAAACACACCATTTCTAAGTGACTCCTTATGAGGGCAATATCCAAATGGGGATAGTTTTGTGTTAAGAAGTGAATCTTATTCCTCCATCACATTTCATATGGTAAAAACAAGATCATTATAGAAAGATGTTGCCATACTAAGGAGGGGAAATGTAGAGAAACAAGAACTCCTATAAACTCTTGGTGGGAGGAAACCTGATATAACTTCTCCTGGGGACAATCTGGCAATCTCTTACCAAAAATGTGAAGGCATACACCCTTCAATTGAGGGATTCCACCTATAAGACTTTACCCTACAGATGTATCTGTGGACATGCACAAGATATGCACAGAAGTCTGTGCAGTGTTCACTGACGTTTGTGAAGGGAAGGAAACCTAGATATCCTCAATAAAGAACTCACTAAAGAAATAAAAATAACTATATATCCATTGTCATTAAAGTCATTAAAAATAATTCAGCAACTCTGCATGTGTCACATCCCCGGACCCCCACACACTCATACAGGTAGAGTATTACTGGAAGGATTTCATAAGAAATTCTTGTAACAGTGGTTATTTTGGTGATTTAGAGTAGGTGGTAAATCTTTCCTTGTATACTCTTTGATTTGCTTAGTTTTTTAAATAATGGATTTGCATTCAATTTTCAATATAAAAATCTTACTTTCTAACAAGTCTATTATTTTCTTCTAAACACAAATGAAGGCTGGAATCCAGATACCAGATATTCAGAGCATTTTCTGCAGGAAGCAAAATTACTCCACTGGAATGGAAGACATAAACCTTGGGACTTCCCTAGTGTTCACAACGACTTATGGGAAAGCTGGTTTGTTCCTGACCCTGCAGGGATATTTAAACTCCATCACCACAATAGCTGATATGACTTGACATTTCAAGTATTTCCTATATAAAAATGTGGAATTGTGCATTCGCAGCCCTCTTATTTCATTGTTCTTATGACTAGCACTTTCAGTACAGATGATTCACAATGTACAACACAAAGTCTACTGTGTGCCAATGGTACTCCGGATCACAGAGGCATGGACCTCCTACGTATAGGTGGCAACTATGGAAATAAGATGATGTGCCTGAGATATATTGTTAGAAGGAAATGTTTAGGTTTCAGCAATTTGCTTAACTCTGAATGACAACTTGTATTCACAATTTTTAAAAATTTCTAAATGTGTTTTTTCACATGTAGGTATTTTTTAACAGGCTGCCAGTCTTTTTTTTTTTTTTTTATCTTTTATAAAACACTATTTCATTTAAAACATGAATGTCTGAAAAAATAAAATATTTACAGATTTTCTAATGATTTTCAGTATATATGTTATTCTACAGGTTAAATGTAATACAGGGTAGACTGACCTCACATGTAAAGGGGGAAAGAATACCAGTCACTCCTGCTGCAGAAAAACTTGTAACTTGGGATAACCGTTCTTAATATTTTTTATTGTAAAAACGATCAGACTTCCAAATGAATTTAAAAACTTTTTCAATATTATTTAATGAAAAAGTCCCATATTATCATGTATAGGATATATCAACATTTACCACTCATTTTTCATATGTAATGAAAAACACCATTATTGTAAGCTTGGAAAATCTTCAAACTCATTCTCTAATGAGTGTCCATCATAATTTAAAGAGTATTTTCTCTACTCAAAGAAAAACAATCTAATGTAAGGCTACAATTATTATACACCAAAGCAATTCCTACTTACATGCTTTACATAGTCCCATGAAAAAATAATTCAATTGTTCCTAATCCCTGATGCAAGGCACTTCAAAGCACCCGCATAAAACATCCATGTAAACAGCAGTACAGTACATGAGTTAAATAACATAAGTTGAATAACTTTTACATAGCTTGACCTAGACTAAGGGAAATATAAAATCCATCATAGCCACAGCTAAAAAGCATGTTAAGATTCACAAGAATTAAAAAAAAAAAAAGATTCATAAGAATTTGTTTCTCTTATTACATAGAGAAGAACATATAATCTCTTAGAGGAAAAAAAACCCCAAAGCCTCATAAATATTTTCATATTGAAAAACAGCATGCTCCCTGGGTATGTATGAAATCAGGACATTCAGAAGTGACCAGGAGTTAATTGCAGTAGCATTTCTGAATACCTAGCTTCACTATCCACCAGGCCGAGTAGTCTGGACTATTTGTAGCACCATGGAAGAGGCATCAGAAAAATCACAAAGGGATGTTACTTCAAACCAACCCTGCCGTGAAGCTCAGTAAGTCCACAGTAACAGCAATGATGCAGAGATTTTTTTTAAATTACTGACTAGATATACCTAGCAAGAAAAATTGTTATTTTAATACATCTCATGTACATAAAGCACCAGTTTAAATAAGATTATCAAACACTTCCAGCATATTGCTGCTCAGCCTGAGAGTTCATTTCTCACCACTTTCCATGTCGTACCCTTAAAGCCAAGGATAAAATTAGAATGGCGACAGATATTGTAAGAAAAATTCAATTCCTTCCCTATCAAATGTATGTCTCTCAGGTAAAACACAGAGGAAGTAACAAACTTAAAAAAGGTCTGCTTCATTCTCTGGAACTTCCCATTCTGCCTGTACTAGGGGATTTACACCCAGGGCTTGGTATCCTGGCAGGGAAGGCCAGGCTAGCCTTGCTGCCCTAAGGCCAAACTACACTTCTACTGCTGAGCATCTCTCATAAACCAGTGGAGATAAAGAGGTCTGAGTGTGAATACAACTCAAACGCTGCTAACGACTACCCAGTGAGACTCCACTGTGGGTTAACTTCATATACAAAAATGAATACATCCGCCTCTTTACCAGTGGTAATTATTATTAGCATGTCCTTCTTAAGCATAAAAGAAGTAACAGTGTATCTGGGTTTATGCACAGTTAATAATCAAGTATAAATATTCAGAATTTTTTTTCAGAATGTTTCTTTTAAAATTACAGATTAAAAGTGACTCCCACAAGAAAATCAGTTTCTTCATGAATGAAGTATAGTTTATAAAAAGCTGGAATGATGGTTAATTCAAATACAAAAAAACCCACTTCTTCCTTTCCCACTTACTTAGGTTCATACAGTTGATTCTACCACACAACTGTACTATCATTGTATCACCAGAGCAAAATACTAATAAAATGCCTGTCAGCAAACTGAGGACTACTTCTTGACAACTGCATTAAAACTGCAGCATTTGAGTAGAGCTGAGAGACACCACTCTTAAGCATGGTTTCCTTCTTCCTGTTCTTGGGTTTCACGATGATTATTAACAGAATGAATGTGGTCTGTAAACGACTGGGTCATCCATTGCCCATTTGGAATGTCACCGAAAGATGATTCTCCACTGTCAGCTGCCAGGGGGGAAAAGAATGTTAGTGTTAGTTTGTTCTATCTAAAATTGTCACAGGATTCAAGAGGAGATGTGAGCAGTCCAGTGAGGGGAAACTGCTATTAAATAGTTATGCAAGCTTCTTGACTACATGATAAATAAATCTCTGTTCTTTCGGCAGATACAGGACTTCACAGAGGGACTGTGAATGGGATGACTCGCTAACTTAGAGAGAATGAGCTGGACACACATGTGTGGCGGGACATCAGATAACCACTGTAATTTCCATTACTGGCCACTACAGATTTTCAGTGTCATTCCTACACTTCAATAATTCACTCTCTTAAAAAAAAAAAAAAAAAACAAACAAACAACAAAAAGCTAACAAACAACAAAAAAAACTTGCCCCCAGTCCTGACAAAACCAAGCATTTAAAAGGAATCCACATATGGAGGGGAACATACTTAGCCCACTGGAAGAGAAGCTGCAAGGGTCACCATTGCACGGATTTTCTGTATAAGCACCACCGTATGCTGCTTCATAACCTGGATCATATTTTTCTTCCTTAACAGCCATCTTCTTTGCATCCTCTGTGAGGAGAGTAAAAGGGATTTAAAATGGATTTTGTACAACGGTTTTGAAAATAGCTTTATTCAAAGGTCATCATGAACGAATCTTTTTCTAGTTCACATATACTGAGATGTATCTTTCATTAGTATCATGTTTTAAACTCTTTATAACATATACTAAATTAACTCCTAAGAATTGCAAAAACCTATTAGATTTAATCTCAAGTGGCTACCATGTTTCTTTCTTTTTTTTTTTTTTTTTTTTTTACCATGTTTCTTATACCCTCAACATCTGTAGGTGTACCCACAACAGATAGATGACCTTGGTAAAACGAGATTTTAACAGTGACTAATGTTGTCTGAGAACTCATGCTGCAAATGTTAACTTTTCTTTTCTCCTGCTTTTAAATTCACAACCTGCTTTCTGTAAGGTACAGATCCATGAAATGAATGAATGGGTTGAAAATGGGAACATACCTTGGGCTAGCTGTAGATCAAATGTATATTGTACCTCTTGCACATCTGTGTTTCGTTCAATGCCTTTCAATTGATCTCTTAAGTCTTTCAGCTTAATGTAGTAATGAACTTTGTCCTGGGCCCGAGGAAACTGAGCACATCTTGCACTGGATGATGGCATAACATAGCAGAGCTGGAATCATAAAATTTTACAGTTACATAAATCTTCCAAGTCTACTGAATCCACTCACATAGAGATTAAAAAACTCATACATTTTTTGGTTAAAAATGATGCTCATCACACATTAATATATGCAAATCAATACAAGTAGTTGTGTCTGAGTTCAAATTTGTAAAATTTACTTACTACAAAGTCAATAAATAAAAAATGAAGAGGCTGCCCCCCCTCATGTTCATTTACCAATCATCTTGTCTTTTTAATAGTAAACACATGGTTCACAATTCTAAAGGTGCAAGAGGGCAAAGAGGTATATACACTGAAAATCTTCCCTCCCAGTTCTGTCTCTACCAGTTCTCTTCCCAGGGCAATCACAGTTGCTGGTTCCGGATGTATTCTATGAATATATGATCAAATGTATCTCACATATGTACTCTCCCACACCCTTTTTAAATACACACGAATGGTCACATGCTATTTCCTGTTCTACATCCTGCTTTTTGACTCAAAAGCATAATCAGAATTCTGTCAAATAGCTAAGGAGAAAGACATTTGCATTTATTATTTGGGATAATGGTGACAAACTGTCCTTCATAGAACAGAAAATATATAATACTATATATCACATACATATCAAAGACTGAGGCTGCTCGATTATGGAACTTCTAGTTGCAATTTCTTGCAATTTTTATATTGCCCTCCATAACATTCCATAAAACAAACTTTTTTTTAATAAAGAATTTAGAAACTCCTGACTCCTAAAGATATGTAGGTATAAATACTACCAGGTTTTGTAATTACTCATTTTCCCATCCCAAGATATTCTTCAATTATAAATGATGCAGAAATTTGAAAAAAAATTTTGTTTCAAAGCTGAATCACTAACATCATCAGTAACTGCAAATATTTCATAACAAAGAATAAACTAAAACACACAAGCACTCCCAAGTCACTATAGGAGCTAACATTACCTGTCATGATATTATCCAATACTTAGTACTGCACTATTATGGTCACCTACATTCAAGGCGTGTAGCCTAGCCTCATCTGGCTCCTACGGGACAATAAAGCAGTTTTCTATAGAAGGCAATGAACTCAGCTGCACCAACTTTACCAAAGTAGACAAGCGTAGGCCTCGGTTTTATTTATTTTTTTTATTTTTTAAAGATTTTATTTATTTATTCATTAGAGAAGGGGGGGGCGGCGAAGACACAGGCAGAGGGAGAAGCAGGCTCCATGCAGGGAGCCTGATGTGGTACTCAATCCGGACTCCAGGATCACACCTGGCCGAAGGCAGGCACTAAACCGCTGAGCCATCCAGGGATCCCTAGGCCTCGGTTTTAAGAAAGACCACTTACTTTATCAAGCATATATTTATGTAGAAGAAATTTAAGAGGGAGAAGTTCAAATGTATGGAGATGACAGAAACTTTATTCTGAGCTCTCCACAAAACCCCGTCAGCACATGGGCTTCTCCATTATTTAAAATGTTGTCTAGAACACATGGGTCTGTGCATGTATGTTATTTTTTAAAAAGTTGTAAACAAAACTACATTAAGAAGCAAATTTAAACCTAATGTCTGCAGAAACTCTGCAGAAATGACAGTTTGAAACCCACTGTTCTTCACGACGCCTTTGTGGACACAGCACCAGTAAACAGTACCGGATGCCAGTCAGGCTAGCTGGATGTCTGTCTGCAACCGAGCTGCATACTATTCATACAGCTTTAGAATGAAATTGGGCTAAGATACACCAGTAGGGGGTAATGAGCAGTTTTACTCATCAGGAGCATGTCTGTATTTACATGTTTGTTTCATACCGAAAAAGGACTAACCTACCTGAATTTGCTAATAAAAATATGCCATTAAATTTATTTTCAACTCCTCCCAGTAGTTTAGCCAAATAACATCAGTAAGACATTTTATCCAAAAAAAGGTTTATTTTTTAAAATAGTTCCTGAATTAATTTGCAACAATTAGTTTCAGTTGACATGTAACTATTACTAAACAAAATACAGTGTTTTTAGAATGGCATGAATTACAATGGATAGGACAAATAAAAAAGGGAAACTAGCTAGAAAAAAATTCCTATTTAGCTGATTGTTACAAGAATCACTTTAAGTACTTACGGTTTCTGTGTCTGGGATCTTATGGGGTTGAAGTCCAAATTCTAAGTTTTTAACCTTAACTCCAAAAACTTCTTTACTAAAAATTTCATAAATACCTAAAATGAAATACAAACATATTTACATTGCCCATAATGTCAGCAAATAAAAAAAGATAAAATTTAAAAGTAAATCTTACATTTTCCATTAAACACTGCTATTCGTGGCTGATATTTCTGTAATTTCTGCACTAGAATACGTCCTCCTTCACGAAATTCTTTACTAAAATTGAATTAAAAAGTAGTCAAAATATAAGTATGGCAATATTAATACGCTTAATTCAGATAGCTTTGAATAAAATATCTATTCATGTATTTGTTAAGCTCAGCCTCAAGTAGGTACATTTAGCATTCTTAGAGTATATGAGGCATTGGCATGATCAGTTCCAACCTATAAAAATAAAATGTAATTACCTGGAAAGATCTTTGCTGCCTGGTGTTGTCCTTTCCACCATATTGGTAAATCCAATACCATACTTTCCTGGTAAAGTGTGATCATCCATATGGTTCAGCTGGACCTCACTCAGGCCTGACATGAACAGACACTTCCCTGTGAAAATGACAGTTCAGTTTATTTCCAGTAAGTCAAACATTTTTGCCCCATGAATCGACACAGTAGTCTAAATTTTAACCTGAAATTACAAGAAAAAAAACTTAGGATACTTAAAAAATTACAGATCAAATACCATGTATCAAGCAATTACTATGTGCTAAGCCCTCTGTATGGATTATCTCATTTATTGATCATAATGATCTTCTAAGACATTAATTACCATTTTTATCTCCTTTTCACAGGACAGATTAAGTAAACAGCTATCAGAAGTACACTGCTACTCAGTGTAGGAAATTGAAAATCTTTGTTTCCCTTCTAAAAATTGGTGATACTACCCCCTGCCCTCAGAATATCGCAAACAGATAAAAACATACACCAAGAGACCCAGAACATTCAAATGTCCTGATGATGGAAGAAATGAAAAGTTCAAACTGGGACGCCTGGGTGGCTCAGTGGATTTGGCTCAGGTCATGATCCTGGGGTCCTGGGATTGGGCTCCCCACAGGGAGCCTGCTTTTCCCTCTGTCTGGGTCTCTGCCTCTCTCGGTCTCTCTCATGAATAAATAAAATCTTAAAAAAAAAAAAAAAAGACCCAACTTCTACAGACATTTTTTTTTTTTTTTTAAATAATGGAGATGAAGGCAGTCTGGGTGGCTTAGCAGTTTAGCGCAGTCTTCAGGCGTGATCCTGCAGACCTGGGATCGAGTCCCACATTAGGCTCCCTGCATGGAGCCTGCTTCTCCCTCTGCCTGTGTCTCTGCCTCTGTGTGTGTCTCTCATGAATAAATAAATAAAATCTTTATAAATCAATCAATCAAATCAATCCTTAGTTCCAAAAACACATTACTAGATCTTTTGCCCTAAATGTTTTTTTTTTTTCTTTTAAAGATTTTATTTATTTGACATAGAGTGAGCACAATCAGAGGGAACAGCAGGCAGAAGAAGGAGAAGGAGAAGCAGACTCCCCCCTGAGCAGAGGACCTGACTTGGGGGCGGACACTTACCTGACTGAGCCACCCAGGCACCCCTGACCTAAATGTTTTTAATGTTACTCTTAGATAATTGACTAGTATTTCCTGAGGGCTTTTGCAGGCCTTTCTCTATTAGGTGGTGTTAGGTGAGTAGACTTACATATAAGGTAATACAACAGTAGTTATACTTGGTTTTAAAGCTCGCTCTGGGGCAGCCTGGGTGGCTCAGCGGTTTAGTGCCACCTTCAGCTCAGGGCCTGATCCTGGAGACCCGGGATCAAGTCCCACGTCGGGCTCCCTGCATGGAGCCTGCTTCTCCCTCTGCGCCTCTATCTCTCATGAACAAATAAATAAAAAAATCTTAAAAATAAATAAAAATAAAGCTCACTCTACAAGTATTTTCTGCTAGATACAAAGAATCTGTAGAGAATGTCTCCAACACAGAATTTCTTTTTTTTTTAAAGATTTTATTTATTTATTCATGATACACACACACACACACACACAGAGAGAGAGAGAGAGAGAGAGAGAGAGAGAGAGAGAGAGAGAGGCAGTGACACAGGCAGAGGGAGAAGCAGGCTCCATGCAGGGAGCCCGACGTGGGACTCGATCCCTGGTCTCCAGGATCGCGCCCTGGGCCAAAGACAGGCGCTAAACCACTGCGCCACCCAGGGATCCCCCAGAATTTCTTAACTACTGTAATAACTGACTGCCAGGGAGCAATGCATTTCATCTTTCTTGGGAAATAAGATCAGTAGAAATCTGGAAAGGTCAGTTCTCTGTCTGCTCTGGCACAATGATGTACTATTGTTATTCTCACCATAGATAACAAGTAAAAAAGAAAATTCATTTAAAAAAATATAGTAAAACCCCTATAAAATAACTGACAAAACAAAAGGGGAAGTACTGTTTTCTTGCCCTTCATACTCTTACACTAAAATGTGAACAGTGACATATCCTCTCAAATCTTTTATTTTTGTGTACACCGGCATAGAAAACACATATAGATCTTTACAAATACCCTCTTTTAAAAAACACAATTCGCTTAAAAAAATCCCCAAATATTAACAAACATAGTTTAAAAGTATAATAAGGGATCCCTGGGTGATGCAGCGGTTTGGCGCCTGCCTTTGGCCCAGGGCGTGATCCTGGAGACCCCGGATCGAATCCCACGTCGGGCTCCCAGTGCATGGAGCCTGCTTCTCCCTCTGCCTGTGTCTCTGCCTCTCTCTCTCTCTCTCTCTCTCTGTGACTATCATAAATAATAAATAAAAAGAAAAAAATAAAATTTATAAAAAAAATAAATAAAAGTATAATGATAAAAAAAATAATTACTTACAGAAATGATTTCCAGGTCCAGGGTAATGATGCCCTTTGTAAGCTGCCATCAGTCCTGGGTTTATGCCAATCTACAAAAAATGTTTATATAGTTAAGTCTTGAAAAATATGGTTTAAACCTTAGGGCTTCTGTGGAGAGGTGGTGGACAAAACTGAATTTTTTAAAATAAAAATTTAAGACAGCATCATAAGCAATGTTTTTTATTAAGTACCTATTCTTGATCTGAACAAAATATTCCTTTTTTTTTTAAGTAGACTCCACACCTAATGAGCCACCCAGGCACCCCCAAAGTATTCCATTTTGAGGAAAAACATTCCCTTTATATTTAAAGTGTTGCTGTTGTTTTTAAACCAGTCTGAGAGCCCTTGAGTGGCTCAGTCGGTTAAGCATCCAATTCTTGGTTTTGGCTGAGGTCATGATCTCAGGATAATAGAGACTGAGCCCTTCGTGGGGCTTCATGCTGGGTGTGGAGCCTCCTTGGGATTCACTCTTTCCCTCTCCCTCTATTTCCTTCTTTGCCCCTACTACTTGCTCTCTCGTTCTCTCTCTCTCTCTCAAACCAACCAAAACAAGAAAAAACAAAAACCAGTCTAGGGAAAAAAAAAAAAAAGCAGAAAAAGAGCCATAAATACAGAGAGGAAATGGTGTTTGCCAGAGGCAAAGGGGGATGGGCAAAACAGGCAAAGAGGAGCAGGAGGCACAGAACAGGGAATACAGCCAAGGGTACTCTAACAGTGTATGTGGACAGATGGTAGCTACACCCGTCAGGAGCGTGGAGTGACACACAGACTTCTCAAATCGCTGTCGTACACCTTACACGAATGTAATTGTACCAAGTATGCTTCAATACAAAGGAAAAAAAAAACAAATTTTAAAAATAAAAACCATTTTACTCCTCATATATCTCCAGGCCCCCCTCACTCTTTCCAACTGGGCTGGAAAGAGTGAGGTCCCACCATGCAGCTCACTCCACATCACCCAGAGCTGTTTGCATGTTGATGTTTCTGAGAGTTACTGACAAAAATCAAAGCTCAAAGGCAGTATTATTTATGGAGAACTCACAGGTGTCATATAATCTAAGCAATCCACATGGATTATTTTATCTGTCACTCCATGAGGGAGGTACTATCACCACCCCTGCTTCACCAGTAATGAAACTGGTGATTAGGAAGGTTAAAGCTTGTCTGAGATCATACCCCTATATCCTACGGCAGGATCTGAAACCAGACAGCCCCACAGTGGAGCCCATCCTCTTAAACACAACCATATAACACATTCTCATGAAGGAGACACCATTTACCACTAAAAGGATTTTTTAGAAATGATTGTTTTCAACAAAATGCAATGTGCCATTTATAGAACCAAATAGGGACAAAAATCCTTACAATCACAATGTCCAGATTGAAGGTCAAAATGTCTGGGAGGGTCTTGGTTAGAAGTTCAGCTTCTGAAACACCGTTAAAGCGGTCTACCTTCCTTTTCACTTTGAATGTGTCTGTAATTTTTTCTTGCTTTTCTTTTGATTTTGTGGACTTGCCAGATTTTTTGGCCTCAGCAGGCTTTTTAGGTTCTACTGGCTTTTTGGGTTCTTTTGCTCTGGGTTTTCTTTTCCTTCCTTTTGGAGTCTCTGAAACACAATGATTTCCAGAATGTAGATGCAGAAAAATATAACTTATACAACATCAGGCAACTTTCCCAGAAAAGTCACTCTATTAACACTATCTTTCTCTTCTATCTCCCAACCTCAGGGTCCTCTGCACTATTCTCTCCTTCTTCACCCTGGGACTGGGTTCACATGGGCTCATCCCCCACCCTCCTTCCTCTGCTAGCTGTTCTTTTTTTTTTTTTTTTTTTTTTATGATAGTCACACACAGAGAGAGAGAGAGAGGCAGAGACACAGGCAGAGGGAGAAGCAGGCTCCATGCACCGGGAGCCTGATGTGGGATTCGATCCCGGGTCTCCAGGATCGCGCCCTGGGCCAAAGGAAGGCGCCAAACCGCTGCGCCACCCAGGGATCCCCCTGCTAGCTGTTCTTTGGTTGAAATGCCCATAATAACTAAGACTGATTTTCCACACACTCTTACCTGTCATCTTTGCCTCCCCAGGGATACAAGGCATCTATACTATTTTATAGAAATTCTAAATGTAAATACACAAATAGGTCAATAAACAAATGAAAAAATAAGTAGAAAAATAGAAAGAGAAACATTTTAACTCAATTTCCCATTTCCAGCAATAGAAAGCCTCAAATGGCTTGTGGGCTTGTTTTAGAGACTGAATGTATATTCTGTTCCACACACAGCCAAAGAGGTGAATTTAGAGGTGCTAATGATGAAATCTCTCAGAGGAAAGAATTTTTCAAAAGGGAAGAGTAGGGATCTACTTCAGGACCTATGCAGAGTTTCTGAATCTCAGCACTACTAACGTTTTAGGTTGAATAATTTTTAGTTATGGGGGGTTGTCCTGTACCTTACAGAAATTAACAGCAACCTTGGCCTCTACCTAATAGTTGCCAGGAGCACCCTGCCAACCATGACAAAGTCATTTCCGACAATGCCCAATGTTCCTTGCAATGTTCCTTGCGCGATGTGCGTGTGTGTGGGGGGTGGTTGGGAGTTGCTCGGTCAAGAATCACTGACCTAAAGTTACCCACAAGAAGGCTTGGGTTTTCTTACCCTTAATTCTTTGACATCTCTCAATTTCTTGGGCCCCTCTCCCATTCTACTACTTTTGGCGGTTCCCTAACCCAGCCTCCTGTCCGTCCTCTCTTCTACCTCACTCTGTTTACTCCTATACTAAGGGATCTACCTCTACACCAATAGGAGAGTCAAGAGCAGGGCCATCTCCGACGCAACGGAGGCAGATGCGTTTTCTGAAATCATACAGTGAAATTCTGAGCACATTTCTCCTACGATACTGCTACTTTGGAGAAAGCCATTACCTTTTCTCCATCCCCTCAGGACCTCCTTATTTCATCCCCATATTCTTCAGTCTTGAGTCCATGTTTTGTCTCCATATTCTGCCTCAACTCCTGCCATTCAATCTATCCTCTACACTATTTCTAGGCTGAGTTTTAGAATGTCAGTCTATGCAAGTCACCCTCTGCTTACATTCTCTCAACAGTTCCCTACTGCCTTCAGAACAGACTCTACATTCATCAGGTTACAAGCCTATGTTCTGGCTATGCACCAGAGGCCAGTGACACATAATCACTACTTTTTTTAACGGTCATGCTTTTTTTGTATCTATGCTTCTGCACATGCTGCTCCTTAAGACTGGAATTTCCCCACTCCACTATTCATGGTGATAAAATCTCCCCACCCTTGGTTCCTGAGTTCTGGGAAGCTGCTTTTGAGCCTTGGTCCAAACTAGGTGTCAACCCTATGAGCTCTCAAGGCATTCTATGCCCCTCCTCACCTTTGTGTGTTGAAATATAATATAAAAGAATAAGTAATTCCCTTGTGTTTTCTTTTTTTTTTTTTTAAGATTTTGTTTTTTTATTCATGAGAGACACAAAGACAGAGAGAGAGAGAGGGAGGGGCAGAAACACAGGCAGAGGGAGAAGCAGTCTCCACGCAGAAGCCTGACAAGGGACTCGACCCTGGGACTCCAGGACCACGCCCCGGGCCGAAGGCAGGCACTAAACCGCTGAGCCACCGAGGGATCTCTACTTATTATTCTCTACTTCTAGATCATGAGATACTTGAGGACAGGATCCATGTTCTTTTATTTCCCAAAACCTATCACAGTGCCTGGTACATACTTAAAAAGAAGTTAGAAATTTTAATACTAAAATAAAACCAGGGGCATCTGGGTGGCTCAGTTGATAAAGCACCTGCCTTCGGCTCAGGTCATGATCCCAGAACCCGTGTCAGGCTCCCTGCTCAGGAGGGAGCTTGCTTCTCCCTCTCCTTCTGACTACCCCTCCATCTGCTTGTATACACTCCCTGTCAAATAAATAAAATCTTAAAAAAATAATAAATAAATGAAATAAAACTAAAATTCATCACTAACCCTTTTTTTCTGTAAGCTGGCTAGTCCAATAGCTAATTTTCTAAACTATCCTGATAAAAGCTACCTTGTACGGGTTCCTGAGCAGGAGCTGGGTCTGGAACTTCTGTGGGCATTTGCTGTTCATTCATCACTGCCATATCAGAAGCTTCTGTCATCATTTGTTGAAATGGGAATGTATAAAAAGCTTGAGCTTGCTGAAGGGAATAGCTGAAAGAAAAATAAAGTATAAAAATATAAAATATGACAATAAATGCCATTCCTAACCAGGAATTTAAACAATTAACTGTAATAAAAGACTTCAGGATCCAAACACTTAGTAACAGATTGTAATATTTAGAGTTGATAAAATGGTCAAAAGGGAGAAGGAATATCTTTTTCCATATGTGCACATTCACCCTAATTTTACCTTGTGCTTACTAACCAAACACTAATTAACTCTTCCACTGTTTAATGACAAAATGTGTCATCAATAAAACTTACCAGTCTTGTCAAGTCAGTCTCTGCTTTCTCTGAAATGAGATCATTAGAGCAGAGAAACTTAAAAGGCACAGCAGCTCATACAGGTTTAAAGTGTCCATAAAAACAATTTGCATCTCTATCTTCAGATTTAATCCCTTTGTCACAAAGATTCTGCCAATCTAACCCTCACCTAGCTTTACTGATTTATTGCACAACTCTGTGCAAGGTAAAGATGTGTAACATGTTGATTTGATACATGTATTGCAAAAGAGGATTATTAAGAGTCTTAGCTAGTATCTGCATTATGTCAAATAATTACTATTTCTTTAAAAAAATTACTATTTCTTTTTTGCAATGAGAACATTGAAAATCTCTTAGAAACTTTCAAGAATATAGTACAATATTAGCTGTAATCACCACGATGTACATTAGATCCCCAGACCTTGGTAATCTTTATACCTTCAACCAAATCTCCCTATTCCTGCCTTCCCTCCAAGTTAACTTAAGGTTCTCTTTTGGTTGATCTGCCTACTTAATGATTTATTCATTGGATCTATTTTATTTTATTTTTTGAAGATTTATTTATTTATTCATGAGAAACACACACAGAGAGAGAGAGAGAGAGAGGCAGAGACACAGGCAGAGGGAGAAGCAGGCTCCACGCAAGGAGCCTGATGTGGGACTCGATTCCTGGTCTCCAGGATCACATCCCGGGCTGCAGGCGGCGCTAAACCGCTGCGCCACGGGGGCTGCCCTGGATCTTTTTTAAATTGTTGCTGGGCTTCTACCATTAGATTAAGACTAGAATTTGATATTCTGTACGTATCTGTGAATTTATGGAAAAAAAAACACTTTAAACCTCTTTTCTGAATATTTTTTAGACGGTTCCCAGTGGTCAGTTCAATATAAGGAACACAGGCCTTCACAGAAAACTGCCAAAAAGATCTTACAGTGACTATAAATCACTATTTCAAACTGTTTCCCTCAGCACAAAGCCAGAGGAATAAACCATATATTTTGTGGAACTCAAACTACAACTGATGCCAAATGATGCCATTAAATACACAATGGAAAGAAAACACTAGGAAATAAAATGGGTATCATTTGCCATTTGGAGAGAAAAGTCATGTTTTCTGTGGGTTAACTACACACTTCTTAGTCACAAAGAAAGCAAAGAAGAAGCTCAGAAAGTAGAGATTAAAAAGGCAAACTAGGGATCCCTGGGTGGCGCAGTGGTTTAGCGCCGGTCTTTGGCCCAGGGCGCGATCCTGGAGACCCGGGATCGAATCCCACGTCGGGCTCCCGGTGCATGGAGCCTGCTTCTCCCTCTGCCTGTGTCTCTGCCTCTCTCTCTCTCTCTCTCTCTCTCTCTCTCTCTCTCTGTGACTATCATAAATAAATAAAAATTAAAAAAAAAAAAGGCAAACTAGTACACAGTAAATGGGTAAAAACTCATAGTGTATAATTTGCATCTTAATAAAACAGCCTTAATAAACTTAAATGTCCGAGGTAGATACAGGGTAATAGACTGTGGTGGTTAGGCTAGGATGCTGGGTGCTCATGAGACATACAGGGGCCAAACCCCAGTGGACAAACCAATGGAGAGGAATTTTAGCTATAAGCTATCTTTAAGATAAGCTGCTAAAGAAAAGGTTAAGAATTAGAAAGATATTATACTATATCTTAAGAGTTTTATTTCTGGGGTGTCGGGTGGCTCTGTCGGTTGAGCATCTACCTTTGGCTCAGGTCATGACCTTAGGATCCTAGGATCCAGCCCCACATCAGGCTCCCTGCTCAGCAAGGAGTCTGCTTGTCCCTCTCTGCCTCTCTCTGCTTGTGCTCTCTCTCTTGCTCTCAAATTAAATCTTTTTTTTTAAGTGTTTCATTTCCTTAAATATATCATATTCAGTTATGTAAAAAAAAACACAGTAATGCAATAAACTTGATACATTAACATGAGAAAATACTATGTAGCATAATTACATTTGATATTTTTAAAAGCACAGAAATTGTTTAATGCAGACTTTAAAGTAGAAAGAACACAGAACAGTATTGTAACCTGAGGCTGCACACCAGAAAAGTATGTAGTAAGTTCTAGAAGCTCAAATGTGAAAAATGAAGAGAAGTGAAGTGCTTAAATTGTGCTAGGCACAAAGTAACATGTCCTCTTCCCCACCCTCTACTTTTCTTTAATAGTATTCATAACTTTTTGATGAATTGTAAAAACATCCGTTGTTCAGTGTTTTTTGTGAATATGTACACATTTAGTTTTATTATAACAAAGCAACTCGTACACTTTTAAGGTTTAAAACTGAGCATATTTCCTTTCCAGTGAAACAAAATGAAACTTTAAAAATACAGGAACAAAATTACAATAGAGAATGTCAATTCCAAGTAAGATCCTACAGGTTCTGCTGATTCTCCCATTGACTGGCAGGGCTCAAGTCATCATTAGGAGAGTTTTATTTTAAAAGTGTCATCGGGGGTAGCCCCAGTGGTTTAGCGGTTTAGCGCCGCCTTCAGCCCAGGGCATGATCCTGGAGACCCAGGATCAAGTCCCACGTCAGGTGCCCTGCATGGAGCCTACTTCTCCCTCTGCCTGTCTCTCTCTCTCTCTCTCTCTGTGTGTGTCTCTAATTAATAAATAAAATCTTAAAAGTTTAAAATAAATGAATGAATGAATGAAAGTGTCATCGGGCAGCCCCGGTGGCGCAGCAGTTTAGCGCCTCCTGCAGCCCGGGGTGTGATCCTGGAGACCAGGGATCGAGTCCCACGTCAGGCTTCCTGCATGGAGCCTGCTTCTCCCTCTGCCTATGTCTCTGCCTCTCAATCTGTGTCTTTTTTTTTTTTAATATTTCATAATTTTTTATTGATGGCATTTTATCCCATGGTTTAACATGTTAATTATACTGTAATAAACATGGCTTTAATATTAAACTTTTCCTCATTATCCAAAGTCACCACAGTCCATTTCAGTAAATATTAAAATATAGGCTTAATACTTTGTACAATACTGGTTTTTGGTCCAAACAAAACTGGATCAGAAAAGCCAATAAATTCACTTTAAGAATCCCCAATTTTTTTTTAAAGATTTCCAAATGGATTTAGGCAACTTTGAATAATGGGATTTACATAATAAAATCTGAGACAAGACTAAACAAAGAACAAACAAATTTTCTAACACAAAATTAAAATTTCAAGTTCACAGATTTATGTTATGCCAAAAAAGTACAGAAACAAAATTGTATTTACACAAGTTTCATAATAAAATAATGAAAAAGGCAAGACAGGTGATAGGAGAATGAAAATATAGAAATAGCATATAATTATTAAATGGAGAACGCACTAGATCTAATAAGTCCTTAGCATGGACCATTCTTTAATCAGGCTTCCTCTATCAGAAAATTTTAGTGCACAATACACCCAACTCACTCACTTCACACACATTTTTATAAAAATAAAACCTTAAAAAAAAAAGTGTCATCTTAAACTGCAAGGATGTCTGTTAAACATCACAATTAAACATGCTAAAGGAGGGCAGCCCCGGTGGCTCAGTGGTTTAGCACCTGCCTTCGGCCCGGGGCGTGATCCTGGGGACCCGGGATCGAGTCCTGTGTGAGGCTCCCTGCATGGAGCCTGCTTCTCCCTCTGCCAAAGGAGAAGCTATGTTGTCAAAATGCCCACTTAATCCACCCAAACATCTCAAACCCACCCTTTGCTGACCTTCTATAATCCCATTTTTTAAAGTTTTTTTTTTCTTTTTTAAACAAGAGAAAGTAGACAGGTACATGCTGGTAAATGCTTACTGTCCATATTCACATAGAGACACAGTGTAATCTCTGAGCCCAATACACAGAGAAAGGAGGAAAAAGCTAGAATTCTATGTACTACTACACAGGGGCCTAGCACCCTCCAGCTTCCAGCAGAGCTAAGGGAGCAGAAGGTTTTTCTTTTTTCCCACAGATCACAGTGGTGTTGATTCCATAAAGTTTTTGTTGAGACAGGAAGAAATAAAAATGAATTTGGAATAGAAAGGGGTAGAGATTCTTTTCCCACTGTACTCTGCTCAAGGTATTTCCCTCCCAAAATAAGTTGAGAACCATGATATAAAGGGAGAGAAAAGAGACTTCAAAAAATAGAGCAGATGAGCACAAGAGGAGGGGAAAAAAGAGACGCAACTTGCTCCCAGGGACTGGAGAAAATTAAAAAAGGAAGGTTGGAATCCATCGGTGTTCCATTAGTCATCTTCTCCTTCATCCTCCTCTCCTTCCTCCCCCCCTCATCATCATCTTCATCTTCTCCTTCTTCATCCATATCGGGAACCAAGTAGTACTATAATAGATTTGGCCAAATATCATCATTGATGACTTCTCCTAACTCATCTGTACCTGCATCAGAATGGTCAGTAAACCAGATGAAGAAGCTCTCTGATTCCTCGTGCTGTCTCTTCCTGCTGCTTTTATTCTGTGTTTGACTTGAATGTTTCCTCAAATCCTTTCCAGATTTCCATTTGATTTCAGTAGACTTTGAAGATGGATCACAACTCTCATTCAGATGAAATTCTTTGGAGAGAACTTTCTTTTCGAAGTAAGGGTTTTCATCAAAATAAAAATCTATTCTGTAACCTGATTTAATATCTTCAAATTCTGTCACTTCAACTCTTGTTAATAATGCAATGCCTCTTCATCTTCCTCCCCAAGCAGTACAGACACTTGTGGATGGTTAACCAATGTTACCCCAAAATTGGG